GACACTCAGGGGGCGCTTACCGTAAATCGGACGCAATCTTCGTTCGGCTACTGAATTATCCTGCACGTGTTGTCCCTTCGAAGTCATTTCGATTTTGACGGTTTTCTAACCTACTCCTGACACGTGTTTGTAAAATATGGCAAAAGAAACGACTCGTGGAGGGCGTTTTTCCAAACTCGCGTGGAAATTGAACGAAAATAATTAATTTCAAGAATTGAGCTAATCTTCAAACCGCCATGATTGATTTATTTTTCGGCTTTTGTCAATTGTCAGTTGTCAAATGTGGGGCGCCAATTTTGAAATTGCAGAAGAAAATTCGCTTTAGGCGGTTTTCTAACATTACTTTTGATTCGTGTTTGCAAAATATAGCAAATCTGGATATCTTTTTGCAAATTCTCGTGTAAATAATCCATTTCCAGAATTGAGCTAATCTTCAAACTGCTATGAGGTTAAATGTCAAACGTGGGCGCCAATTTTGAAATTGTAAAAAATTAATTGATTCAATTCTAGTTTGTTTGGCGCCAAATTTGGCGCCGAAAACATCGTAAAATTCCATAATCTTTCCTAGTATCCTCAACCGGATCTTCCTTGACATTTCTGTAAAAAGCTTGTTCGATTTTTCAAAAACCGAGTCACCGGAAGTTTTATTATGTTTTAATTTTTCTTGTCGTAGCAAGGTCAAGGCTTCACGGAAGTGAAATAACATCCTTGTCGGAGTCGTAATTTATGAAGAGTTAAAAAATAACAAATGCGCGACCATTGCTGTTATTACTAATTATTACATAATGGGATAATCGGTTGATTGTATGAAAATTAGAGCCTGTTGTGTTACGGCATGGTGGGATTTCCTGCATAATAAAGGGAGATAATAACAGCGATTTATTGTTACGTAGTGTGAGCTCAAATAAAACGTAACGAATTTCAGTGTTTTCGATACTAATCGAATGGAAAAATTCGTCAGTTGAGCTGTGATAGAAACAAGATAATAAATAACCGAAATGTTAGAGAATTTTGATAGAGAATAGCGCGTCGTAAATTAATAAATAATTTGGCTATCTCACAAAGTTCTAGAATTTTCAGCAATTTTGCAAAAATAATTAAACATGCAAGAACAAGTGTCTTTGAGACGTTATCAGATGGAAGAAACAATGGAAGATTCTGTGATACGCTTAACAAGTCATTCGCAAAAACACTGAAGAAATCATGTTAAATTAGCGCAACAAAATAAAATTTTAATTAAAATTAATCGTCTGACAAATAATTTTGTACAAGAAATAATTTTACTGCACTTGTGATTAGGTAAATGGAAAGATTGATTAATACATTAAATTACATTTCTCCAATAGCCAAGCAAATCTCTCATTTTAAAATAGCAAACACCACTTTACCAGTAAACAAATTAATTCACTTAAATTATTATTTGTTTTCGTGTCTTGAGCTCAAAATTACGTAATTGTTATTTAGGTTATCTTACTTAAATTCTCTTTCATTTGCTGAAGAAAAAAATAAAGGCCCTAACAACCTTAAATTTTATTGTATTTATTTTTTGATTATGAATAAACCAAAAGAAAGATCGAACCTTTCTCTTTTAAATGCCCAAGTACGGTTTCAAAAAAGTTAGCGATTTTTGAAAAAGTTCGTTTGGCCATTTTGATTCAATGAAACAATCTAATATGTAAATAAAACGTTTTTCTACATGTACAGTGATGGACAGTGAATTTCGTCCACCCAATTTCCCTGATAGATTAAAAGTGTAAATTAGTCTTTAGGTTTTCCTAACCTTATTTCAGAATTTTGATTAACGTTTGTCATGTTGACAGAATGCTCGATGCTTCTTGCTACTTTTTACCTTTGTCCTTTGAATTGGTAGTCCTTGGTATGCCCAAAAGTATAGAGTTTTTGAGACATACCTTCTTGTACCTGAATATTTATTTTATTATGTTTGAATTTCATTAAATTTGACAATATGTATTTGAATGTCAGTTATTATGACAATAAAGCACAGACTACAGTGAATTTTTGGTAATTCACAGAAATTGGGTGGACGAAATTCACTGTCCATCAATGTATACGAAGAAATCAGTAATTTTTTCAAAGTTTTTATCCAGTAATTGGGGGGCGAGAAAAAACTTGAGTCATCCTGTATGATAAATAAAAAATCATATTCTCATTTTAGTATTCAGTATTGTGTTGTTTTTATTGAAATAAACACTTACTGCAAGGCTTTGTGATTGATCCCATCGGCTTTGGTAGTCGAACAGGGCCGAAGTAGTGCAGTGGCTGTGTGAATATGTAAATAAGGCCGAACACGCGTTCTTGATGGCAAGGTCCTCCAGCTCACCAGCCGTGACCGGTGGGAGAGACCCATCCCCCCATTCTCCATGCACCAAAGACGACAAATCCCAAAATCCGATTGAAACAATATCGCGTGTCGCAATCGACATTGACATTCTAACAATGGTTTTATTATTATAAAATTTATGAAATCTTTTGCATAACATTTCACACATCGGCCATAAATAATGGTCCTATTTTGTTATTGTTGTGGAATTCCAAAACGAGTGACGTAAAACGGCAAAAAACAAATCGTGGGTTCGTCGCTTGACCCGGCGTCGAAGTCACACGAGGAATTACCAAGTCGGTGAGGGTGTCCACTGTGACACTTGAACTATGAACCGAACCGGATCAAGAAGGCCGTGTCGCGGCCTTGTCGAGAATCTGGCGCCTGATTGGCGACACCGTCTTTTGTTTATGTCAACAGCGAGCTGATTTTGCGACAATTTTTCACCATCTCAGAGAAAGTTACCACAATTATTGCTACTTTCTTTTTGTCATCAAGGGTGGGATTTTTTTCAATTGTTTATAGAAATGACACTATCCTGTCAGCACCTTCGAATTAATCTTGTGTTGAAAGGTGATTTAAATAATATTTTAATTAAATGAATAACTTTATTAAAATTGGTGTGTCGATGAAAAATTGATTGCTTGGGTAATTTATTTGTTATTAAGGCGGAAACACATTAAATGTCAACAAAGATCTGTTTTATTTTTGTAGGATTATTAATTTTCAAAATTGGAAAATTTTCCACTACACCTTGACATTGCCTCAATCTAAATTTCTCGCCACAAGACGCGTGGGCGTGTCTTAATGCTTTTTTCCATTTTCATTTACTTTCGTTTTACTACAACCAGACCTTTGCATTATCATCCAAAGTCAACGATCTTTCACCACTTTCTATCCTTGCCCATCAAAAGTGTTAATTAATCGGATAATACACACGCAATAACACTCGAGATTTTCTTTTTTATTCAATTAATAATTTTCATTGCATTGCAATTGCTTTCTTTTCTTATTTATTGCTATTATTTAGTTGAGATTGGAAAAAGAAGTGCCACGGTCAAGGCTTTTATGTGGTCACGAAATGACGGTTATTATATCGTAATTGTGCGTGTGAGAGCGGTATCGGAGTAATTAACGATAAATCTTCAAAGAATTATTGTGTTGCGTTCGTGAGCTGTTTTCAAGATTTCTCTGGAAAGTACGTTTAGTTTAATTAATTTTTATGAGCAATTATTTTCCGTGATTTATTTAAGCGTAAATTCTGTTATTATTACATTGACAATGGATGTGTTAGCTAATTAAATTGAAAACACAGCCTTGACTTAACTTCTAGTGCACCATTGCGGTTTGTATACTTGAACCTGAAGCAATTAAAAAAAAATCAACCGATTTACGAGTATAAGCAAAAAATGTTTGAAATTTTAATACGTCTCACTTCACGTTGCTATTTTATTTAATTAGCGTGCATTTCATTCGATTATAAAACTAAAAGCTTTTATAATAATTTATAAAGGATTTTTAAAATTTTATTGCATTTTTGTATTAAGTGATAAAAACTGCGCAGTAATGGATTTTTTCAAATTATGTTTTAGAAAATATTAAGGTGTCCAAGAAACAATAAATAAATAGCCACAAGTTATTATGCAAAAACATATTTAATGTTATTTCGAAGTGTTGCTGTAAAAATTAACTCATTACGAAATTAGTACTTATTTCAATTAATTGAGTGTAATGAGATATGTAATTATATTCTACAACAAATTGCCATCATTACTAACAGATATATTAAATGAGAAAGTTTTAGTTGGAACACCCTGTAAGACTATTAACAATAAATTAAATTAGTGTTTTTTTCATTCAGTATAATCAAATAAATAAAATATAAATAGTAAATAAAGTTTCTCATTTAATTCCCACATTTTGTTTTACCTTGTCCTTTTTTTACACAATCTGTATATGAAATACCGTGCGATCAAAAAAATAAATTAGAGTAGGCGTCGATTAAATTCTACAGTTGGCAACACATTGGCTGGGAATCTGGGAAATTTTCCACACAAACTGAAAGTGAAAATGACCATCCACCATTTTCCTCTTGTACACCAATAAAAATTTTCTGTTAACATTATTTCACTCAAAATGAATAAAACGCAAACTTGTCAAAGTTTCCGCTGACATTTGAAGTCAAAAATCAGGATTGCCATCTGAAGGACTTTAATGACCGCCTACCCCAATTTTTATTTTTTTTATCGCACGGTATATGTTTTTGTATTCTGCAAATTTTTTAATTTTTTTAAATGACAACCCATTACAAATTTTTTTTTATCAAGGCTAGCAATTATCTATATTTTATTCAATTTTTACAGAAAAAATTGCATAACTCAAAAAAAATTACCTTCATTTTTATTATTATTTTCTAAAAACAAATAATAAAAAAAACGCTTGATTCTATACTTTTCATTCACCCTAATCTGTATATGCAGAGTTGTTATAATATTAATCATTAAGACTGGAAAATACTAATAGAAAAGCACTAGGTATATGTTATCTTCAGAATTGTAATTAATTTTTTGCATTAGGAGAGGATGTCTCAATTAACTTTTTTGGTAAAGAAAAGTGATTAATATTTTATGTTTATATGATACCAAATATGAACTAAATATCGTTATTATAAAAAACAATTACATGTAGCATAGTTGTATTGGCTCTCATTTCTGAGAAATTCTGTATGTTTGAAAATTATTTTACTATTGAAATTATTGAATTAAAATAGAATAACATCAAAAAATAGAAGGTGTTTTTAAAAAACCTATGATTATGTGAAAATTACTATTACAATTTGGTTACATAATTTATATTAGTTCAGTATTTTTTTAATTTTTGCAAAAAATGTCTAACTCGGTAACGTTACAACTAAAATCTAGCCACAAAAACGGCTTAAAGCATTAACAAAATGCAAATAAAAAAAAGGAAGTCGTCAATTAAAAAATAAAATAAAATAAAAAAATACGGTCCTGGAATAATGGAATCTCTTGCATCCTTTTTCAAAATAATTTCCATCGACGCTAATTTTACAATTATATAAAAAACAATACAAATGCTTAGCCTGTTTAAAACTACAGGTCGATAATAGGCTTTGTTATCTCCTTGGGACACCCCGTATATCGCACAACAATCACAAAATAATATAAAAAAATATGTTACACGAATTACGATAAATAAAAATACCTAATTACTTATCTATATGTCGGTCCTAGTATTATTATTTCTGGTCAAATATTGTCGCTTCTCGGCCTTCGCACAATAATCCGAAAAGTCCCAAGTCCAGTGTTGTTTACCCGCGCGTGATTATCATAGCAAAACAAAATCGTGCACCAAATCCCATATATCATCATTCCAAAACAACACCATTTTAAAAAATTCGAAAATACCGCGACCTCCGACCCAAAAGTCCCATATTTTTAGCTATTACTAATCGAAATTTTCCAAAAAAGGCCAATTCCATCCGTGATTCACCAAAACAATCTTCTTCTCCGGCAAGAATGCGGATAATGACGTCACGAACGGCATATAAGCTCAACCGCGACCGCCGATCGCACAGTGAGTGAAACGCACTTCTTTATACCGAGTGTTCCACTTTGAGAAAAAATGAAATTGTTGTATTTGTTATTTGTGTGCGGGTTTGGCGCGTCAAAGGTCGACTCTTCGGCCATCCCCATGTGGGAGTTTCTGAGCAAAGATGAAAAAGTGAGTCCTGGATTTAATTTGTGATAAAATAATCCCAACAATCTATTAATAGATGTCCTACTTGTACTCGATGTTCGCCAATCAAGTCGAGCAGTTCTGCGGGAAATCGACGATGGTTAACTGTAATAAAGAGTTGCTGAAGTACGGCCTTGGCAAGTTGAAGGACATGCCGGAGGATCATCTCGACGTGATGGACCCCTACCAGAGGGGCGCCAACGATATAAGTGAGTAACCAAATTTATTCGAGGAAATTTCTAATGAGATTCTAGAATTATCCAAATTGCATAAACTCAATTAGTTTAATTATTTTCTATCACTGATTTTTTAAATACGCAATTTCATGGATTTCTTCACGTTTCACTCGTGCTTTCCTCTTTTTGGCTAGATTCAAGAAAGGTTGGACGCAAAAAAGGAAATTTCACTTCATATCTAGAACATGTTCCTTGACATTTCTTATAGGTTTACACGTAGTTATTATTTTTCTCCTCACTTCGACCTCTCAAGTCAAACTAAAATCCATTAAACACATTTTAAACTTCACATTTTGGACCCTTTTCTTCTAATTTTCTCTGTTAAAATTTCATCCAGATTATTTAAAGATATAGAATAATACATGGTGATTTAAGAAAATAATAACCAAAAATAGTGTAAAATGTAATATTTTTACCCATCACAATATTTTTTTATTGAAGAAAATTGATAAAAATGGCCCTTTTTCAGTTTGGGACTCGATGATGGAGGGCCACGAGATGATGAAAACCACGAAATCGCGCCCCCCGACGACCACTACCAAGCCCAACAGTTACGACGATGACTCTTTTGGTGACTACGGCGCCGCTTCGGCCAAAATCGACAATGTATATAGGGTGGCCCCTCCTAAGGGTTTTGTTTATACTATTCAGACGGGCACCCCACAGTACACCTACACCCCCAGTGTGGGGCCTTATTCGAAATTCCAGCAAACCCACACCCCCGAGAAATACGTGGTTAAAGTGTACCCCGATGGACGACCGGTGGTCGAACACACCAGTCAATTGCCCCAAGATGACGATTTGAGACAGTACCAATTGTCCAAAGTCAAAATACCTAATTTGTAATTGGGACTTTTGTGATATGTATGTGCATGTATGGGTTATTTATAGTGTGTTTGATTGTCTTTTGTTTTATTTATAGTGTGTTGTTTTTTTTTATTTATTAATTGATCACTTTGTGATTGTGATTAGAGTTCCAGAGTTGCTGGAGGTTTATTTGTACACTATGTATGTGATTTAGTATCCAATATATTGAATAGGAATTTTTGCGGTGTTATTTTATCGAAATGATTCATTAGCTAATAGGTTAAAAAACCTTAGTATGGTGATTGATGACATCAGCATAACAAGGACAATGTCTGATGAACCTACGTTCAAGAACCGAAGTGATTGACAAGGCAATGACGGTGCAATAAACACCCATTGTGAAATTTTTACAATCAGAAAATTAAACAGCTTTTCAATGTTTCGAATAAGGGACACAGGATTAGGTTAAATGAACCATTTCGTCAACATTTTATATTTATCATTTGCATACACCCAGAGACAACAACAAAGATCAAAAAGACCAAATATAGGTACTAAAAAAATAGAAAAAACACTTAAAAACAGATTTAAAATTTCTTTGGCGCTATCAAGCCGCTCATCATATCGAAGGAATTACCATCGGGTTGCACTGACGTCATTGTACCATCGACCAATCGGACAGAGAGAAAACCGTATTTATCGATCCCTAAGATTTTGGCTCGTGTGGAGTCGCCCTTTTCCGACTGTATCGTAACCTCGACATCACTAGAAAATTTCTCATATATCAAATTTTCCGCCAACATAATAACAAAAAAAGCAAGCTTCACAAAATACTACTTTAAGTTGGCAGAAGTGGGACTTAAAAATGTCAAATTTGACATTTGCATAAATCAAACTCACCTATGCAACCAGTACTGGTAATAGAGGTCGAAAAACGGTTCAAATCCATTTTTCTGAACATCAAGATACAACCTTTCTATTTCATTGAACACAGCTGCGAAGTATTTTTCGTATGGTATCGGTTTTATCGACGTGTCATTTTCCTTATTAAATTTTTCTATGAGATCGTTTATACAAATTGTGGGGTTTTGGTTTGATAAATTTACACCACAACCTGGAACAAATAAATCGGTCAAGTGCGAACGAAGCGAGTGGTGTACTCCCCCATACCTATATTTACGATGGCAACATTAGATAATATAGTAGAGGTCACTACAAGTCCTCCGATTTTAATCTCAGCTTCGGCATAGAGATCATTAGGCCATTTAATACCAATATTAAGACGATCTAATCCTTGTGTATTTTTTATCGACGATATGATAGCTACCATGACTAAATGTTGGATCAATGGAAGTGACTGTCCCAAATTACTGTCTAATGGAATGTGCATTTGAAGGGAAAACGCCGCACAACCTAATGGACTCAACCAGGAATTATTCGATCGGCCTATACCATTGGTTTGTTGCCGGGCTATAACCACAAGTCCATGTCGCAATTTTTTGCAAAGTAGGTGCTGAGTACTTGTCAAAATATCAGCATAAATGACCAACCGGCCAATATCTTCCGTATTCAAAGTGTCAAAATAATCCAGAGTGGAGAAATTTGAGGGACAAGAGTGGATCATGACCGGAAGTCGAATATTCGAGGCGATTCCAGGATCCACATTGTGACCACAAAAAACAACACTGATTTTATCACAAGTTAATTGATTATTGGTTATAGAGTCACAATCGGTCATCATGTTGACTTTCGCCTGAAACAAATGATTGAGTTTCTGTCAAATATCTAGTATGTTATTACATCATAACAGCCAAGAAAATACCCTTGACTGTATTCAATTGTCCCAAAACTGTCATCACAAGTCAAATCCAAATGACTCGAAAGTATATCTTTTAAAATCTCCAATCTCGCTTCATTACTACTCAACAAAGACTGAAACTTCTCCTCATCATTCTCGTACACATCTGGATCGATTTCAAGATGCACTTGAGAGAAAACCGCTCGTCCTTGGGAGTTTTTCACTTTAGCCAATAGCAAACTAGGTGTATGCCACGTCTCTTCAGTCCCTAACACCTGCACTTGTATGTTGTAATCCTTCTCGTTGTGTCGCATCTCGACGTTAGAGGGCGTCCGAGGTGCCAACGGACTCGAACCATTACTCGAATGATCGGAATCTTTACTAAATTGTTTTTTTGCCGGTGAGGCTTGGTAGCAAAAAATATGATGCATCATTTTAACATGTTGCCATTGGCCGTACGAAAACCGAACCAATTCGTGTTCGCGTACTTCCGCCGTAGTAAAAGTGTAAAGTATGCTGTACATGAGGTCGCTGCAAATAGAAAGGAGTTGGCCACCAGTGAGGAGATACTGGATGAGATTGGAAGTGAGATCAGGAGGGACACTACCACAAACCACGACAAGAACAGTGGATTTGTCCCACCCGGTGTGTTTCGAAGAAGTTGGAAGGTCGTAAATGGTGTATTTCTCCTTATTCAAAATCGAAAATAAGACTCTCTTTACGTTATCTTTCGTCACTAAACTATCAGCGTAGACTAAGACATTGGGAGGTTTTGGGGCCATTGTCACACTCTTCAATACTTTATCTTTAACGTCACTCTTCACTTCGTCGTTCTCCTTAACCGAACTCTGTTTAACCAACTTATTTACGGTTCTTTTATGTTTGTGTTGTTTCTCTTTGGGTTTCGGTTTTGATGATTTCGAGGGCCCTTCTCGTGGTTTTTTGTGACGACGATGTTCGGCTCCGGTGGACACATCAAGAGTGGTGAGGGTTTTTCTCTCTTCGGCGTTCTTTTTTGGTTCCTTTTTGATGGGTTTTGCAGATTCGAGGCACTGAGGGGAACCATTTTCAATTTTAATTTTAGGACTAGAAAAAGACAGTCAAAAGTGGTCACAATTTGTCAAAAAACATACGTTGTAATGTCTCGTATTTTCGAGTACAAGTCTTTGACTTCTTGCACGAATTTGTTCCAATGGACTGGGGCATAAGAATACTTCACGGTTTGTTCTTTGAGGTATTTTTTCTCGTATTTAATGACAGTTGGGGCATTTTCAACATCCACGGCTAAAAACACAATAATAAATCATTTTAAATCACACTAAAATCACCATACTTTCAAGTTTAAGTAACTTCAATTCGTGGTTAATATCAAGATTATTTTGACTAAATTGATTCACCAATTTAGTCAAATGCTCCAAATCTGTCTTAACCACAACCTCGAACGAATCACTCGCTTTCCAGCCCACCAATTCTCCAAAATTTTCCACCTAAAACCCCCGACTTAACCTTAAGTCAAACGCCTTGCCCCCTTACTTGAATAATCTCACTCTGATGTTTAACATAGTTATCTAAAACGGCTTGAAGGAGAATAAAAATTTCCCGACCACGAATCGGTATTTTATTGTCGTCGATATAAATCGGGAAGTATCTTAGATTTCTCGGAAATGCAATCCATTGACTTAAATTTAGTTTTTGCTGAAAGAAAAATTGTAATTCTTGTGTTGTGAAATTATACGAAAATGTACCTTAGGCACGACTGTGCATGCGATTCGGGTCTCTGTACAGAAAAGTAAATTCTCCAAACTTCGCTGTTTTCTGCTATCGTGGACCGAATGACCGGAACAGACGAGGAGGGCATTTTGGTCGTTCAATGTCCCGTTGAGTTTGTTCAGGAGAGTTCGGAGACGCCACCACTGCATTATGGTGGCGTAGGCATACCACAGAGTGAAGATCATTGTGTTTTATGCCTCCATTGCATCTAAAAATAATCATTAAAAAAATTAAATGCTTCAAATTTAGTTTCAGTTTCTTGAAAACTGTATGCAGTGGCGCAGGTGATCAAAACTAAGCCTAAAATTCCATGGACAATTCTTACTTAAAAATTTTTGTTTTTATAAAACTAGATTTAGATTATTTTAGCAATTTCTCATGTGACTACTGTTGTTGGGTGACTTAGTCACAAACAAACCTTGTACCAGAACTTAAATTATCAACAACGAGGTTGAAAAAATCTCCTTGTTTTATCAACATTACATCCAATGGGACTTATTTTATGGCTAATTACAAATATAGATCAAAATATTACCAATAACTTCGTGAAAAACAAGATAAGTCATAAATTTTCGGGAATAGTCAAAATAAATGAGAGGTGTATTGGTGGGGGCGCAAAACTAAATTAAAAACTTTAAAAAAACCATCAATGACCTTTCCTAATCTTTATCTTGTCAGACAGGTCATATAAAAAACACAATTAAAATAATAAAAATCGTGGTGTCATTTTATAAAACGAGATAGTTAACCTTTAACGCTTCGATATCGTTATTTAATATCAATTCTATTTTCATTTAGTGCTCCTTTCGCCTTTTCGTCACATGACGTTCACTGATCCTTGTTTTCCTCATTGTGATTGCTATAAGAATCGAGCAAAACAAACTACTGACCTGGTTTGCTGCATCTTCGATTTAAAAATAATCAAACAAAATAATGGATTTGAATTGGATGGCACCTAGCAACAAAAATTTTTTTTTGATACATAATCAATTCGATAAATTCAATTACGTCTTCGTGGAACATAAATATTTTTGTCCTTGGTTGTTTTTTAAGGTTTTATGTCGCTTATATCTAGTGTGTATTTAAAGCTTCAGAAGCAAAATAACACAACATGTGATGAACTTTTGACTTTCGGGCGAGTCTTGGTACAAGAATGTGCTCAAAAGTGACACAATTTGGGTGAGTGGTGCACACAGGCTGTTCCGAAACTAACAACCAAAAATTTACCAGTTTTCAAAAATTGATATCAAAGAACTCACTCCCACTAAAAATATTTAACAAAACACAAATTTAAATTTTAATTAATTAAAATACAGGGTGCGCCACAACTCGCGCCCCAGAGAAAATTTTCAAGTAAGGTAAGATACCAGGAACTTGAAAAAAATGTTTAAAAAATTCTAACTGTCAAAAAATTTTGACATTTATTTTTTGACATTTGACATTTTTTTATATCTATTTAATGATACTGATGATCTTGTATATGTTTTTTTACAATTATTTAGTAAAGAGACAAAAATTTTGCCAATAAAAGCCACAAATAACATTGAAAAGAGTTACAATTTAGGATACAGCTTCCTTAATTCCTCTTTTAATAGCCTATAGCAAAAAAATTTGAAAAATTATTTTTCCAACAGAAATAAATAGAGTCAAAGTGCAAACTTTAAAGCCTCATAACTTCAAAATTTTTATAGATAAAATTTTTTTAACATTTTTTCCATGTTTCTGATATCTTACCTTATTTTTCATTACCACATTTTTCTCTGGGGCGCGAGTTCTGGCGCACCCTGTATGTACCTAGATAATTAGTAATTACGTACTTATGTCTAATTTTGATCTAAAGCATTCTAAATTAAAAACACTTAATACAAAATACTTTTTTAATTTATGAACTAAAAAGCAATTCAACAATTTTTTTCTATTTCATTTTCTTGTAAAAAAATATTATGCCTTTGAATTTTTTATAAAAGGCCCTCTTATTTAGCCAAGCATCAAATATCTTTGACAATAAGCTTTTTTGAGCTATTTTAACCCACCCTGTATCGCATTCCCAAAAATGTGCATAATCAATTGTATTCATCAAGTAGCCTTCGCCTTTATATCTCCTGCTTGAATATTTATTGCATTTTAATTTGATAACAATGTTTCATTAGTCGTTGGGTTGTTATTTTGCAGTAAGTAATTTTTTCTAATTTTTTTAAGTTAAACAAAAGTTCATTTCTTGCAATTTTTACCACAAGTTCTTCACGAGTCAAAGTCAGTTTTTTCATGTATTTGTGTGACATTTGAATGATTAAATAATTAGTGTGTAAATAGTAGTGAGTGAGTTAATTAAATTTCTTAATAATTTTGACAAATACTCAACTTTTGTTAATTTCTATTATCAATTTTTAAAAACAATATTTAAATGGTGACACATTACTCCACTTTCGAATTTTTAGTGGAAAATGTTTTTAAAAACATAATTTATTACATAGAAAAAGATAACACTTGAACATATTAAATTATCACTAGAGACTTATTAATTCGACTAACTAATTAAATAAAACGTCTCTTATTAATAAACCCATTCAAAGTACATACGTTTGTCTATATTTAACAATAAATAAATAGATGTGGTATAGTGACTGGTTCTAGAACGTTTTAGGGGGGTAGGCCGTAATAAAATGCAGAAATAAATATAGAAGCGGAATAATTTTGCCGAGATAATCTCCTTTTTATCAACATTTAAGTTCATTGGCTCTATTGACCACACTTAATTTCTATTTGTTTACAGAACAAACACCAAAAAAACAAATAAAAAGCGCCCATTATCGCCCGTCCCCCAAGCCACCCCTATAGCCCCCCAAGCCCTTATCGCTCTCTATTAAAAATTTTTCCTCCGCTCAGCAAAGAAATCAAAAGTGGTGGGGATCCGTCGATCGAGAAATTTTATTCGAGAGTGACACCGGCCGCGTGAAGTACTTGAAAACAGCCCCCTCGAAAATCGATATTTGATGTATTTGAGCGACTCCAGTGAACTGTTCGCTTACAAGTGCGAAAACAACAACAGTTGTCCATTTAAAGTGATGAACGGGCGAATCACAGACGTCAATTTCAACAGCCATCGCTGTGGGGCCAAAAAAACAGGTGAGAGATGATTTTTTTTCCAAGTTGAGTTTTTATTTGCCGGTTTAGAAATGGGCGACAGTGACTCGAGTGGCGAGGTGCGGAGTGAGGAGGTGCTAGCGCTGCGAATAAAGTTTCCCACGAAAGTGCCGGTAAGTCGCCGATAGCCCCCTTCGCGGGTAAAACGACTGTTTTGTCGCAGATCATCATAAAACGGTACGCGAAAGAGATGAATTTGCCCCATTTGGACAAGTGCAAGTTTCTGGTGCCGCAGGAAATCACGGTGTCGCAATTCCAGACGATTATAAGGTAAGACAGTCCCGTGGAAGGCCCCCTTGACCGGTTTTTCCAGGAATAGGCTGCAATTGGGGCCCAACCACGCTCTGTATTTACTAGTCAATAACCGATCAATGGTCAGTTTATCGCTGACTCTTGCTGAGGTCTACAGCGAGCATGCAGGACCCGACGGCTTCCTTTACATAACCTACGCCTCACAAGAAGTATTCGGTAGTGCCTGAACGCAAACTTTGGGATACCTGCATTTTTTTAATCGCATTAATTATGTAAATAGTATTAATTCGTCGTGTGTCTGTGCATTACTTATTTTATTAATTTTATTACTGTATGAGATTTTGAATGATTTGCTATTTTAAATATATGAATTCGAACTCACCCAATTACTTCCCCACTGGAATATTACTTAAACTAGGGCCCATCTTGACTGAAATTAAGAATTGTTAAGATAAAAACAGATAAATAAAGGAATTTACCAGAGGAATATAAAAATTGATAATTCTTGGCTATGCGGTGTTTTTTTCAGACTATTTGGTTGGTAGCACTGGACGTCAATGAGAAAATTTTCAACATATATCCTATTTTTTTCGTCGCATTTTATTTAATAGTCGCAAATAAACCGAGTTTTTGATATTGCGGTGTTTTTGTCGCTAATTAATTAGTTAAAAAGTGTCAAAAGCGGATGTTTAGTATTAAAGATAAGCTGGCTGTGACAATTTCCTTTATTAAGTACCGCTCATTGAATGTTTTCACGTGTTTTTAACCTTAATTAAAACATAAATCAATTACTCTGATGTTTGTTTTATTGTGGGTTTTAAATGTAAAGTTCTCGAAATATTTTCAAAATTACAAAAATTATTTTAAAAATAACCAAAGTCCCCAAAATATGCAACCAATTTAACACCGAAGTGACATTATCCTATGAATTATTTTTAACAAATAAAGTCGCCACATTTTAACAAAAATTAATAAAACATCAAAGCAAAACGCAAATTTTATTCATTAAATGCTAAATGATCCAAATTACGAATTATTTAACACAAATTCTCAAAATTTGACAGTTGGCACACGTGCGGGCCCTGTCATTTGTCAAAATCCTAACCAAGGTCCAAGTTCCATTCCAATGTGATTAAAACCGGGCAATTCGTCATATAATGCCCCAAAATGAGCCTCTCCATCATCCGGCGCTTCAGTTCTACGGCTCCTAGGTTAGTTTTTAGCCGTTTCAAAACCGAAGCCCCCCTCTACTGGGAAACCCTCAAAACGGTGAACCGGGAAGCCTTCCAGAAGAAAATCGAAAGTCTAAATAACTGGTACACCCGTTTCCTCCATTTGGACGAAGTCAAGCTCTACCAAGACCGCGTCGTGGCCCTCCAAGAGCGCCTACTCGAGGCACAGGAGAAGCGCCGTGAGATCGGGCGAAGCCTCGCCGAGATCCGCAAACGCTCCAACCAGTTGCAGGACGAAATCCACAAAGTAAAACGCCAGGAGAACCTGGAGAAGTTTTTGAATTTGATGAAGGAGGAAACGGAGGTTTTGAAGCTGGAAAATGAGGTGGCGCGGTCGTTCCAGGAGTGCGATCAAGCTGAAAGGGAGCTCTTCACGGCTTTTACCAACGCGGTAAGGGACTCGCACGAGAAACAGAGGGCGCAGGTGGAGTATACAAAATATTTCGGGATTATTTTGAGTATCACGGGGTCGTTTTTGGCGTTTTGCTACACAACTTTGAGGAAAGATGACTTGAAACGGTTTATTGAGGAGAGTTTGAGCAGGAATTTGGTCGTAGAGTCGCCAACGTCTAGTGATAACGATTTAATCAATTTTGTTAAAAGTGAGACTGCGAGACTCAGTGATGTAATCAGTTTTAAGCAAAATGAAATTAGTCGGATGATAGAACGGGAAAATGATGCACAAAAAAAGCAACTCTTGTATTACATAGGGGCCAGTGCGTTACTTTTAGTCATTTTTAAAGCAATTTCGAGTAATTAATTTATTTGTATGATACAAAAGTAGTCTATAAGTAATAAACTGTTGTTTTTGGTTTGTGTCCTTGATAAGAAAAAGTCTCACCTTAAAACCCATGTACTTGAGTATTATGTGACGTCAGCATCGCCACTGTTGTAAACCCTTTCTGGCACAAGGAGCAAAAATGCGGTTTTTCGGTCCTTGGGGCATCCAAACTGTGCTGTTTCATATGTTGTGTGAGACTATAGCTCTGCCTGCAGGCATACGGACACTGACTACACTTAAACGGTTTAGTTCCTACCAAAAAAAAAAAATTAAACAAGTTAGAGGGCGCCACTACCATACCCAAATGTATCTGAATGTGCGACTTTAGGGTCGAAACTTGCTTAAATCCTTTTTCACAATGAGGGCATTTATGCGGCCTTTCCTCACTGTGCGTTTTCAAATGCTCAGTTAAATGACTCCGTTGTCTAAAGGCCTGTTCACACTTCGTGCACTGGTACGGTTTTTCCCCGGTGTGTTTGCGCATGTGCAGTCGCAAATGGGCGGGTCTACAAAACCGTTTCGCGCAAATCTCGCACGCGATTGGTCGGCCTGTGTGGATTTTCATGTGAGTGTTGAGGACACTCGATTGGGCGAAAGCCTTGCCGCAGATGGTACAAATGTGTGGTTTTTCCCCCGTGTGGATTCGTTCGTGGACTACCATATGGTTGCGAGCGGTGGTTCGTTTATCACAAAAACGGCATTTGTAAGGGGCTTCCCCGGTGTGGGTGCGCATGTGCACACGAAACCTTGACAACGAACTACCAACGCAATTACAATAAAATCACTAGAATCGTACCAACCTGAATTTTTTGCCGCAAAGGGTGCACAAACACCCGTCGTTTGCTTTCTTCGATTCGGAACTGTGACATTTTCTGGTATGGGTGTCCAAACTTCGCACACGTTTATCACAAATCGTGCAAAAATTTTGTCTAAAATTCAACAATTAAATAAAATTAGGGTTGGTGTGGTTGTTACAATTGAGGCAGTTTTGGGGCTTGCCCCAGGCCATGTGTAGTAAGGTGAGCAACGAAGGAACTTTTCATTGAAAAATTCTGGGGACATTTTGGGCACTTGTACAACCGATCATCGGAGTGGACTCGCAAATGCTTATTTAAGTGTCTCTTTGCTGTAAAATTCTTATGGCAAATATGACAATTGTACGGTTTTAAACCTGCAACAATTATTATTGATTAGATTTTCCAAAAATTATGTTGGTATTACTGGAGTGGCACCGCAAGTGTTCTGTGTAATTCCCCCGTGACATGAATGTTCTCCCGCAAAATTTGCACTTAAAGTCGCTATTGACATGACTCAAAGTGTGTTTTTCCAAATCTTCAACTTCGTTGTTGCAAATGGAGCACCACCGCTCCTTTATTTCCCTAAAAAAATCACAATTATTCAAATTCTCGAACTGAGATTAGTTTACTTGTGCAAATAAGACATGTGCACCGACAGGGCCCGCGAATTACTCGTCACAAACCCGCATTTAATACACTCAACATTCGCGTAAAACTTCTCCTGGCACTCATTTATCGCTTCCTGGACCTCAAACGCCGAAAACTCGGACAGTTTCCGCGGCTCTTTCCCATTTTCAACTCTGATTTCAATCTTCTCACTCTCTGAAACCTGTGACTGTTTTTTACAATTATGAAAATTTCGTCTAGTCCCAATTACCATAACTCCGTTCACACATTCTCGAATGATTTCGTTCGACCTTTGTATCAACAGTTGAAAATCATAAGATAACCTCAATTTTTCTTCGCAATTTTTACACAAATACGACGGCAACAAGTCGTTTACTTCGATCTGGAACGGAAGATTAGCTTTTTTTCCGAAAACTGGTGATTCTAACCTCAATGTTGCCCACCGACGACAACATTGCGATTATGTGCGATGTGGCCTCTGTTTTGGGGTGGAAATTTGTCATGTCGGGGGTTTTTACAAGGCAAGTGCGACACACGTCGCTGAGGCGTACCTCGGGGGGCTCCATCCCACCGACGACGCTGACAGCTGTCACTTTAACGTTTGAGGTTATTTACATGCCTTTTTGGCGAAAAGTTCATGTTGAAACCTAATCTAGTGTGTAAACATCAAGCAATTGTTTTATCCATTTATTAAAAAGTTTTGCGGTTTATTTGAAGGAAAAAATAGGTGTATTGTTGGTTGCATATGTCCTTTATAAAATTAGATGTTATACAAGGGATGACGAAAAAGTTAATGAACCCGAGAGATATGTTTTGGTAGTTGCATACTTTGAATATCATTTTACCCGTGCAATAGTGTATTTATCTATAATAATAATTGACAAAATTGATCAGTTATCTTAATTCCATGTCAAATATTTACGAGTCTAATTTGAAAATACTCATTTTTTGTTGTTGCACAATGGTAATAACTGGGAAATGAGTGGCATGTCTCGTGTTATTTCCGTGCGTATAAAAATACAAAATTAGTGTGGAAAATAGAAAAAACCGATCGCGGGGTTAATTTGGGCCATGTTAAGGTCGGACGTGGCGAGTGCGTCCGGAAGTGTCCGATCGATGACAAAATAGTAAAGAGGCGGCGCTCCGGCGCAGAATGTTTTAGTGCGTTTGCGGAGACAATTTAGTCGATAACGCGCGCTCCAAGTTATGTAATATCACTGGAGAAAAATCATGCTGTAGAACGGATGGGGTAACCCGGGCTAGAGAGCTGATGTTGTGACTAGCGACTGTTTCGTGCACCACGCGGGAAAAAAATAATTGAGAAACAGTGTGATTTCTGGAAACCGGTGAGTGTGCGTCTGATGGTGGATTAAATCCGTTCGAAACCGGTCGAAGGGAAAATGGGAAAGAAGGGTCGCAAGACCAGGTGGCGCACTTTAACTATCACAGGTAAGAGAATAAAGGCGTGTCTTGCGAATTGGCCGAATTTCGTTCAGGTGAGTTCAAGGTCGGCGAAGAAGCCGGCTATTTCGAGATGTCACGTGTGACGGCCATAAAAAGGGGACCAACGCGAAGGGAGACGCTGCCAACTTGCTTGGGCTGGAATTTATTATTTCTTGATTTATGACGAGACGCCACTGGTGAGACGGTACCGGGGGGTGACTTCGCGACGTTATTTCGAAAAATAACGACCACACCCTCCGCACTTAAGGGAATCACCCGATATCGATTACCATCCCCCAAACAAGTTTCAAAATTGTGACATTTATGTCAAACACAACGCACACTTTGTTTCAATTCAAATTTTTTTTGCCGCCTCGGTGATAACACTTATCATCTCGAGAGTCTATTTTGTAACAATTGCGATAAAAATTTCACATTGTTACGCAATATGTAAGTTTGATCATCGCCAGTGGCGTACGGGATTAGAAAAGTCGCACTTTTATCGAATTTCGTTACGAAACAGCGTGGAAAAATCACAAGATTTTTCGTCTTATCGTTATCAGTTTACCAGTGTCATAAATCAGGTTTTTCTTAATTACCAAACACGGTTTAAAGTACGCTTCCGTTTGGCAACAATTTAATTTAAATCGGAAATAGTTTGAGTTATTTTCGAATTGCGTGCTATTCTTGTGTCATTAAGAAATTTTCATTCTGTTCTGTTGTCACACCAGTGGCGGAGGCCGGTTTGTTGCCAACTGAACCATAAAAAACAGCCGCGAAAAATATTTTTTAGACGGATTTAACCTGTCAGACTAACACAGGTATCTGTTTCTATTTGAATAAATAGATAAAACTAACAGGTTTGCCAACACAGTACAGATATTCCCCCTACGGTGAAAACACGCAAAATGATTTCTTTATATTTTACATTTGTACTTTTTAACCTAATAGTCTCCCCGTATATCAAAATTACCAGCCCACCAGCCATTCAATGTTTTGCTGGACATGTCATTCATTATCTATAATTACAGTAATTACAATCGAACATAAAAAGTGAATGGTTTTGTCCTCATGTCAATTGAGTTATTTTGCAAACATTTCGCAACTTTAGACAGTAAAAATCAGGGTGATCTTCTAAAATTTCGTTTGATAACGTTGGGTAAATAAAGTTTTAACTTTGTAAATATTGGAAGTTCAAAGTTTGCTCCACTTCCTATTTTGCAGGCTATTATCATTGTTGAGAATATATCCCAAAAACATTATTTTTGTATTATTTGTACTAAAAATAAGATAAGGTGAATATTCGCTTTTTCGAGTCTCTCCATTGACTAATCCAACTTGTTGGAAACTGATAAGGATTTTATTGTGTTTGCTTTAAAATCAGTAGATCGCAAATATTTTAAAAAGAAAGCTTCCGAATAAACAAGATTGTTTGAGATAATTTACGAAAAACGTGGTTTTGGAATTAATTTGCAAAGAAGCCCTACTTCGGTGCTGCATTTACCGTTTTAATTAATTGGAAACTATGTATAATTAAACGGAATTTGATCTAGTTACAGTTTTTCAAAGTACATATTTTCGTATTATCTTACATTTTGACTTTCAAATTTTCAAGGCCGGAAATCTTAACTAACAAAATAGGTGACTAAATTTTATGTTTCCGGACAAATAATAGTATTTTCATGCAACCTGAAATTAAATAAATGTAGCTTGTTTGGAAAATGTCCAGTTTTTGAACAAATTTTTATCATTTATAACCCGACATAATGTGCAAGCGAGGGCAATGAATTTCGTATTTTTATTTTAAGAAAAATTCATTGGCACACCTTCGAAACAGAGATTAATAAGCAACAAATAACATTTTTCAAACAATTAATTTCAGGACTGAAACTGAGTTAAACGATTTTTTAATATTAGAAAAGAGCTCCTTATCTATTTTCTACTAACCCTTGTTGATCTTTAAAAAATTCCATTATTTTTGTTTAAATTTTACAAATTATCGAACAAATCCTGTTTTTGCTTAATTATGCTTTAAAAGAATCGATTTTGTACCGAAGCAATGTATTTATACTCTTGAATAAAAAAATGAATGCACTGCTTTGATCTCTTAATAGATTCGAATGGTAAAAATAGCGAGGGAGAAGTGTTGGAAAATATCCGAGTTTTGTGTTTCTGGCCAATAAATTAAACATCGTCTGAAGTTTTATTTTTACAGCAAAAATTTAATTTAATTTTTATGACTCACTGATTTATTAAAAATAAAATATGCGAGTAATTTCGGGACAGACTGTATACTGGCTTAGCAAAACTAAAGCAGTATACTGAGTATACAGTATGTCTCGGAAATGCGTACATTCACAGGTATTTTATTGTTGTAAATAGTAAAAAAATTAGGTCACTCTGATGAATTTAATCTAAAATTCATTTAATAGTTCCAATAAAGTGTTGACTTGTCAACCTTTGAACTCTGAAATGAATTCGCGATGATTGTGCAAATAAGAAATACTAGAAAAGTACTAGAAATTCTAGATAAATCAACTCATGACTCAATTCCTCATTAAGATAAAAATGTATATTAAATTAAGTTAGAAATGTTTCACCTTTGAACTCATAAATCCCGAATTTCAAAACCCAACAAGAATAGATTACAGTACCGAAATAACCAGTCGTTAGTTTCCCGTCTAATTAATAACAATTTTTCAAAGTTGCTCGTTATAGAACAGTCTCGCGTTTGATTTTTTACTATTAATTTATTTGTTAGATTTGTAAAATTGGCGCGAAATTCGAAAAGTCACATGCGGGATCACGCGTCCGCTTTCTAAATCCGTCCACCTCGTGAACAATATTTTTTCCCGCATTCTCGTGACTTGTTATTTCGAGACATCGGCATTGCGTCATCGAAACCTTTCGCGAAAAATATTGTACTTTGATGGGTCACTCATCGCACGTTTTTCTTATCAATCTCAGCCGAGGTCGAGGAAAAAACATTCGAAATTGACACGTGTCTGTCAAAGTGTGTGAAATGTGACAGTAGTTGTCAAGGTCGGATTATATTTTTATTTCGGCTAAAAATACCCAATTTCGGTCCATTGACGCGGAAGGGGGCTTCACTTATATTTAATTGAGGCGCCTTTGACGGGTAGTACTCAACGAACCAATGGGGTTGCGAGATGGAGGCGGGAAAAGACGGTGAGATTTGTTTTGTAGTTGACTGAGGGTCACGTGACATAATTAATTGATTTATCGCCAGACATTGAGGCATCCAAACTGTATTTATTATCAATTGTTTTATCTAATTTTAAATCCGGTTTTGATATTACAAACCCCTGTCACGCGATCCGATATTGATCGTGATTTAGCGCCATCTTTTCGCCAGTAAAGTCCTAAAATATTTCATATTTATTCAAGCTTCCATTTTTAATATTTATTCATGTTATCTGTAAATAAAATTACAATTCCACCATTGATCTCGATGACGCGAAAACTTTAGTTTTGTGTCGGGGTGATGACCGGAAAAGATGTCAAAAATCACGATTTTTGACGTAACTGTAAGAGATAAGAGTAATTTGGAAATTTTCGGTAAAATGAACGAATCTGAGTTGGCGAAAATTTTTCCATGGATCTAAATGTGACCCTGTTTATTTCGATATGTTTTGCTGAACTATTTTTTTTGTTTGATAAGAATTTGTTAACAGAAAAATATATTTTGTATTGGTTTGAAAGTGATCTCGCAATGTCAAGTTGTAACAGCAATGACAGTCTAGGAGGCTGTTGACAAAATTGACAACTTCGCAATGCCTACGCCACTGGAATTGTTGATAAAAAATTCAAAGTGTAACTCCATTTAGGTGTCAAAATTGTCAAATTACGTCGTAAATAAAAGACATAAAACATAATTTACGATAGGAATTACGTTTACATTGAGTACTTTTTCCTATCAGTCGTTATCAGGTATTTGAGACAAAATAATACAATATAAACACGGAAGTACAACTCGAGTGAAAAACATTCCAAAATTGTTTGTTTAAATTTGGTCAACTCGCGACTAAAATTGTGGTCCGAATTATTGCATTTTGCACTGCAGATCAATAAAACTAATCACTATTTCTTAAGAGCTGCAAAATTGTGAATATTTTTTTGTTGTCCCTGATAATACAGGGTGTGTCAAAACTCGCGCCCAGAGAAAAATTTAAAGCAAGATAAGATACCAGGAACATGGAAAAAATGTTTAAAAAATTCTATGTCAAAAAATTTTGACATTTGATATTTTTAATTTAATGATACTGATGATCTTGTATATGCTCATTTATAATTATTTAGTAAAGGTACAAAAATTTTACCAATAAAAGCCACAAATATCACTAAACAGAGGCACAATTTAGGATACAGCTTCCTTGTTTCCTCTTCTAATAGCCTGTGGCAAAAAAACCTGTAAAATTATTTTTCCAACAGACATAAATAGAGTCTCAAAGTGCAAAATTTAAACTCTCATAACTTCGAAATTTTTATACATAGGATTTTTAAAAATTTTTTTCCATGTTCTTGGTATCTTACATTGCATTTTTTTTTCTGGGGTGAGAGTTCCGGCGCACTCTGTATAATTCTTGTAAATGAACTCTCTGTATTATAGAGAGTGACTCGCGTAACTTTACATCCCCGACCAGTTGTAGATTTTTATACTTGATTGCAATACATTTTTGAAAACTTTCGATAAATTTATTGTTCATTTAGAAGTGTTTAATACGAGTTGTAAAGTTACAGGAAATACTCTGTATATGATAGATGACGTAAAAGCGTCACTTGCGCCATGAAATTTTGGATATGTAATTTTAGTTGTAAAAAGCTTGAGTTGCATAAAAAATATCAAATAAAAATATTTTGTTCTCTTATTTTGTGTAGTACACTGTCATGAAAAAAAGTTTTATTGTTTTCTAAAAATCGTGAAAAATCATTACAAAAAACCGAATATTTGTAATTAAATAAATTCTGTTGAAAAATATTTCAAGCGTTATGGCCAAGCCACATGGCGTAATTTTTGTTTTTTTTTTGTAATAAGTAGTAAACCAGGTTTCATTCTCTTTTGTTCAGTTCCTGAGTACAAATAGAAAATCTCTAATGACAGTTCAGAAAGTGAAGTTAGCAAATGTCATTTATCCTATTTAGAAAAACAAAAGACTAGTTGCTTTACCAATTGGACAATAAAGTTTGATTTTTGCTGTATAATCGAACAATAATTTCCATATAAAAAATGAGTTGTGTTTGATTTGAAAAACACGACTTGGCAAACTTTGTGATAAAATCAGCGACTTTGAAACTATTTGCCTTAAATAAATATTTAAAACAATGATTTTTAAAGTATCCAAATTTCTTGTTTCCACTTCAGCGAAAATCCATCAAACATTAACCACGAAATACATTTCTGATAAGCCAAATTCCGTCTCCACCTCAAATATTTATGCAATTTGGGTTTCCTCCTCTCCGTCGTTTACTTTACAGTACTTGTTGAATATTTGCTTTCATTTTAGCATTTTTAACTTGTGTTGTTATCTGATTGCGAAAACAGTAGCATCAGCGTCCTCTAGTCGACCCGTGTAGCCAAAACAGGGCCGTCCTTAGCCTTTACCCTGTCCTAGAGATCTAAATTTAAGTCGTTTGAAAATTGCTCATTTTATTGTCAACAGATGAACACAGCGATAGTGAAGAATCAAATACTACCACATCGGGACACAGAGTCCCCAAAGGATACCCCCACAAATCGTACTACAGCCGTTTCACGTATTCTAGTCAATCAACGCCTACGAGAAGGTACCAGTGCGATGGGGCGAAGTCGACGAGGTCCAGCAGCACTGCCAGTGAAAATAAAATCACCTTCAACGAAGGTAATTGCGATTTATAGCACAAATTTTAATGCACGACGCGAAGCGAGGGCCGTAAAAGACGGTACATATAAGTAAAAAAATTGTTTCTGAAATGCAAGGAGAGTCAAGTTTTATCCCCACCCCCAAAACAACACTTTGAAAAACCGTTTCACCCCCAAAAAAAAAGGTGTAGATGACGTAGAAATAGGTGTTTGTAGGGTGCGGATGAACTCGATTCACATGGTACAGTAAAAACTTTATAATTGGCGAAAACGATTTCTATTATCTTAAAAATTTTATTCACGTACGCCACTAGCAAACAGACAAAAATGTGTCAATTTTATTCATTTCTAGAAGACAAAAAAGTCTCGATTAATTTCTTATCAAAATAGCCTGTGACTTTGAAATTACGTTGGCAACACTACATAATCTAGAGACAGGAGATATGTCAATGGCCAAGTCTCAAACAGGCTACTTTGATCAGTTTAAGTGAACTAATTTCAGAATCACAGGCCACTTTGATCAGAGAATTGCGATAATCTGAGACAATAATATCAAAAAGTTTCAAAAACAATGTAATTCGCATCAACAAATTTTATTTTATTTTAAAAATAAACAGACAGGTTTTAAACAGCTTTATCTTCGTTAAAAATCAATCTTTTGGTGTTTATTTTTACACCCGGAAGCCGTGGTGTTTGTGTGGCGAAAATAAATTTAAAAAAGATTGACGTTTGTCAGAAATATTTGAAAAATGGTTCTGATTCGGTTTGTCTTGCGTGCAGATTTAATGATGCGAAATACATAACGGTTACACTCTTTGAACTTCTAAAATTGATTTTTTTCCGGATTATTTCAAATCAAAAATTTAGGACAAACAAACAGGTTTACACAAATTTACTATTTCTAGGAAAGCTTATTTCATAATTACCATATACATAATATGAATATTTCTTGTTTTACTACACGCAATTAGAAAAACTATTTAAACTTGTAACAATTGTGTAATTTTCTGTAAAAATTTATTACCATATTGTGACACTACGTGACGTCCAGGGCCGTACTCACGGCACACTATTTTCTCAATTTATATAAATACACGAAACTCTAGACTAACGCGTCGCATACCTGAACTTAAAATTTAAATTTAACTAACAACACAAGGAGACGAAAGTGTTTGGAAAATATCCGAGTTCTATGTTTTCTGTCAAATTAATTGCTCGTCAAGGCGTATTTAAAATACGTGAAGTTTAAAGCGATATAAACTGTAGACGACACAAAAAATGAGAGGTGCATTTTTGCGTCGGGTAGTTTATTGTTGTTTTTTTCGGAAAAAGTGCGCTATTTGGCTAATTGGCAAACAACTGTAATTAATTATTAACAGTAGATAATTATTTTATCCTAATTAAAATTTTAAAAAAAGGTTAAACACTTTTAAAATTAATGGAAAAAACGATCTCCTGTTCAATTAAAATAGTTAATTAATGATTTTAGTGATAAAATCGATACGAGTCATGGCTTACTTGTCAGTATTTATTCTTCACTTAAATAAAATTAAACTTATTTGTGCGCCATAACAACGCAAAAGGGTGAGTAAACAAGGATTAGGTACGAGACAGGGATTAAATTAAGTTCAAGGATTTGGCATATTTATAACACAACCCAAACAGGGTTTGACATTTTAAACAAACCCAGTTTTACCAACTTGGCGAAAAGATAAAGCGAACAAACATTTCGACAATTTCGATGACACGGTTTCCCACGCGTCTGCATGATATGCCGTGTCCTGGATAATAAAGGGACGACACGCAATCGACAGGGTCTATTTAACGAAAACGTTGGTAACAATGGAAACTTTCTTCCAGGACTGCTTAATTATATCATAAATTTTAATAAGACACCACTCGTATGTGTCATAACAAAAAATTCCGTTTTTATTTAATTAAGCCTTATCTGGGTGTTTATCGTTACATGAATTCTTCTGTTTCCATGCACCTTTGAACTTTCTCTATTGAACGGGATATAAATAGATCCGCAATTATTTATTGCACTTTTTCAGCCTGTAATTTGCCCATTTTCTAGAAATTCAGAATATAAAAATGCTTTACTTGAAAAATTTGGTAAGTTTCAAAAAAATTATAAAACAATCGCAAGTGCGTTGCACTTTAGGTGATATTTCATCAAAATGATGTCACTTGTCATTTATACTACGAAGATAAGTAACTGGCTTGATACCAACACAAAAACGAACAAAATATAAGTTTTTATTGCAGTGTAGAATTTTCTGTTAATATTAAATATGTTGGTCATCCTGTATTGATCATTTTGAGCGGTCTCCTATTTATACGCTCCCTACAAATAGTTTGAACGTAAAAGCATGTTCACCAACTGTATAAGATAGAATTACACTAATTTATGAAATAAAGTGTTCTTATTTTCACTTTTCCAACTTAATTGAGAGAAAAACAAGAACGTTTCTATTTTCATTGCAATCCCTCGTGTCTATAAAAAGACGGCGATGGAACAGAAAGAGGGAAGTAAAATCGATAACGGCCGGGATTTACATCGCATCGTAGATTAAATCTCGAAATTGATTTTCTTTGGCTTTTTCTCTCGTCATGCGATCACCATTCGGCCTTAATCTTGTCTGTTAAATGTCAAGTGTTTTGTCCTTTTGCCAACAACTCTGATTATTAAATTTTCAGACGAATATACGCGCATTACGACACCTAGACAAGATGTATTATTTAAAAAGGGTTACTTGAACAAACCCAAAACGTACCAAACGCAAACATCTACCGGAAATTCGACCACATCGACTGGTAATTCCACCGGAAATGGAACACCAGACCACCAATCAACAGGTATTTGACAGTTTTCCACCCCCACCACAAAACTTTAATTTTTCTTTTTTGCAGACTTAGAATACGAATCACAGTTCGTCTTCCCGAATGGTTTCGTCGATCAAAACGGAATCTACTATATCAACAGTGAGTGAAAATTTTCAAATTCATTTTAATTATCCAATTTGCCACTTGGCTCGTGACTTAATTAGCATAATTGGACTTAATAATGATAATGACAGATGTGAAATGTGTGCAAAATTTTTTGAACAAATGCCAAATCTAGAGACTTGGGTTAAGGGTGCACTTGTAAATCATTCGGTGCTGCCAACTTTTAAGCCAGTAGTTAGGTTGGTATTTGCGTGCACCCTAAAACCATGTTGGTAGCACATTTAAATGTCCAAATTGAAATTTTCAGGTTTTGAACCGTATCCAGTGATGGTTTACAATCCCCCGACTTATTATCAGGAATTTACGAATATTAAAGCGAAAAGATGCAGCACAGGCTCGTTGGTGAGTTATCATCACAAAATAAATATGTACACACAGTCTATTAGTTACAAAAACAAGTCAAACACGAACGTAATATTGTAAAGTCATGTCACAATGTTTATCGTGGGTAAATAAATTAGTCCAAAAATAAATCTCAACGAAAATAAATCAAGTTTGACATAGCGGGAAATTTGAATTTCCAGACGGAATCGACGAGTCCGAACAACGAAGAAACTAGTCAAAGCGAGACACCGGAAGTGAATCCTGTTTACAACGTCGTATATCCGGGTTATTACTACAACGGCGTATGTGACCCCCCTCAAAACGGGACTGAGAGTGAACCTGAACCCCGTCGAGTGAAGAAACGAAGACGACGAAAGCCTTCGCGATCGAAAGAGGGCACCACGTCCGAATCTTCGGATGAAGTTTTCAGCGACGAAGAACCCCCCGAACCCAAGGAAGAAACTTCACAGATGCCTGAAGAACCAAAATCCGAAGAAGACGAGAGTGCGACCCCTAAATCGTACGATCTCAAGCCGGACGCCGAAGAGTTCGTGCCCCGCGCCTATCGACAGCCCCCCGAGACCATTCCGATGGAAGCCAACGTACAGTTTATCAAAATCCCGTCGAATTTCGTACCGGTGCCGATTTTGAATCCGATGAGCGATTTTAACGCATTTATCCCACCCGGAATTCCGATCAACTTCATACCTCAAAACTTTATTAATTACGTACCTTACAAACCCGCCATCCAATCAGATGAAAAACCGACGGAAAAGCCCGATGAGACGGTTAAAGAAACGGTTGAAGTTCCTAAAAATCAAATCGACATTGCGAAGATCGTGTCGAAACTTGAAGAAGCAGCCAAAGAACAAGACGAAACACCGAACCATAAAGTAAAGAAGAGATACAGATACCAAAAAGTCGAACTGAGAAAACCGCCACCGAGTCCCGAACCGCGGGCATGGAAACCGCCCACTCCGAAAAAAGAAGAAAGCGCACCGAAACCGCTCAGAAACTACTCAGAAACGTTGAAAAAAGCACCGGTTAAACCGAACGAAGAAAAGATCAAGACCAAACAGATTGTTAAAGAAGTTGTGAAGAATCACAGAGTTGAACAAACTCCACAACGAGTGACAAACGAGTGGATTTCAGTTTCGAGTCGCAAGAAACGAAAGAATAAGAACGTGGAAGAAACCGGCAATTTCGAAGAAGAAACAGTTCCCGAGAAAGAAGAACCAATCCCCGAAAAAGAAGAATCGGTTCCCAAAAAAGAAGAACCGGTTCCCGAAAAAGAAGAATCGGTTCCCGAAAAAGAAGAATCGGTTCCTGAAAAAGAAGAACCGGTTGAGGTCATTGAACCAGTCGAGGTTATTGAACCAATTCCCGAACCCGTCATTGTCGAAGAAGTGAAGGAAGAGAAGAAAGTTAGGAAGAAAACGAAGAAACACAACACAAAAGTGGCTCCGCCTCCGATTACGAAGAGAGTTATCATCACAGATGTTGATTTGTCGGTGAAGGAAGTGAAGGAGGAGCCAAAACCAGTTCTAGAAGAGGAGCCAAAACCGGTTCCAGAGGAAGAAATAAAAACAGTAGAGGAGGAAAAGCCGGTTGAAGAAATCGTCGAGAAGAAAGAATCTCCGGAGAGGAAACCAAAGAAGAAGAAGAAGAAAGTTGCCAAAGCCCCGATTTTGAATAGCCAATCAAGTTCCAACACGACACTTAACGTTCTTGACGATTCATACGATTTTCTCATGGATGAATCGATAGAGAAAACTAATGTTGAGGCATGTAGTTTTTTTTTAAATTTGTGACAGTTTTGATCATAATTTGTTTGTAGGTGTCGCAAGAATTAGACAAGATGATCCAGAGAGGGATGTACAACAGTCTGGAGGAGAAAATCAAATCAATGAACATCGAATCAAACGACAACTTCTTCAAGAGCATCATTACGAACATATCAAGCCGTGAGCCGAGCGTTGAAAAAAGCTACAAAACGCCCGACTTGAGCAAAATCCTCACGTCACCTCTCCTCAAACCGGCGAGTTTCGATCACAAACCGGGCGATTTTTTAGATGAAACCACCCCCAAGCCTCTTGGGGGTGGTACCGAGAATCTCTACCCTATCACCAGAGCCGTGAAGGAGTGGATGAGTAAAACGCGCGAGACCACCCCCGATGTGGAGTTACTCAAAAGTCCCAGCGAAATCTTTCGCGAGTTTTGCGATGAAGATGGGGACGAAGGAACGGAGACGTCGTGTTCTTCACTTGAAGAAGAAGATTATCTCAAGGTCCAAGCGGAGGAGAAACGGGGGAAGTACCCCAAACATGGCAATCTGCCATACAGGGCGATATGTTGTAGTATTATGTGATGGCGACTGTCTGGGACGCGATTACTTAATTCTGGGCGTACTTAAGACGTTGTTTCTTCCGTTTGTGAATATTTTTAAGGTTGGTGGTGACGCACCGCTGGTCTTGTGATGTTAAGAGACTTATGGAGCGCCCCACAAACGAAATCAAAATTTTTTGGTGTTTTTGGCCTCCTCCCTCCCGGTCCAAGGCCTGCTCCAAAGAGACTGAGTTATACGCTTAAGGCGCGTCACACCACGAAAATGGCAAATGTTTCTGTAATAATAATTAAATCAATTGATTGTTCTGTTTCGTAATGTTGAATCGTTATTGTTATATAGTTGATAGGGGACAAATCCGGCCGTGTCGCGGTTTTAATTATGTAGCGGCCGCCAAATTTTTACGTTGGTTCAAAACGCCATTTGCTCATTTACCCCTTATTGGTTGTCCTTTAGAATGTAAAAGTAGCGTGCAATTTTAAGTTTAAGTGTGATTGCTCCACACCCTAAATTATAATCATCATCGCGGCGACAATATTAGGGGGTGTGAAATTCAAAAAGACACTGTTGTATGTATGTTAAGTCTAGTGTTAAGTTGTTTTGCGCATGTATGGAGTTTTTTCTTAAGTTTTTCCTTTTCGTTTGGTTGTTCTATTGTTACAATGTTTGTTATTTTTGAGAGTTGTGCCTTTGCAAAATTTTTAAAATAAAGAAAATTATAATGAATCTTTTTTCTAAAATCGAACATTTCACTTTTTTATTCATGTCATATCTACAATATACAATATTCACAACACTTGGGTGGCCACACTATTCGTGAAATAGACAAACGCCCCCATTAGATTCACGAACGTGGCCCCCAGGAACACCATCATCCATTTGCCGTCGTAGGCGGTGACCAACGACGCCGTCACCGGACCACACAAAATCCCCGGTATCGTCGCAATCGTGTTACTAATCGCAAACGTGGTCCCGGCATAATTGGGGGCGACATCTACGTGATTGCTCAAATGTCCGGCCGAATTGCTCGCAGACAGCCCCATCGAGATACTGACCAGGATGACGGCGAAAGGCAGATGGTCCACGACACAGAAAATCGCCAGGAAGAGCGCCGGCCCCACTAACCCCACACTGGTCATCAACCGGCGCACATTCAACACCGACCACCCCTTCAAGAGCAACCCGTCGGCTACGTGACCGCTAATCACCCCGAAAATCGAGTTGACGATGTATGGGACCGCTGTCAGACTCAAACTGTGGGCGTTGCCCCCCAAATACCGCGCTAGATACGTAGGCAACCATTGCATGATGATGTAGGACGACCAATTCATGGCGAAATGGGCCATGTAAATCGCCCATAATGGTTTACTGAGGATGAAATCGGCCCAGCGGATGCTCCGGGATATCACTTTGGGCATATGCAACGGGATGGTTTCCTCCGCACTGAAAGCGTCCTCGGGATAGACAAAGTACCACAAAACCACCCAGATGAACCCAAACGAACCGAACCAGTAGAAACACGCCTCCCAGGATAGATGGGGGCACAGGACTGAAGCGACTGTTTGACCGACCGAACCCGAAGCTAGGAGATAGCTGAAGGCGCGGGAGCGTTCCTCCACGGGGATGCTGTGGGCGAAGAGGTGGAAAATTGTCGGAAGACCGAGACCTTCAGCAAAGCCTAGAATTATGCGACAGTTCACCAAGGCTGTGACGCTGTGGGCCAAGAAAGGGGTGATGAATGTTGCGATGCTCCACAAGAGGACGCTGCAGATAAGCACGTTCTTAGCCCCCACTTTGCTGGCCCAGAAACTGCCTGCAATGCGAAAACCTAAGTTTAGGCCTCCAATTTGTCATCCAGCAAAAATTAAAAAAAAAACCGTTGGCAACACTGAATTCTTCAGATACAATTGACTATAAAATCGTGACGTTTGTTTGCAGTCAAAATTGCCAACCTAATTTAAAATCATAGACCGCTTTGATCATACATTTAATTGCATGCAAGGTTTATTTCCACTCAATGTGAATAAAATCATTAAAAAATTGTAATAGGCATTTGTCACAAAGTAATTATCTTAATCTCCCATGATTTATGGTGCAATTACAGCGCAAAATAATTTTGTGTCAGATAAACTGTCTCTGATAACAAAATGCAGGTCAAAAGAAAAACAAAGGATACGTACCTAATATTTGACTAGTGAAATACCCGAATGCAAAGGCTGATAAAATCCACCCTTGGGCGTGCAGACTCCATTGGAAAATATCAGTCATGGGGACAATAGCAATGGGCATTATAACTCGATCTGCACTATTTATAAAATTGGCAGCACTGCATAGTGCCACTATACGAGAGGTCCTCGTCAACCAACGAATCCTAGCCATGATTAGGGCCTGAAAGTACCCCCATAAGGTCCCAAATCACAATAACCAAAAAAACATCCTTACTTGTTACAAACCACACTTAAACCATTTCTAAACGAATAAAAGTTAACTCAGGAGTGTTAACACACTGTGTTTATTTCAAATTAACCGTATTTACGCAAAATTAATAAAGGGTTGACGTTTTGCATGGCCAACATGTCAACAACAATGTCGCCATTACAAACTTTGGGGGTTTTCAACCGGTCAGGTTGGTAAAATTAGGCGCCAAATTTGAAATGAATTAATTTATTTAATCTTCAACATCATCGATTAAGTAAAGAAGAGCGTCATTTTCGTAGGTAGGAAAGTAGAATCTAAAAAGACACTTTATAAATGCCATAAAAATGATTAAGACTTACTCAGGTTGATCAAAAACTTTTAAATCCGGGATTTTGCAATGTTGCTCTTCAAATAAATGCTCTTGTAAATTTTCAGAACTCTTACAACTCAAATCGCAATAAAAACATTTGTTGTTGTGCATTTGTCGCCTTACATAGTTCACAAATTTAACTTTTTGGTAGAAATCGAAATTTTTGGTCAAGTCGACGAAATCGAAATCGTGGTCTGCTTCCATATGGAGGCACAAAGTGTTAATATTTGTGTCTCTCTTCTCGCAAAATAAACAAATAATAAAATCATCTTTCTCATTCCAGTCGTAATATTCCTCATCATTGTTTGGATCATCCTGAGGTACATCATCATGTTTTTGTACTTTTTTACTCAATTTTTCAGGTTCTAAATAATTCACTATGAAATATTTATCATAATCAGTATTGCGTGGATTAATTCTTTTATGCAACTTTTTCCTCATATGCTCCTTCAAGACGTTTCGTTCGGGAAAAACACGACTGCAGTAAATACATATCAATTTCCCCAAATTATCGTCAATTTTCTCCACTAGATCCTCAATAAAAACCAAATTTTGAGGATTCCCCAGTTGCAAATTATGTTGCGACTCCAAATGAGCAACAAAGTCGGCTCTCGTGCCCTCAAAGTTCAATTTACAAAAAAGACAAAGCCGTTTATAGCCCCCATCAGTGCGTTCAAATTCTTGCACTTCTAAAACATGCTCCAATTTGAGTTTGTGACGCAATTCCTTGTCCTCCTTCAGCAGAGTTGACAGCAAAAAGTAAGTTTGGTTAGAAGAGTCAATTTTGATTGCCGGGATGATCTCCTCAATGGGGGCCTCTTTAAATTTGTCCCTCCAATATTGAACATACCTAAAGTAATAATTAGAGCACGAAAACTCATTTCAAAAACAAACCGTGGCAAATTTGCTATATTTTGGACTTCCTCTATTACCAAATAATGGACTTCAAATAAATGCCTGACGAAAATATCGAAACTTAAAGCTAGGTTAAAAGTGTCATCACACAGGAGACAGGTTACTTCTGATTCGGTTTCAGGGGAATTGGGGGGTTTAGAAGTCTCGAATAGTAAAGGCCCAAACATTTTATTGTCATTTTCTAGAAAAAACGCAAGTTATTACAAGAAATTGGTAAAAAATGACTTACCTGTCTCGTCGACTGTTGCCATTATATAAAGCCTCAATTTACACTTCTATAGTCAAAAATTCATAAATCAAAATTATAGAACATTAGAGGCCTAATAAGTTTGAAAAAATCTTGAAATTTTGAAAAATTAAATTACCTGTCAATGCAAAATTTTGACAGATGACTTTGAGTGGACAAAACAGAAAACTGTAACAATTTGGAACCAATAATTTAATTTTATCATTGCCCAAAATAATAAAACGTTGGAGGGTTAATTATATAACTAAAGTTTGAAAAAAATGTTAAAATTTTCGAAAAATTTAATGCAAAATTTTGACAATCGTCAGACTTCGTGTGGGTAAACAGAAAACTGTAACGATTTAATCACAATTTGGGGCCAGACTCTTTTTAAAGAATTTTTTTTATATAATACAAGTATAATTTACATAATACAACAATCAATAAGATCCCTTCACACGTCACTGCCTATTTCCAAATATACAAATATAACTAAATCTTAATTAACTAAAAGAATAGAGAGTATTACAACAGAAAGACTCTGAACAAAGAAACAATTGAGCTTAAATTAACTAATTACAAGACAGAAAAACTCCAAAAAGTTTTGATTTCGTGCATTTAATAAAACCTGGAAAACACTACGACTTTTTCAAAATTCTTATCATATCCTTGTTTTGTTTTGTTATGGTCATATCAGCCGTCTCTGCCTTATCAGTAATTGTGCTAATCAAATCATTCTGGGAGTCAATTTCGTACGACAAATCCGTGGCTAAATTCTTCAAACGTGAAATATTTGAACACATTTCTTGTAAATTCGCATCGAGTTTCGCACTAAAATCCTTGCTCCCTGAAGTCTGCGACGGCGCTGAATTGTAATCTAGATTTTTGATTCTAGTAGAAGGATGGTTCTCGAAACGGTCATAGGTCGACAATTTCTCCTCAAATTCCTTATGCAAATCGTCCGAATCCTAAAACAGCACAAAACTAACAAATCTAAAAACGAAATTAAATGACCCACCTTTGTAGTTTTCGACGGGGGGCTCGGACTCGCATCGTTCTTCCCCGCCATATAGTTCTTCAAACTGCTGAAAACCGATTTGATTCCGTTAATATGCTTCTGGGAGAACCTCAACGTAGCGTTGATTTCATCCAATTGCTTATCAGTTTTCTCCAATTTCTCCCTTTGTCGCACCAATTCTTCAGCTGTTGCGATTCCAATTTGCTCTGAATCTCGCAAAATACTCAAACTTTTCTCAGTGCTGTTGATAGTACGGTCCTCGATAGCCCGTTTGCGCTCCTGAAACGACTGCAGTTGGTCGTCGAAGGAGCTCTGGGGGCCCTGAGAACGACGAGAGTTGCGTAGGAAAATTTCATCATCGACGTCGTCCTCTTCGAACGGGTTGGTGGATTTGTAAGGGTTCGACATTTGAGGGGGCGGAATGCACGCAGAAATGTGTCACAACAATGAAAAATACATAAAAGTGACAGTGAAGTTTGACATTTGTTGACAATTAGTATAGGGATTTTCGCATTACTGAGTTGGTAGTCGTACGACTCCTACGTTGTGTATGCAACTAACAATACACAATCAATTTATTTAAATCAATAAATAAAAATTCAAAATTGCTACAAATCGCTTTATTATCAATTTTATAAAGTAATAAAAAATCTCATTAAAACTCTCAATAAATCGGTTTTTCCGTGCCGCCATGCTTCGCCTCCTCCGCCTCCTGCAGCGCCGCCAACCTGGCATGTTCCTCGGCGATTTTCTGATACAGCTTGAAATGCTTATCCTTGGCGCGACTCACCGCCACCGAATCCACGGGCACGACCACCGCCCCGGGGGCGGCTTGTCTCGCATTCGCAATGTTGGCAAACTGCACGAGATGGCGGTGCTTGGCCGCCGCCACCACCGGTGTGTCGGACGGGAGCGGCTCCGGCGCGTAATTCAAAACGGGGTGGAAGCCGTTTTTATCGGCGATGTACTCAACAGTGCGGATTTTAAACCGGGGATCCACATACGAATACGAGCCTTGGACCACCCCCGAGCCGTCGGAAACCTCCGAATGCGTCCGATCGATGTGGCCAGGGAAACGACCGGCAGCGTAACCGAAAGCATAAGGCTTTGGGGGCGGCGGCGGCGTCGAGGGCTCGGTTTGCTGGAGGTGGACCAAGTGGGCGACGTCGGATAAGACGCCCGACGTCAAGGTCAACAGCGCCAAAAACTGGGGAGAGATTTAGGGATTTTTACTAAATTATTAAGGGACATAAATTTTTCGCCTCCGGAAAATCGGGAAAATATCTTTCCGTGATTGGTTTGTAATTGTTCCGGTGGGAAATTTATTAATGTTCGATAGTTTTCTACAGTGATGGCAGCATTTTGTCGGAAATTAATTAAAATCAAGTCGACTTTAAGAGAGTCATAATAATAAAAAAGTTTATTCTTCGTGTCGTTTTACGATTACTGTCGATTGTTTCTGTTTATGTCTCAGCCAACTCTGCTAATAATTATTAATCCGGTAATTCCCCTTAAATCGAATTAGAGTGAATCACGTGACTGTTGGTAGTAAACATACGTGACATTTCTAATCCATGGCCCCATAAAGCTACAAGAATGTAATCGAGACGGCCTCGGTCATTAATCTAAACTTTATGACGTCGTCATTGTAAATTTTATAAGTTGGTAGCGTTGAAACGCTTATCCGGTGATAAGTTACAGCGTCACCAACATCAAACGTTCCGATACCAATCGTAAATCACTGAAACCCCCTAAATCACGCAACTTAATTTCCCCCAAATTTAGATTTCGACGAAACTTTGCTCGTTTTAGAAAATATTTACGCCAACTTTGATTAATCGTCGTCGAAATGAATAGAGAATGAAAGTGGGACAAGGCTTGGAATTTCACAAATCCGGAAAAAAACTCACCGTTTTCATTGTATGCTGATTTTTTTCAAACACCGGTGTTTGCAGTCGATGCACTTCTTGTCGGTGTGGCTAAATGACTAAAATTCGTATTTGCGTTTTGAGTGAAAGTCGACACAATTGCGTCACACAATCTCGTGACTGAAGAACAACACACAAAAAACGTGTTTGTGATTTCTTATTATTTTGCGCATCGATTCTTGAATTTATTAAAAAGAAGAAAAGTCAAGGCTGGATTATCCTTCAAGATGAAACAGAAGTGATGTCACGCTTTATTGTAATTGTGGTTGGTACAACTGGTCGTAATTTAGCCACACCCACTAAATCTGTCATTTCAATTCAAAAAAAATTGACCCACTATTCACTCGAATATCGACAAAATTAATTCCATGTTTGTTTCCAATCACTTCGTTTATATCTGAATTTATCTAAAATAAATTTGATACCAGTAAATAATTACATGTCCTCATTATTATAATTTATAAACTGTAAATAATTAATGTCTGTTGCAGGTTATCAGATAAAATAATCAACAAACGCAATGTTTATTTAACAATTCGACGAGCTTTTGCTGATTCGAATTAATTACAACAAAAAACAATACAGCGTGTATATAACCGGGACATTGTGCGTGGATTTTATCGCACATTTTTTCACATAATATTTATTTAGTTGTCACTGTTATTCGCCATTCTACAACGAGTAAAAATGAGTCAAAATAATTTTCCACTCGCTACGCTCGCTTGCCTCGACTATTAGTCTATTAAAAATATTAGTTATGTAACTAACAATACCGCGTATTAGCATTTATAAATCACCCTCCGGATCTTTTCTTCGCTTCCTGGCCTCCTTGGAAACAAAAAAGGTTATCGTGCGGTCATAAATTCATTTAGCTGGGGAATAATAGCAATAATCGGGCATTCCCGTTGAAATAGGTAATTGCAGGGCCGTAATCGGATCATTGCTAGCGTTATCGCTTTTCGGGTCAAAGACGTACAACACGTCTAACCTTCCCTTACATAAATTCCGCAGATTCGTGGAAAACCCCCCGAGGCCAGCAATTATTAATGAGATGAAACCGCCGGAAAATGAGAAAACTTGACGCACGTGGCAGATTTTTCCGATTAGTACAGTAGTTATTTAATTAGTCGATACCATCAAGGCGGAGTCTGCTCTAGTAGGCGTGGCTAGAAAATCACAGAATTTCATTTTAATTTTTCTTCGTTTTCTTTGGAAAACCACCTCTAGACATGAGGAAAAAAACAAATTGCACCCTTTTTAAAGCGAAGCCGTGACACATCCATTAATTCTCCTTCCAGATCCTCACATTTATCAAACTTAGAGCCACACAACGGCGCTTTATGATTTTCGAAACGTATTCGTCCATTTGTTTCGGGACTAAGAGTAGGAACGTGACCGATAAAGAAACGAAACGTCCTCGAACGGATTAACCTGCGCTTTAAATCGATCTTTATCGCGACTTGCAAATTTTAGCGACTTTAACAGCGACGACGTGTTATATTATGTTGAAAAGACGGCCGGAATAAATTTTCCAAAGCGTTGCCCACTTGGGATACGAATCTATGCGAACAACTGGTTGCCTATGCACTAAATATCGATTTATTCAACTGTAATTACGCGGAATAATAGCAATCGTTTCATTGTTTGCGTTTCTTATTCAAAGCTGCCGACATTGTTGTTTAGTAAAACACACAACAACGATTTTAACTGTTCATGTCAGTGTAATTACATTCAATTATTTTCGTAATTAATGTTAAATGTAACGCAACCCACAATACACCTTTGTATAATTAGTTACATAAAGTGGCAGGATTAAGTAAACGGGATTGAATTAATTAAATCCAAGTTTGGACATAGTTTATATTTTACAATAATATAATACAATAGAAGTCGATTCATATAAATAAAGCGATGACTTTACAAAATGTATTTTTCATCAGTTTTGTACATTTGAAAAATCACCAGATTCACTTATATCTTGTAGTTTATTTGTTTAAAATAACATTTTGTGTGACACTCAAAAATGAAAAAATGTTATTTTTTCTATACTAATACAAGTAGAGGCGTTATAGAAATACTGGCAAAAACGTCAGAATTACTGGTATAAGTACGTCACTTAGGAACATTATAAAAAGTAAATAGAGTGGCAAGTAAACAAGGAATGTATATAAAAATCAAGTCTTTTGTGAGAAAGGAAACCTAAAAGCAAACGTCGTAATAAATACTGTGAACGTAAAAAAATAATACTGAACATAATATACAAAAATAATATTTCTTCTTCTTCCCTAACTCTTACGTTATTTAAAAAACCCAGCAGTTAAAAATGGCAAGGCTAAATATTGGCTTAGATACATATATACAAACAAAACACATCTACATATTTGTGACACGTCGCCGGAAAAGCCGCCCTCTAGCGAGCAATTTTTCCGCCGCCTATTTTGGTCATTAGGACGGTAATTTCTCGTGTATTTAGCCCGAACGATAATAAATAACATGAATTCAGTCCGTTCATCTAAACTAACTAAAAATATACAGGGTATGGGAGGGTTTCGAAACAATTCGGAGAAGAGTTTTGAGAAAATCGGATCATAGCTGCCGTTTTTTTTCAACACGAACACCCTGTATCTTATCAAAAATTATATAAAAAATTAAAATTATATATAGTCACTTAATATTATAAATATGTACACTTTTGCAAATTCATTTTTATACACTGCTACTTTATCATTGTAAAGTATTATAATCGTACATACACTATAATCTAACAATTAGTGGATTTTTACTTTATTAGGTTTGTCCTTGCGAGGACCAATCAAAATTTATCACCGCATTCACACGTGACTGTCATGGCTAAGTTTTTTTTAAAACGTCAAAAGCGAAAAATTGGGTTTTATTTAGGCCGAAACGTCGATTAGGGAGCGAAGTGGGGGCAGTGAGCTGATAATAATTACTCAACGAAATGTCCGAGTTATTGCTAAAATCACACAAAACGAGGCTTATCTAGTACCCTGCGCTTCCAAAGGTTACTAAGAGTAAATGAGTATTATCAACAAATAAGAAATAAATAAGTAACAAAATAGTTGTCGTTGTCTAATATGTCTTTTTGGCCGATTATTGGTTTTGAGCAAAATTCTAGAATAATTCTTGTGCCAACTGTCAGGTTCTAAGTTTCCCGTAATTGGGCATCAACGTTGTTTCAGAATTACCCACGAGAATTTATGTATAAAAAAATTCAATAATACTACACAATAGAAAAATATCAAAATATTAACTCTCAATTGAAACGACTTATGAAAGAAACTTTGGAACTTTGTGCAATTACCAAGACTTTTTTCCTATTAACATTATTCTTTGCTCTGACTGTACCCTCAAAAAATGGCCGAAGTGAATAAAAACGAAAAAAATCTATGAATATTCTTCCATTATGAAAAATTTAATCACAGTTTAAAAATTAATATCTAGAGCTAAAACATAAATCTTGAGTATCATAAATTCATTAAAAAAATCAAAAAAATTCCATCAATTTCCAAAATAAAAATTCACACTTCATAATAAAGAATGTACGTTGAAACAGTCCTTTTTTTATACAAATTGTACTTAAAAAATCATCAAATTATAAAAATGTAAAAATACTGAATCTCATTTAGAAATATCCTAGACATCCTTAATCCAAATTTTCAATGTAATCGTTTTTTGTAATATTTTTATTATTAGAACACCCAAATTGTGCAAATTTGTACTTTTTCAATTGCATTTCCTCCCCTTGGCTCACTAACCCCCACTCCCAATCACACTCCCCAATTTCACGCATCACTAAAATGCCCTTGGCTTGGCTTCTCCTCCTGCATATGCCTGAACCTCACAAACCCCTGCTCGTCCACCAGCATCGAATCCTGATGATTCGGCAACGTCTGCACTCCTAGATGAGGTCTCGCGTGATTTTTCCGCGTACGACCTGTCGACCTCCTCCCGGAGGTATTCGACGAATTTCGACTCCTTCGATCGAAATCCCCTCTTTCAAAATCATGCCTCGTCCTTTCATACTGGTGATTATCCACTGGCTCGCTATAGATATTCCTCTCTTGTCCCTCATCGTCATACTTCGGTTTCGTGTAATACTTTGCCGAGTTTAACCGAGCCGAACTTCGGCCGAAATTCGCCTCGTGGTTATTCGGTCGTGAATCGAACCGATCGGACCAATTCGGACGTTCGAATCGGTCGAAGTTACTAGTTCGTTCCGAATCAGAATGGTAGCGTTCGAGAGTGGATTTCTTATCGAAGGAGTCGTTTTGAAAAGCGGTTTTCAACAAATTCGGACGTTCAACAGGCTCGGTCGGTATATTATCCATTATCATTTCATTCCGACTGTAATTTAGTGCATTTGGGTTGGTATTACAATTGTTAGGGTATATATTATCAGTGCTTGAATCACTAGTCGTACACGGAAATAAGGGGAAACCCCCGGTTTGTTTTTCACGTTGCGACATTTTCAAACTCACCACAATTGCCAAAAGTGTGATTATTGAAATTTCAAGGAAGCGAACCGACAGTTCGAAACCCCATAAAATCCAATGGTGTTTAGTCTCGTCGTTAAAACGATCGATTTTTATGAAAAATAAAGCATACAACTGGACGAAACCCAATAGTATGAAGAGTAAAGCAACGGCGATAGTTATATGAGATGCATAGGAGATGTTCTGGGTGCACATTTCCGACAAATTCTGACTTTTCTTAGCCAAGACGTTTTTAATAATTCGGTACAAATACAAGTAACTAAAACCGAGAGCCCATGATAGTAGGACAAAAACTGGCCGACATACTATAAGACTGGCTTTTTCAAAATGGCCAAAACTCTCAAATGTGCTTAGACATATACATAAAACTATATGTAAGAGTGCAAACACGACTAAAAAAACCGGGCGAGTCTTAACTTCCAAATGTGTTAATGTCCGTTTCAGTAGAAAGAGGATCAAAACGGCAAATGTTGTCGCTAAGAGCGATAATGGAAAAGAATGTAAAAACTCATAGAGAAAAATATTGAACGATTTGTTGACATTATACGGATCATAAGTCAGGTAAAAAATCCTCAAAACACAAATCACCGTCAACATCAAATGAATAGTGAGGAAATAACTCTTTGAGAACATATGTGGGTCATTCTCGTACCTCACCAACTTATAGATCGAGTAAACCGCTAGGAGTATATATCCGAACACGACCAAATACACATGAACATTCCAACAAATCAGCCAGATCTCTTCCGTACTCGCCTTGGTCACGTTTGTCTCCTTCTCCTTAACGTTGGGCAAATTAACGGAAACTTGCGTCGTTTCCTCCTTCCTCACCGTAACAACACTTTCAGTGATTTCCTCACTTTTCTCAGTTTCGTGCTCTTCCACTTCATCTCGAACTATCTCCACTGAAGGTTCAGCAGCCGGCGCTCGTGTTTTCGTCGTTTTCACATTCTGTGGCGTTGCTGTAACAGCCCTGTAGAGTATTTCCGGTATTTGTATATCATCATGTCGGCCATTGGACCCACTCAGAATCCTCGTAATCGACGGTTCAGGAGCGTAACTCTTCTCATACTCGAAACTCGTCTCATTATGACGATTCAAACCGTAGAAATCCCCCAATTTGGCACTCTGTGATGGCGTATTTAGCGTTTTCTTCTTCTCGGCTTTTTCGGTTTTGGGTTCGGGGATTTTCTCGGCGTTGACTTTGGGCAAATCAGGCCGGAAAGGGATTCGATCTTTACTGGGCATTAAACTAGGAGGAGGGATGGGTCTTCGACTGGCAAAACCATGTGAATTTGTCCCACGAAGAGTTGGTTTGTCGGCGAAAGGGTGTTGGAATGCTGGAGGAATGGGAGGAGTGAAAAAATCCCGATTTGGTGGGATGTAACTAGGGATGTCTTTGCTGTACATAGACTTGGTAGGTCGAACATTTCGATGTAGACTTGCCCCCGTTGTCGCTTTAATATTACTTTCAGTTACTTGTTCCCCCGGTTCAAAGCCCGGTTTTAACCGGTCGTTATTATACCGGTTAGGGTTATTGTAGTGTTTGTTATTGTTGTTTTTCAAAATGTCCGCTGCGGGTGCCGATGTGGGCAACACGTGATCCTTTTCTAAATCGCTTCCATATCCATCATCCTTCTTCTCTTCGTAGTCACTTGTTTCAAAATCGACACTGCTTCGTCCCGATGGCCGTTCATTTTTGACATCGACACGTTCCCATTCATCATTACCATCCGAGTACTTGTACGTCGTGAGAAGAGGTGTCGCTAGTGTCGTTACCGGATAAGCATTATCCGGTATGGATCTTTTAGTCGTGCTTCCGTAAGCTACTTTGTTAAATACTGCTGCGATGCTCTGTTCGAGATTCATCTTTTCTAGTAAATGTTCACTCTTGTCAAATGCGCTCGAATAAGCTTCAACACTGCACGTTGTCGTCAGTAACAAATAATAAAGCAACAACGGCTTGATTAATGTTTTTTGGAAAATTGACGCGAATCGAGTTAATAGGCACGTACGTATTGTTTGAAACACGTTGAAATTTTCTTTTGTTTGATCAAGTCCACAGTCTTGATGAGGAGGTAAATCACAGATATATTTTTTGATGCGACGACGTCGCTGTGCGGACGTCGTCGCGACGCTTAGATCACTTGGTTTTAACATTGCAATGGTGACATCTTTCTCACGATGATGATGATGATGATGAGTCGACGAGAGGCCGCCGTATGCTGGACGACATGGGAATTCACCTGAAAAAGAAAAATTCATTTAGAAAAAAACAAATTCTAACTTTAGGTTGAAGACTCATTTTAGAAGTCTGTAAATTAACTATTCCTCAGAGCGTAGGTATACAAATGTTTCTTTTGGTTGATTATGAGTTTTTATTTTTACATATTATAAATAATAATACGTAATCTATGCACCAGAAAGAAAAAACTTTAAATAAAGGAAAATAAAAAAAAACTCTGAAAACACGAAAATAGAGCAAAGGACATATGAATTTACATTAACAATACTGTATGTTCTTATATGTACCTAGTATGACAAACAATTTATTACTCCCATAACTGATGATCATAACTGTAGTAGTAAATAAAAAAAATCTGTACTACTTTTAACAAATTTTCTAAAGTTCGGAAAGAAATAAATATAGCCAACCAGGTGGCCACATTTCTAAGGAAAACTATTAGTTGTTCGAATCACCCTGTATAGTAAGATTAGAATACTGTGTTGTAGTTTTTTTTTTTCTATACAATCTAAATATGATATCACAGCACTAGTTGTTATTACCGCCGATGACAATAGCATCAGTCAATAACGAGCTCCTTGCGGTACTCTCCCATTCGAGTCCATCACACAATAAACCTCTCAATTCCCTCCGTGTTTGTATTTTTTCATGTCGATCAATCATCGTGAAACAAGAGAAATACAATACGCCTTCTTTGCGATTCTTGGATTGTTTCCAATATGAAAATATCGGTTTTTCGCCAAGGGACCGACTTTAAATAAACAACACAGACCAGATTCGTTCCGGCGTTTCTAATTCGTTTTATCGATCCCTTTTTGATTAATTAACCTTTAGTTTACGAGTTAAATTGGTTTAAATATTAAACTAGTTTTCGGAAAGTTTTAACACCGGGAGTGATTTAATCGTGACTTTTTTGTTTCTCGACGAAGAAGAAGAGAGTCGGGCAATTAAGGGAAAGGATCGACGTTTATTGTTAAGGGTTTTCGGGTAATTTAAGATGTTGAACTATCTGTAGTTAAGTCGTGACTCACAAATCAATTAACTTAATGGACGCATTTGGTGCTCATTTTGGAGAGAGATTAAACGACAAATTGTACAAAAATAAAAAAATTCAAATTCCCAAACCCTCCACCAACCCCTTAGAACACAGCACACGTCGTCCCTTGGAGACATCTGTTCAAAAACAAATAAACTTTGGCAATAAGGCAAAAATTTCGATTTAATTTCTCAATTTCGCTTCACAGTTGTGTACTAAGAAAAGTTTCCGAATTTCGAATCGATCGCTTTCACACACATTCACCGACACCGGAATTTTTTATAATCTCGTCACTACGAGAGTTAAAGACACCTGTATTACCACCCTATGGGACGGCCAGATCGATCGAGGCAGCGGCGACACTCTCAAGGACACTTATTGCACCCCCTTGACTTTTACAAAATTTCAAACATTCATAAAATCAATTTTTTTACGTATTAAATTAGGGTGAGAAGCACCTGTTGTCGGGAATAAAACCCACAAAAAATAAATTGTATAAGAGTTGTTATTACGTCGTGGAACTTATCGAAATGTTTTACGTTCGTACAATAATACCAACTTCGAAAATACACAAGAGACGTCAAACTGATAACGATAACTGAAAAAGTTTCAGGGATATAAAATGCTCGACTTTTCCAAATAACAAACAAAAAATTGTACAAAAAAACTCTTTTTTAAACAATTTGGAAAAAAACTGCCAATCTATTTCCTCCCCACATTCCCCGACCAACACAATCAAATCCCTTAATACATATTTGGATTCCTGCGGTCTCCCATCCCCTATATTTACCGAAACATGGAATTTCATCACGACGCCCTAATAAAAAAAGTTATTGCCAGATTGTAAAATTCATAAAATTTTTCCCCTCCCTACACGTTATTTTATATCTAATAAAAGTTGAATCGCAACGAAATACGATAATTATCCGTTAATCGAATAAATCATCAAAAATCGTGGGGGAATTAATGACAGGTGTTGTACCAGTGGCGTGGCGATCGATGAGGTTATTAATCGACTTAGAAAGTCACTCGGTAATGAAACGCCAACTCTGATTTTACGCCACCGTGTCAAAAGGGGTGAGGGTGAGAGGGCTAATGACGTTCCAGATGAATTTCTGAAGAAAATTAATCAAGAAATGGGCACAAAAATGAATTAAACTTCGATCGGTCGTTCCTCCCCTGATCTAATCACAAAAAATAATAAAAATGTTTAATAGCGCTATAAATATTATTAATAAATTATTAATTAAAAGTGATGGCGTTTTTATCTTGAAAATATCACGGACACTTAAAAAATAATATAGAATTACACAAGATGAAAGATTTCATCATCATTTTTGCACTGTTATTGCCATATAGTTAAATAATGATTTTTTTACGTAAAATTTCACGGAATTAGCAACGCCACTGGTAGCTTATGGAGTCGATAATTCTCCCCCGTGTGCTTGTAGAAACATCCCCTATTGATAGTTTACTGACCCGAAAGCATAATTTATCACTTAATGACATTTCGAGTGACCATTTTATGGCTGTATTCACAAGAAAGGACCGTAATAAAAATTTCTCTCTCGGTCCTTGAAAATTTCCGAATTAACGAACAAAAATATCGTCAGAGAACGTATCCCGACATCTGTTACATGTTAGGTAATTTCGTTAAGGCCTTTTTCCCCTTCGGAACGTCCGTCATAAACTCTTCCATATCGTAGCGTTCGATCGTACGTTTTTTCCTCCTCGCCCTCTATTGTGATATATTTTTTTTTCGCGAAGTTGAAAGCCTGGCTTAGTTAAAAATCCAATTTTTCGAGCTGTTATGAGCTGTAAATTTCGTGATAATTGCGTTTTAATTCCTAGCTCTGAATGATAATTGTGTATGGCGAGAGAGAGTGCGAGGATTTAAACTGGTTAATCTGCGGCGATTTTAAAACTCGGAGGTGTTTTGTTCTTTTTTTTTTTATTTAGAAGAGAAGAGGGAAAAAAAAAACGGAAATGTTTGTACGGATAGTTGACTCGAAACTCGACAGTGACAAGAATTAAATTCAGATTAATGTCACTTTGTTAATCGTCGGGAAAAAAATTGTTTTTGTGACGAGTTTGGGTCATTGGATGGGGCTTAAAACAAAAGACGAGAAAAAAACGCACAAAGCGTATATTTATATTCATTTTATTCTGACAAATATAAAAAAATTATATAGTTAAAAGCTCACTCAACAATATGCAGCACTGATTACACTAAAATGATTTGTATTCCACCACAGTTCGTTATTTCGCTAATTAATTTTGACAAATCATTTTAATAACACTACTATTTCAGTTTTATTAAGCACAAAAGAAATTGTAGGGTAATTATTTCATTAATTTAATAATTCTTATATCACTCTATTTAATTATTCATTACTTGCCTTGGTAAAAAAGCCCACAAAAACAACATTTTCATTTCACCACGTTTCATTTTTTATGAGAATAATTATACCACGTGAACAGAAAGTTCAGAACCAAACGTTTTTTGCTTAAACTATTTATTTTTTGAAAGAACTAATTGATCAGTGATATTACACGAAAGTGTGATGTTTCTCAAAAACAGAATTTTACGTTTTCTTTTGTTTTTGAGTTCTGCACATTTTTTTCATAAGTTGTCATTTAAAAAAAAAACGCATAATCCAAAAACAAAACAAAATTCAATTCTCAAAATACCATTTTTATAGCACTTTAATTTTCATTCACTTATTTTCTGAAGACAAATGATTTAAAAAAAAAAGCTTGATTTGCTCACCCCGTATGTATTTTATCGACGACTATCCGTAAAATAGTTATTATAGGTACAGAGTGGTTCAAATTAATTTCTCAAATGTGCAAAACTCTGCTTAAATCTGTACTTAAAACTTCATTATTCTGATTCAGTGAAAAGAAAACTTAATTTTTTTCTTGATTTTCGACTTAGAATATTTTTTTTCTCTGCTTCACATTGGCGGTTTCATTTATTTGAAAACTATTGGTAACTTTGACAATTAATTTATTAATTAACTAATGATAGTTCTTGTTAAAAATGACTTTGGTTTTTATCTTAAAACTGTTTCTTTATTAAAATTATGTTTTTCACAAATATTTTTGTTATTTAACTTGCGTAAACTCATTTGTTATAGTGACTTTATTGTCAAAATAATGAAACCAATAGGACTTAAAAAGCAGAGAAAAGTTCAAAATCAAGAGAAAAATTACCTTTTGTTTCTACTAAGTTAGAATAATAAAGTTTTAATTACAGATTTGCTCGTTTCAGGTAAAGCAAAAAATGTTTTTCCTTTGCAGTTTTTTTTGCGTAAAATCAAAGTTAATTTTTTTTTCCTCAATCCGGGGACATACTGTATATCAAAAAACTCTGACAAGTGTGCTACTCCAGAAGTACGAATTTTTCGCAAAGAAAACTTGTTAAAATCTTTAAAAATTACTCTGTATATAAAGAAAATCAAGTTTCAACCTAACACCTCCACATACAAAATTTTTATTTTTAGATTTTTTATTCTAGAAGTTTGAGAGATAAAATCTTTATAGAAAAAAATCTGTCAAGTGTTTCCTTTTATAAAAAAAAAATTGAACAATCTTACAAGCAACTAAATCCTTAGAATAAGAACCTCTCAAAAATAATAATCCACACAAAGATAAATTTCTATTTTATGCCTTTATCCATAAAATATTGAAAAAGAAATTGAAACATAAATTCCTGTCAACAATCTTCTCCTAATATTCATTTATGTACAGGGTGATTTCGAAAATAACCCCCCATCAGCACTTTTTTTAGTAAACGTCAAAACTTTTAAACTAACTTCGGGTAACACCCTGTATGATGAAAAAATTTCAACAACGTTAACAACACGATTCTGACTCCGTGATGGAATTGTTACGATTTTTATCGTAATCACAACATTAATATCAGTGGCGGACATGCCTTTCAACAATTTATTCCACCACGGTTGAATAATTCGAATAAATTCCGCCACACGATTTTTCCATTCGCTTGTCCTATGACAAATAACCCGAAACAAATAAAATCGACCCTTTTATCAATTTAGATAAAACTCATCGAACCTTTTCCTTATGATATTTCTTCGACGTGTCATAATTTAAATTTTAATAAAACGTCAAAAATAACGATTTATTTTATCTTTTAATTTTATTACGTCAATAAATTATAATAAAATATGAAGAAAAAGTGATATATTTTTCATATGTTAACGCCCACCTTATACAATTAAATTCAAAGATGGCCACCGAAATCGGTGAAAGGATGTTAGTACGATTTATATTCGTCGACGTAATGGGAAAGGTGGCTCGGATACGGATTACAGGTTAAGCCTTCTTTTATCGTAACATCGAAAGGGGAAAAATTGCAATCGAGCAATAAGATTGAATTTCGCATAACCGTGGCGGAATTACCTATACGACCTGCAACCAGTGGCGTCCTGTTACACAAAAGAGCAGAAACAAAGTTACATCATTTGAGACATGCATCCGACATCATTAAAGCACACTTTGATCTTCGATGTAAACCCCGTACAATACAAATGAAAACATATTAAAAAAAAAAAAAACAAGGATCGTTTTAGTCACAAAGCAAACTTGATTTTAAACTCTCGAAGCACAAATAAAAATAACAACAAAACGTTCATTGAATCGAGAATAATTCGACTCTTGCTGCTGTTAAAATTATCATCAAAGAGTGAATATTTCATGAATCACTTAATCTCGATGAAAAAACACGAAATATTTGGCTGAAAATCACGGATGACTTGATTAAAACGAAAAGAAAAATGCAAATTACATGGCACACTGTATTTTTCTCAATTTAATGGCTTCTTACCTCAATAATAATAAAGTAGGTACCGGACACGGACAGTAATTTACTATTTTGTATGTAGCATGAGACTGACGAACCATGTATTATATGATAACCTGATGTTAGACGAGCTAATTATGGTTTCATTAAGAATTACTTAGTCTATGTTAAAATGTTAAATGACGTGTGGAGTTATTACGAAAGTTGGCGATGGATTTCGGTCGACGTTCATTTATTTTTAATTGTAATTGTATAACCTCAAATATCTTATTCAATGGCGACGTGATTGGTTTGTTATTAACATTACAGTTGCCGACTTTTTTTTCTATTACTTTACCTTCTACTTCTATTTAAAGAAACATAAGTAACGGACGAAAATTTCATCGGAAACGGTGCTTTTGTCATTGACGAACCTAATTCGCGAGCCTTTCACATCGGACGAGTTCAAGAACGCAAACGCCCATCACCATAAAAACAAATAGTATCAACAGTGGTGGAATTGTTGGGAAACAGCCCAAAAAAATCATCAACCGTGGTGGAAAAAATGACAATTTTGACACTGTTTTCAGTGGCGTATCATTAAAGAAATTTCCACATCCGTTATTTTACTAAACCACACAGTCGTAAAAATAAATAACTTGGTATACGGGCCACGAAATTCCTTTTTTCTCCGTTGTAAATTAGTAAGTTTTTACGAGGTAGGAGGAAACGTTCCGTTCTTTATATTCCTCCCTTAAATCTTAATAATTCCCTGTTTGCTATATCTGTCGTGTTGTGAAACTTTTTTAATTCCGTCTCTGATATATTTCCGTACGTGATGCAACAAACTTTTGTATAGATAGATGTATTAAAAAAGACGACAAATCCGTTAATTATTCTCTTCTGTGTTTTTTGTTGGGCGAGTGAACATACGGTGTTACAAGCACGCACGAGAAAATAATTACCACCTTAACAAACTCAAAAAAAACTGTCTAATATCTGTTGCATATTTTCCAATCTCATATCAAATGTTTACACACTCTAGCGTTAGAGTCACGATAGCGTGTAAATGGCACCTAAATCGGAAAATTTCGTATTATGCAAATTTCGTTCCTGTGTCGGTAGATAATTTTCCAGTTAAGTGAGTAACGTGTTTCGAGACGCTTTTCCTTAAGTGACAGTCCGGAAACGGAAATCATAGCGCACTTTTTCCGACAATAATATTCATTATTGTAGAGTTGGGCCGCGATCGATTCCTCTCCACTTGGAAACAACTCAAGGTTAAGGAGATGTAGGGATAATTTCCGTGGTGGAAAAACAATTCCACCAGTGGCGTAGTATTTTTTTTTTATCGTGATATAATCCAATTAATTCGTTGAATGAGAAATTTTCATCGATTAAAAGTATTAGCCGTCCCTAAACCAAATCCAATTTTAAATTTTAATTAAACGAGAATTTAATACTGTACAAATTTCCGCATACGAATTTTGTGACAGTGAAGCGTAAATATGAAAATTAACTGAATTTCGAAGGCGTCTGTTCTTTTGTTTATATACAAATTTTTTTCCTGCATTTCTAATTCGGTCTTTGTTTATAATGAAGGAGCCACACCAGACGTGAAACTGGAAGTAATTTAATACGCAATAAAAAAACGTCATAAATTTTAACTACGAGTGTCATGCCGAGACCCCCTTGTAAAACATCCACTTACAGAAAAAACATGGTAATAAGGACATCTTCTTTAACACTCGAGGATTTCCTTTCCTTTAATTAAAAATTCTACACCAATCCAATTACGTAATTTTATATCGTCTTTTACTAGACAAAAGCTGACCATTATGGTAATTTTAATTAGAAAAGTGAAAGTGATGCTCGAGTAAAAAATTTGGAAACGGTGATTTATCGGTGTTGAAAAGTGGGATTGGTTGTTTGGGAGTTCTCGGAGATAATTTTGCAATTATTTCGCGATTTGACGCGTCACTTAACGCTTGATTATCGTGTTTTTTCAAGCATTAGGAAATAAAAGAAGCAATCTGAACCGTGCTGAAATAGATACTTCTCGTCTCGTTTTGTACACAACTGGAAAATAATAATTAAACAGTGGTGGTCCAGTTGCGATATTTTGATCAAAAAAAGTAGAATTTATTCCATTTTATTATAATTTTTTAGTGATGTCGATTTTTTACTTACAAAACCAAAATTTCATGAACGTATGTCTTAAATAGTAACAACAATACCGTCAGTTATCTGTTAAAACCAATAAATTTTCCGTCTTGCGTTAAATATTGATTCAATCCCTTTTTTGTACAAAAACTAAAATGTTTTGTCATTTCATTACACGTAACAATCTATATACAAAACATCCAAAAATGTTACACTAAAAGTTGGCCGTTACTAATGAGAAACAAATGTCAAAACTCATATCAACAGTCAAATAAGTACTTTAATGGCTTCCCTTTTACAATAAGCAAAAGTTCTTATTTAATTTCTCCAAAAATATGTCTATTGCTACATGAATTTAATCAAAAATATTTACAGTATGACACTAAATGTTAAATCCTCGCCGAATATGTCAAAAAATCCAACAAACTTGATCAAAGTTTGGGTTCGATTCTAACTTTTCTTACTTATCAAAACAAGTTAATTAATCCGATATCTATCAGTAGTTTCGAAAACTATTCTTGAATTAGATTATTTTCAATTATATTTCTCACAATGAGATTTCCGGAATAACCAGAATTAATCCGCGTCGAAGTTTTCCTATTTGAAAAGTTATAAAGAAGGCCATGCCCATTTCTACCAACGTAAATAGATAAATAAACAACGCGAGTCGTGTCGATAATTTAAAGGAGGCTGTGAAATGTAATTAAAGTACCGCATTTCTGTCAGTTTCTGGCGTGATAAATAAATAAAATATTTGTTGGGGAATGTGAACGAGGTTGTGAATAACGTCCCCTTTAGAAATTATGAAAATAGCGCTGTTAAAAAAAACGTTTAAATTGCTTCGAGTGGCATTTGAAAGACGTTATCTGATGACAGAAGTGATAAGAGAATCTTGAAATAGGAGAAAAATTACTTACGATTATCAGTGCATCCGAAATCGCAATCCACTCGCCGTGAACACCTGCAAAAAAACCCGAATTTAGAAATGCAAATCGATCGAAATCGATAATTTTAATAAAAATTGAAAGACGTTCCAATAAATCAAAACAGCCGACCAACAAAACACTGTCGACATTGTTGTCGAATACGCCCAAGATTCCTCATGTCCTACTTAAATTTTTCAATGAAACTCGCTCTCAACCCGCTAGAGACCCGCCCCACAGCCCCCCCGACTTACGTGGCGGAGGTCCGAGCCGCGGCCGCCTCCACTGCAGCCGCCTCGTACCGGAAAATGGGCGGAAAACTCACCAGCAACACGACCACACTTCACATCGTCGACAATAAAAGACAAAGAAACAACATCACATTTTTTCACCACGTTTTTACGCACACTGGACGCGAACTGCGCCGAAAAACCATCCGTGTGGGGCGCCAGGGGCTCCGACGACGCGGCGGGGGCGGCTAAACACCGGCCTTCACTTTATTTCACACGGTTGCGGCCAATTCTCACACGGGATCGCCGACATCAACGGGATCATAGCGTCGCCATTTTGTCTATTTGCCGAGCAGGGGTGCCAACGCGAACGCCACTTTCACCAAATGCACCAAATGAGCGGATTTTGAAAACACAATTCTTGAAAATCCATCAAATTCATGTTGTTAAAATTGCACAAATACAGTAAGTTTTGGGATTTGAAGTTGGTAAAAGAAGAAAATTTTTATTAAACGAAAAAAAATTAAACGAAAATACTCAAATAATGCATTTAAATCGATTTATCTTCCTTTAGACTAAAATTCATTGGAAATAATTCACTTTTTAAGTAACATTTTTTTGTTTTTCCCAGATGTCGGTTAAGGTTGGTAATTTTTATCACTAAATTTTTCAACCAACTGAACAAAAATAAAATTCAAAAACCTTAATTGTGTTATAATTTCAGAGCAAAATCTGTTTACTAAAATTAAACTGCATTCAATGACTTTGTTCATTGTTTACCGAAGTTTGTAGCTCAAAACCGTGCACTATTGCATCGTCTCTTGTTATTACATAAAGCTTTCCACTGAAATACAATAAAAAACCCAAACAGTTTATCAATAATTCAGTTTAGTAATGTGGTAAACCATTATGAAACTTTCAATAATCAGATTTACTCGCGGCTCGATTAATTTTCAATTACAAACCGCCACTAACCTGAAATAACCCCAAACTTATTATTTATTTATCTCTAATACTGACATATGAACATTATCAAAAATCGATAAACGTGCTTTTCGATTGTTTGAAATTTAACCGTGCTAAAAAATTATTTACTTACCGTTCAATTATGTAAAGTGTGCACTCAGTAAACATACATGTAGTAAAATTTTCATAGCTGAACAAATTTAAATTGAATAATTTATTGCACCTCCACACCATTAGAAAACTCCAATGGTTCTGAGAAAGCAACATGTGCGACAAAACCGTGTTAAAAATATTTCTTGTGGTTTGATGAAAAAATAAAACTGAATCAATATTTAATAAATTATTCAAACATCTATTCCCGGACTTTTACTTACACAAATAACAGTATGAATTTTATAAAGTCGAAGCCAAGAATAGTTTCTCGACACGACTATTCGCCGGCAAGATGATAAACTTGGGGGTCCCTTCACGTATTACATGGCTGCAAACCGAATCAATGATTCTAAATAAATAAAACACCATTTTCTTACCCTTCTAATTTTAAAATTTCTAATAATGTACGACTGACGTCAACTGGAATATTTCGCCTTTTCTCATCCTCGAAATAGACGTTCAATTTTTCGACGCGATATTTGCCCTCGGCGTCCCATTCGGGGCGAGTTTCAAACACTTGGGACAATTGCTCGAAAAAACTAAACTCAAAAATAAAAATTAAAAAAAAAACGAAAAAGTGGCTCACGTGTCACCCTCGTCAAATTCTTGAATGTAATCCATTATTTTATACTCGGGGTAAAAAAGAATAACCGGCCAGACCAACCGACCATCTTTTATAGTCATCCGGCTATTGAAAAGTTGCGGAAATTGGGGCTCAAGTTTCGCCAAATTCAAATTTTCCCGCCCTTCGATGTTAATCCCACGTTTGAGTATTTCCCCAATTATCATCTCTTCCTCCTTTTGTGACTTCTTCTCGGCCATTTCGCGCCTCCGTTCGTCCCGTTCTTTAATTTTCTTCTCGTTTAGTGACATTTGACGCAATTTTTGCACCTCTTGGTTTGCTTTATTCTTTTCTAAAATTTTATCACAATAATCAACAGCCTTGTCATACTTCCCGGACTTGTAACAACAGTTGGCAGCCCTGACTAACGCTTTATCATAATCTGGTTTCAGTTTTAGAGCCGTTTCGGCATCTAGCAGTGCTGATCTGTAATTCCCCAAAAAGAAATGAGCCGCAGACCGATTATTGTACAGTGTCGCTTCAATTTCGCTATTCCCACACTTTGCTCTAATCCCCTCGGTGTACGAAATAATAGCCATTCGGTATTTCTTGTGTTTAAAATTGAAATTTCCGTCGTCTTTATACGCAATTGCGAGTTCTTCAGGTTCGTTTTCCTCAGGGTCGTATTTGAGTTTTTGGAGACCTTCATAAAGGGGGTGCATCGGTGTCCCTTCTTCGGGGATCTCTTTCATGAAAAAGGGGTGGTTTGTAATCTCCTAGAACGGTCAAAGGGGTTACGAAAATGATGTTTGGGTGACTTAACCTCACTTCTTCCCATTTGTCAAAGGGTATGTGGCCCTCTTGTTTACGTTTAGGGAGGCTGTCGATGAACTCGTCCAATTCTTGGTCGAGCTTTGCGGCCAATTCCAGCCGCTCTTGCTCCGAGAGGGGCGATTTAGGGGGTGCACGTGAATCTGACATAACCTCAAAGTGGCAAAACAAAAACGTCTTTTAATAAAACACTCTTCTGAAAAAAATGATCCAAAACCGATTTTATTATCATTTAGTTGTGTTACAGTACCGGTTGGTGATACGAAGAACACTTTATACTATTAATTAAAAAATATATAAATAAATACGTACGCCACTGACTTGACAACAAAGTTTGCGATTGGTCGTTTTAAAATTGTTGTTTGTATGGTTGACGTGCAGCGGCGCTGTTTGTGGAAATGGTGGCTCATGATTGGCTAGTTGTCCTTTCTGTTCTGTGGTTGTCATCTGTCAAATTTTTGGCGTCTTTTCGTAACAAGAACGTAGTGCCGGAAAAATCCTCAATCATCGGCTCAAATAACTGATTTTTGTTCAAATTTCCACGTTGTTGTAATTTCAAATCGTCCAAAATGTCGATTGGTGTGCCTATTAAAGTGCTCCATGAAGCCGAAGGGCACATCGTCACTTGCGAGACCATAACCGGCGAAGTCTACAGGGGCAAACTAATAGAAGCTGAAGACAACATGAATTGCCAAATGACACAAATCACTGTGACCTATCGTGACGGGCGTGTGGCCCAACTGGAAAATGTGTACATTCGGGGCTCAAAAATCCGGTTTCTGATACTTCCAGACATGTTAAAGAACGCCCCCATGTTCAAGAAACAGACAAAGGCCGGGACGGCGGGGCGAGGCAAGTCGGCGATATTACGGGCTCAAGGTTAGACGACTCTTCTTAGTGGAATTTCAGTTAAAATTTGTGTTTTAGCGGCAAGGGGACGAGGTCGCGGGGCTAATCCAGCCGTGAGGGGTGGAAGAGGCGCCACTTGGCAAACGCCATCGCAGGGGGCTGCTGCAGGACGTGGACGATAATTTAGTGTAAATTAGTGTTTGAATTAAGTGTGACTGAAATAGGTTAAGTACAAGAAGTTTGAGTGGTGTTTTTATATTGACGTGGCAAAGTAGGTATGATACGAGACCTGGATAAATTAGTATGAATTTGGGTTTAATGAAACATGAGAATATTTACTAAATACAGATTTATTTCTATTTAAACAGTAAAATTGTAAAGGACATTTATTAAAAGTTTGTTAATAATTTAAGTTAAAAATTACATATTTATACCGAATCTTGGTCCAGTTTCACTTCATGGTCAATTTAATGATGGGAGTTTTGGTGATGACCAAAATTCCATCACTAAGTTGACCATGAGGCTAAATTGGACCACGATTTGATTAAGGTACTCTGTGCTTAAAGTCGTTTGCTTTTGTAAATGCTTTTTCCTCATTCATTTTTTTTTATTGACACTAACGATAACACTTGGATGATAAATGTGAATCGAGTGATTCTTTGGAAACATTTAATTTTTAAAATTCCATCACTAAATTGCCATGAAGCGAAATTTTTAGATTTTTTTAGATGTTCTGCTACATCATCAAACGACCTTTGTTTTTCTCAATATTTATTTTATCACGTTTTAGTAAGGTATACTAGGGGGCTGGCGGGGGGTACATTTGGGGGTTGTAACGGGGTTAAAGCCCGTATTGTCGTCACTGGGGACCAGGGTTTCCTCGATCTCGTCATTTTCATTGTGTTTAATAAAGTTTTTCCCACTTTTTTGCGTCGAACCATTTAGGTTTTCTTCTAACCCTCACTTATGTCAACTATGAAGTTTCAAATTTAGGGAATTTTTATTTCACACCAGATTTTGTCAAAAGGGGAATTTTAGCGGTCCAAACGCAAGATAAGGCAAACTAACCCGGACATGTATTTCACTCAAAAGGAATAAAACGCAAACCTGTCAAAGTTTCCGCTGACATTTGACATCAAAAATCAGGATTGCCATCTGAAGGACTTTAATCACCGCCTACACTAATTTATTTATTTTTTTGATCGCACGGTATAATTATTGTATCAACAATAAATTACTCCCTAGGATTTAGGAATATTTATGTATAGGGTTGCCATATATTTGGTTAGGTTGGTTTCTGGTGTCAACCGACAACAACAAGGGGTAACCAACCTTAGGCATACAAAACTTCTTCTGAAAATTCTAGTTACAAACAACATGAAAAACGTAATTTTCCTGAAAGTTCAAATCCTAGGTGGTAATTTCTTGTTGACAAATCTGTATTATTCTAAAAATTCCTCATTTTGATTATTTTAAGTTGAAACGTACATGAAATAAATGCTTCCAAATTTTTATTTTCAAGTTGGCTGATGTTGAATGAACAAAATGACAGTAGTGCCAACGTTACAATTTTAAAAGTTACCAAAACTCACTTATAACTTAAATCCTGAATGAATAGCCACAATTCCGTTGCTTAAATTTTCATAAGTGACTTCCCTAAAACCAGCCTCTTCTATCATTGTTTTAAAAGTTTCCTAATAAAAACAGATTTTTTATGGTTACAATACAAAAATTCTGTTGGCTCACCTGGTCGGGGAATTTCCTGATACTCTCAACAAGGTATTGGTAGGCCTGCCATTGTCCGGCTAAAATGTGCCCCAAAACCGGAATAACTTGAAAACTGTACTGGTCATAAAACCTAAACTCCTTTTGATTAAATTAAAAAAAAAAACAGTTGTACCAACCATCTCATGACTTCATTTTCTACTTGACTGAACTCTAGACACATAAATCGCCCCCCAGGTTGCAAAATCCTGTACGTTTCTTGGAGAACTTTATCAATGTGGGTGCAATTGCGTATCCCAAAAGCTATAGTGTAGGCATTGAAAGAATCACTTTCAAAGTGCAAATATTCAGCATCGGCTTTTTCCCAACTGATAAGTGTTGGATCATGATTTAAATTCTTGCTTCGGGTTTTGCCCACTTCTAACATATCGGCGTTTATATCACAGACTGTTACATGACAATTTTTTTCAATTTTGTTATTTTTGATATAATTGAGGAAACGAAACGCGATATCACCTAAAAAAGAAAATAATTACAAAGAAACAGCGGGGGTTTCAGTACCGGTCCCGCCCGCCATATCTAGTAATTTAGTATTCTCAGTGGGGCCTAAACGACACATGAAAATGTCTTTCCAAAACCGATGAACCCCAAGCGACATTGCGTCGTTCATCAAATCGTATTTACTGGCAACGTTTTCAAATACACTGTATACTAGAAAAAATGTTTTTGGTAAAAATAAGACAAGGAACAGTAATACCTTTTTCAGCTTTTTCACTCTCACGGACTGTTTGGAAACCAAAATGAGTTTCCTTGTCGTCGTTGATTGTTTGTGACGTGTTTGAGCATTTTAAACTCGTGTTAAAACCCCGAAATGGGGTCTTTTTTCGCACAAATTGAGATAAGTGTCTACTCAACATTTTGAAGTTATGTTTACGTAACTTTTTATACAGGCGTCAATAATTATTTCATATAAATTCACAAATTTTCAATTGATTCACTGAAAATATAGTTTCAGTCATAAACGACAAAATGAAACGTTTTTTTTTGTTAAATATCATATTCTTTGTGATTTATTGAGGTTATGTTTACTTGTCATCATGTGGTGTTAATTTCAATACTTTTTTGATCCGTTTCTGTGTAAACAAATGTAATTGATCTGCAAAAAGCTTGAGGTAATTGCAATAAACTTCCGCAAACTCTATTTTGAAAAACAACTGTTTGTTATTTTAGTTTGCAAAATTGAGGTTATGTCGTCACACGAAATTCTCACTTTACAATTCGGGCATTACTCAAATTACGTGGGGGCTCACTGGTGGAATTTACAAGAAGCTGGTTTTAGCTACGACCCTGATGCACCCTCAGAAATCAATCATGATGTTTTATTTCGAGAAGGGGTGACTTTGAAAAATGAAGTTACATTCACCCCCAGACTACTCTTAGTTGACTTGAAGGGAAGTCTCAGAGCCCTTCCTGTGGAGGGCGAACTCTATTCTCTCCCATCTCAAAGTGCCACCGACACCATTGAAGTAATCGCTGAACCCCCAGAGGAAAAAAACGAGTTTCTGAAAGACATCTCTGAGACAAACACAATCTCAACGACGAAAATCTATGACCTTGAAAGACAAGTTCAAGTCTGGTCGGATTTTTTGTATACGCGGTTTCACCCCCGGACTGTCAATATAATCCAGGAGCACCAACATAATAATGAGAATACGCCCTTTGATATTTTTCCTTTGGGGGCGAATTTGTGGAAGAAAGACCAGTTCTCTGAGGACTTTTCTGACAAAATCCGCAATTACATTGAGGAATGTAACAGTTTTCAAGGATTTCACACTTTGTGCGATTCCAGTGATGCTTTTGCCGGTATTACAGTTTCCTGTTTGGAGCATTTGAACGACGAATATAACACTAAACCGATTCTGGGATTCCCCATTTTGCAACCATCGGCAAACCCCATCCATCTCCTCAATCTCGCATTATGTTTCGATGGTTTAGCCGAACATTCCTCACTTTTCGTCCCTTTATCCTCCAACCCTCCTCAATTTAATTTTCTCTCGCTCAAACCCGACTTCCCATACCACACAAGCGCCATCTTAGCGTCAACTTTGGACACTTTGAGCCTCAATTACCGACTCAAAAACTCAAAAAATACTCTCATCGATATCTGCAGCGACTTTACCACAAATGGACGCAAAGCCGCATCGGCAAGTGTTTGTCTTCCGTTTCCGCTGAAAACAAATGAAGATTTCATCGATTGTTTGAACACGTGGGAGGGACATTTGAGCCAATCGGTGACACCCTGGTGTGACATTAGCCCCGACAATAGTTTACAGTTGGTAGTCCTGAGGGGAATCCCTGAAACTCGCCTCAAACAACCACCACATTTAGCCGAAAAACAAAGAAATTTCCCGGCCTACCGTTGCGATAGTTTGAAGGAAATGTTGAGTTATTTTATCGTTTGTACAAGTTATGGGACTAAAAGCGAAGTGACAGTTTGTGGCGAACAAATGTCAGTCAAGACGCCATTTCCGGGATTTTTCAACGACAGAGTTGGCAACACTGGTGATATTGACGGTAGTAGAAGTGGTCCCGTCGAAAAAATTAACACGTTGGCAGGCCTGCACACCGGTAAGTTTGTCGGAAATATATTGAGTACGTTGACACAAAAATTAGAAAAAATCAAATATAAGAAATATCACCAATTTGTAAGTGAAGGTATGGAAAATGATCACATCCGAGATTGTTTTGACCGATTGTTAGACTTCAGAGACTGTTACGAAGATAATTATCTGCTTTAATATACTTTTTAATTTTGGTAGGACTGATTTTATTACCCCACCCTAAAAAAATCAATTGAACCGAAATAAACAAGTTTTTACCGGCCGGAAACTCGAAATGTCGTAAATAATAGATGTAAAAATAACACACATCAAAGTTTTAATCACAAATTTACATGGAAATCATTAAATATGGTATTAATAATAAATCTAAGCAATTGTCAAGTCGGCTTAATCCAATTTCGAGTAGTATGGATGATGCTTCACCCCCATTCCATGGACCACAACCTACTGCGATTAGTAGTCATAGTTGGTGAATTTTTCGCAATCACACCCTCAAGAACCAAAATCGGAACACTTCGTACCAAAATCTACGCCATTGGTGTCATTTTCGTGCTAATGACAGCTTCCACCCTCTCTGTCATCTACTACCGAAAGCCCCTTTACGTCAATTTCTCCGAAGTCAAGTTGGTCGTGACCATAGCAATGGTATTAATTGTCAACGTCTTCAATTGTTACACAGTGCTGGCACCAGTTTTCTGTAAACGCCAAAAGTACTGCCAACTTATGGCGAAGTTTATTGAAAATCACCACACACCCAATTTTCGCACTTATGTGACATTTTTCACCCCAAATTTGGTCTACTGGGTGGTCACGTTTTACGTAGCTTACGTATGGACCGACATTTTAGGATTTGATTATTACAAAGAGTATTTTGTTGAAGTGGTACAACTGTATTTTCAGTTTTATTATAATTATTTTTTGTGTGTTGTTGTGAGGATTTTTTGGGAGAAATACAGGAATGTTAATTTGTTGTTGTCGGAACAGTTGGTACACATGCAAAGTCGACAGTTTGCTGAATATGAGAAGTTTCACGCATTCATAAAAAGGATGGAAGGGTTGGTGTGTTCGATAAAGGAGTTAAATGAGACTTTTAATGACGTTTTTGGATGGCCAATTATTATGATTATTTTATACTCAAGCTTGCTTCTCTTGAATTATTTGGACGACATTTTTAAGAACAGTTTTGGTTATGACAATAAACAATACATTGGAGTGATTATTTCGAATATTAGTGTCGTCTTTTTGACAGCTGTGAGATACCGATGTTTTATTATTGTTGTGTAATTTAGTTTGTTTTTTAGGTTGGTACTTCTGTACTAATTTTGTTGTGTGATTCGGTCTTAGAAGAGGTAAAAACGACAATTTTACTCTCATATAAGATCAGACAATACGCTGTGTTGAAAGAAAGGAAAGAAATTTCCGAATTTATAAATGTGGTTCTCCATAATTCTCCCCAATTTACAGCTGCAGGATTTTTTTCTATAAACAAAACAACCGTTTTTCATATGATGGGGACCGTAACGACTTTTTTTATAATCATTATCCAGTTCAATACGAACATGAAAATATAGAATAAAAAAATTGAATCAAACTTAGTCTGATTTATATTTTACAGTTGGTAGTGTTGCACCAAAACTATTCAAGTTAAAAATCAATTATAATTATAATCCGGAAAAACTAATCATAAATAATTCCTTCAAGTAATAATCTTTATCAAACACTTAATCAAAAACAAATATTAAAAAGTTTAATATTTAAACTGTCAATTGGGATGTCATATTTAGTCCCACTAATGGATCACAACCTCCTACGATTAGTAATGACAGTTGGCGAATTTTTCGCAATCACACCTTCAATAACGAAAATCGGAACCTTCCGTACTAAAATCTACGCCACTGGTGTCATTTTCACCCTTATGACAGTTTCAACCCTATCTGTCATTTACTTCCGGCAGCCCCTTTATGTCAATTTCTCCGAAATCAAGCTAATCGTTTCCATGGCAATGGTGATAATAGTCAACGCCTTCAATTGTTACACAGTGCTAGCACCTGTTTTCTGTAAACGCCAAAAGTACTGCCAACTTATGGCGAAATTAGTGGAAAAACACCACCAGACTTACAGTTTCACCACCTATGTGAAATTTTTGACCCCAAATTTGCTGTATTGGCTGGTATCGATTTACGCAGCCTACGTGTGGGCCGATATTTTAGGCTTTAGTTACTTCAAGGAGTATTTCATTGAAGTGGTACAACTGTATTTCCAGTTCTACTATTGCTATTTTTTGTGTATTATTGTAAGGATTTTTTGGGGGAAATACAGAAATGTTAATTTGTTGTTGGCGGAACGGTTAGTACGCATGCGAAATCGACGATTTTTGGACTATGAGGAATTTTATGCGTTTATGAAGAGGATGGAAGGCTTGGTGGGGTCGCTAAAGGAGTTGAATTTGCTTTTTAATGACGTTTTTGGGTGGCCAATCGTTATGATTATTTTATACTCGAGTCTGCTTCTCTTAAATTATTTGAACGAGATTTTGAAAAACAATTTTGGTTATGACCCTAGACAGTATACTGGAGTGATTGTTTCGAATGTTGTCGTCGCCTCTTTGACCAATGTGAGTAATAAGTAAGTTTCAGTTTGTTTCTAGTGTAACATAATTTTTTAGGTTGGTACTTTGACACTAATTTTACTATGTGATTCGGTCTTAAAAGAAGTACAAACTACAATTTTACTCGCTTATAAAATTCGACAACATGCTTTGATAAAAGAGGACATATCTGAATTTATTAATGTGCTTCTAAATAATTATCCCGAATTTACAGCAGCTGGATTTTTTTCCATAAGTAAAACAACCATTTTCCATGTAATTGGGAACTTGACGACTTTTTTCATAGTTATTATACAATTCAATACAAGTTGGGGTAAATAAAAGAAATAGAAGTGTTGTTACGCAATTTAATTCATAATGTACATTGAAGTTGCTGTATAATATCTAAGCTAAAATAATCGTTTGTTAACAATTATACATTCATAAATAGTAAAATTACAGATTTTTAACTAGTGATGCAAGTATTATTTTTACAAACAGGTGTCCTCACTAAAATTGATAATTCAAAAATTGAATTTAACACTAACAGCAAGTACATACTTATATACCCCTTTACAACAAGTTGTAAAATTGAAGAAAAAATAAACAACTGCCAAAAAAGTAGCATACAATACTAGGACTCGTCGAGTCCTTAATAAATAAACGAAAAATCAATAAAAAGGAAGGACGTAAGTATAATAAATGGCGTTCCTTATAACATTGTATACCCTTTTACGTGCTAATAAACATGACACGAGTTTTGCTACAAAAAATTCGTACTTTCATTTTTATTTTAAACTTGGCTAATAGTTTTAAATGTGTCGATAAATGGTAAGACAAGGAGACAAAAAATACTTTTTTAAGTGTAAATCCAGACGAATTCGACGTGTTTTAGGGTCTTTCTCATGACTAGAGGATTAAAGAGCTAGATGGTAGTTAACGTCGACTCTCTCTCCTCACCACTGTTGACCTTTCGATGGCGAATTCGTCATCCCTGAAATGGTACCAACAATCTTTTTACTTGCACCAACTTGGTGGTGTACGAATTTTATTTCTCACTAAAACTAAAACGCACCGAAATACACGAAACGTTCCACCGACCACAAATCAACACAGGAGACTTGTTTTAACACAAATTTTAGAAAATTTGAATTCAGATGCCATCTTGTCAAAAATGACATTTCACGATTTTAAATTTTTTTCAACAACGCACCCAAATTACACAATAAACATAAAATTTTCCACAGAACAGACAAGAGATATTTATTCTGCTTGTTTTTAAAACAAATTTGAGAAAAATCGTCCAATTTAGCTTCAAACGCCATCTTGTCAAAAATGACATTTCACGATTTTGTTCTTTTTTGCAATTAAAAACGCACCGAAATCACACATTACAACAAAAACACGAAAATTTCCACCGTTTGTCATCGATTTTCCGCGATAAGCGTGAAAAAAGTCAAGACGCGAAAAATTTGTTTAGCGCGTTGGCCGCGAAAAGTGGATTCGCTCCCCCTCCTCACCTGGCGTGTAGACGGGCACGTCGCCCTGATTGAGGGCCGCACTTTCGCCCAAATTGGACGTTGGCGGCGGCATGGCGTAAACGGGCGCATTCGGGCCCTTTTTAGGAGACGGTTGTGATGTAATCGCTGAATCGTTCTTAGGCGAACCGGCCAATTCATCGTCAGATCCGTCCTCCTGCAATCACAAACAATGACACGTCGGAAAAAAAATCGAAAGTGGAATTCCCGGGGGGAACGGGAGAGGAGAGGGAGGATACAACACTCTGTACAAGTGTCTTACCGTCATCACGTGACCGGAAATCGTAGGTAGGAAAGGTACTTAACTAAAAGAATCGTGTTTTTTTAGTTTAAAGCGTCCAATTGTTAAAAAAAAATGTGTTGAAAAGTCAAGACTCACCCTTTTACCTGGCTGGATCGTTACAGGTTCATTACTTGGACCTTGTTCTCGCTGAAAACATCACTACGTATGAGAACGACTAACAAAAATTTAAATACGTAAAAATTAAAAAAAAACAATGCAATGAAAAGAGAAATGAGAGCCGGTGATTAGTTCGGACTCGATTAGAGTTCTGTATTACCGACTCTGGTCCCGACTAGAGTTCTGTATTACCGACTCTGGTCCGAATCAATTTCACACACATGACAATCGACTTTTAAAGTGTGCAATAATAAAAAAACGAAAACGGGACCCCCTCCCGCCCCCGGTGTCACCTAAAAATGGGGGTGCGTATCGACTTACCTTAATCACGATGACGCATCCAATAATAAAGAAAACAAAAACATGCAAAAAAAAACCAAAACACAAATTACTCACATTCAATGTGTGATAATCGCCGGTTTCTTCAGGCGGTCGTGGTTTGCATTTCCCACAACAGAAGTTGCAACAGCAGCATAAACAACAGCAACAGTAACAACACGACAGGATGCCACACACGACAAAGAGTGCCTGGAAAAAAAATCGAAATTAGAAAATTTGACACAAAACAATTGAAAAAATGAACTCTGAAATCATCTCCTAGAAATTTTGTTTGAGACCAATAGTAACACAAAATCGGGAAATTTAGGTTATCAGGCATCTTGTGCGATGCATTTATCAAGTGTGCGATAACGAGGTCTCATTTTGTGATTGTTTTGTTTTAGCGTTTATCACAATTTATCTCGAAGCGGACGAAAATAAGATTTATTATTATTATGATTGTAATCCGAATCATGAATTAACTTTGAATCATCGGATCAAAGTAGCGTATGGAAAAAACGCCGCGCTTGCTTGATTCGTTTCATAATTATTATATGTAGAATAGTGATAGTGATTAGCACAATTGGTTTAATTAAAGCACAAAGGATCGGTTATCAAGCCGACTTTGCTTTTTTGACGTAACAATAATACACTCATGAAAACAAAAAATGACGCTTTCACTACATTGTTGTAGGTAAAGTGTCATCTGTCAACATGATAAGGTACTAAAATTCGGGTGGTGTAAATCGGATTGGACCCCAAAAGTCCCATTACACTAAGAAATTTTCCAAAAATTTCACACCGATTCTTCCTTTTGCTAAGTCAACGTTAAGTTTTTTGAGCAAAATTCTAAATGAATGAAAATATTTTTAATAAAATACGACTTATTAAACTTTAGTTTCTTTCAATTTCTACAAAGTTTTAAAAAAACGTATTTTATATTTTTTGGCAGTGTATTGTCTCCTTGAAATTTTGGCTGTTTGTCAGACGCCGATGACAACATGCCAAATTTTAAAACCCTGAGATGATTTATGAACAATTTAATAACACAAGAGCTTTATTTTTAAATATGGAAATCTACTTTAAAAAATTCAATTTGTTTTTAATTTAAATTGTTATTTAATTTTAATTACAAAAAAATGCAAACAAATGATTTATTTTAATTCAATCAAATATGTGACCAAATTTTTTTATGTTTATAGGCCTGTATAGAACGTCAAAAATTGTCATCTGTCAAAATGATATTCACATGATTTCTAAAATTCATGATGTAAATTGGATTCCGCACCGCAAAACCATCAATACACTAGAAAACATTGCAAAAATTTCAAACCGATACTTCCTTTTTTAGAAAGTCTGTCACACGCTACGAAGTCTTAAAAAAAAACACATTTTATAAATTTTTTGGCTGTGTATAGTATAGTCACCTTAATTAAATTTTAGCTGTGTATATCAGACGTCGATGAGATCATACCAAATTTTAAAACCTAGGGAAGATTTATGAGCAATTTTACAACCAAAAACTTTTGTTTTTAAATTTGTAAATCTACTTCGAAAAATTCGATTTGTTTTTAATTTGAATTATAAAATTTGAATGAAATTTTAATTCTGTTTGTAACATAAAATCAGCTTTTTGATGACCATACATATTTTTCCTTTTTTTTATTTACCTAAAAACACCATAATTAAGTTATTAAGTTATCTTTAAAACGCTCATTAGTCACAATGCAAACAGCTGAGCAACAGGAAAGTGAATAAAAATTAAAATTTTCAACCTTGAGACAAAAAACGAAGCATTTTGTGTTGATTACCGAACAATTGATAAAAATCCGATTTTATAATTCTTTGATAAAGAACAACTGTTGTAAAAATAGTTTGCAAATTGCGTAGTTTCGCCCCCAAACCATTGTTTCCGACTCATCCTCACCTTGCACCAAGTCGACGTAACAACAAAATACGCGTTGACATTCTCCTCGCCAAACTGCTCGGCAATGTAGAGCCCCAAAGAGCCGTAATTATCATAAATGTTCCTTTTGGTCGGATCACTCAGAATCGAATGCGCCCTATTCACTTCCTTAAACTTCTCAGATGCTTCCGGATTATTGGGGTTCTTATCTGGATGGTACTTGAGGGCTAGTCGTCTGTAAGTTTTCTTGATTTCTTCGGACGTTGCAGTCTTCGGCAGTGCTAAGATCTGGTACAGCGAATCTCCCTGCGTCCTAAATGGGGACAAAACCGCCTTTGAGACTCACGTTCTGAGACAGGTGGGCACTTACGATAGTTTGCGTTTTGTATCCATTCCCGGGCGATTTTCCCAACTGTCAAGCACATACAACGGTGAAAATGGGGGCTAATAAGACCAATTTGGAGTTAAATTCGCATTTTGCACGATTGCTACAACACGACCATCACCAATTGTCAATAAAAACCGTTCGATGACGGCCCGAACGAAGAAGGGCAGCCAACAGTTGTCAACGTGACATAGAAATAAACCAAAAATCACCAACTTTACAAGAAACTGCATTGCCGACCCTAATTCACACCGAAAATTCAAATTTTATCACAACGTCTAATTCATAAAACAAATATGATTTATCAGTGGAGTAAAAATTCGGTGGCCAAGTTAGCCAGGAAAAGTTTTGTGAACACTTTTATTTGACAATAAAACTTATTCTTGCTTATAAATCTTGGACTTGAAGACAGCCTTGTCTAAGATATCACTGAACGTCTCTTGGACCAAGCCACACAACTCTTTGCTTTCTTCAGCTGAAACTTCTAATTCTTTCCCCAGATGGACATCAAAATGTGACGCTAGTGACGCCTGTGATTTGCAAACCTTAGCCAATTGCATCATTAGATTCACAATATCGTCGACCAATGGCGGAAAAGCTTCACTGATGCGTACTAAAGCCGGTAAAATCGGTCTAAAAAGTCGCACCCGTTGACTACTCGACAAACCTAAGAGTAATACCAATAATATAAATAAAAACAATAAGAAAGAAAGTCGTACTTCCAAGGAGTGCATATAGTAAATTCAGGGCTGCCACACACAAATTTAAGCTCTTCGGTAGGGCGTATTGTATGCACAAGTGTGATAACAACTGAATCGCGAAAATTTGTTTATTAAGACTTGGTTGTTGCATCAATTCTTGTAAAAAATCCAAACAAATGTGCATTGAGGGTACACCCTTGACCATCACTTCGATCAGCTCACTTGGATACCCCTGAAACAAACGTCATAGGACCAAGATGGCGCTACCTCCGCTCTCACCTGGAAGTGAACCAGTTTTGCCAACATTGTATCAGCAATAAAAACTTGGTGTAAATAACTGCAAACTAAAGACCGGACTTCTTGAAGGGCCCATTTTTGTCCTCCTATCGTGCGATCCTCTTCTGTTTCAATGCAAGTTTCTAGTAACATCTGAACTGCTGCACTTTCCTGTGCTGCTATCGTCGCCCTACACATCTCCTCTCTGTCACTCTCATTCAAAACCTGTCCGGCATGATCTAGCCTCGGATTGGCTTGCAAATGTTGCATCAATTGACTCCTAGATGACGCCAGACTCGCTCTCAACACGCGCAATACTATAGCATACAAGGGGGCGCAGCGAAAGACACGTTCGTCGCATCGCATTATCTGGAGAGGGTCCTCTGCGACATCAATTCGAGTCAAACTTGAAAAATCATCGACTAGGTTTTTCACAGTTAAAACCCACAATCGCCGGGGAAGTACCGTATTGAACCTCAACCAGACATCTTTGTACAAGTCTTGCAAGTACCTCGGGACGTTTCCACCGAGGATTTTGCGCGCAAACTGTGTAAAAACCTCAGCAAAAGGCCAAATATCTATGGCCTCTTGTTTGAGGAGGATTTGCATGAGCTTGGCACACTTTGATGGGCTTGTTTCTAACTCATTGAAGGCTTCGATGACGGCGATTTGGGTCACGTAAGCCGGTTTGTGTTCGGTTTTGATCGACATGTCGTCGAGCCAGTCTTCGACTAGTGTCAAGTGGGGGAAATGTGTAGCAAGGAGTTTGAGTAAAGGACCAAAAAGACCCGAGTAGGAACTTTGGTCTTTCTGGGCGTGGTGTAGCAAGTATTTGATTGGTAGTTCCGACATAAATTCCGGACTGTACAACTTGATTTTGCGGTTAAACGCCGCCAAAATGTGGGCGTTGACCAAACGGCAATCCTCATAGAGGAGGAGATAGTAGAGTAGGAGGAGTTGAGGTGTGAGACTTGTGTTATCCACCACCACGTCCTGATTCTCACTATTTAAGTCAAAATCCATGGTGAAAATCGATTGTTTATGATCGAAATATTGACCGAAAATCGAGCTTTGGAACACTCGTCTGATTTCGTTTTCAGTTAGGGGTTTATTTGTTTCGGTGTTTCGCGATGTTGGCATTATGACACTATTGACGTACACTTCAACCAACATTGGCAACACTGGATGTAACGGACTCACACTTGTACAAATCTGTTTATAAATCCAATTTTTTATATTTACATTGTGTTTGGCAAAAGCACGCGATTTGAGCAATTGGTGTATACAATGAATGGGTAAAAACCCGGTCATATTCGCACTTAACGAATTCGTAACCGGAACCTTAACCGCATGTGCGGTTACAACCTGTTCCGTGAAAATCTCCTGAGTGAAAACTTGTTTCATCCGTGTCATATTATTATGTCTGATGGGGATTTTCATTCCTAAGGTTGCACAAACTAGATCACAAATGGCGCTCAATTGGTTACTATGGAAATGAATCGCCATTAGTAACAACATTTCGCCAAAACTTGCAGTAACACCACTGGCCGACTCAAAATACGCCTCCTCCTTCACCAACCATTGCACCCACTCGATGCTCCGCCTCTCGTGCTCTTGGAGAGAGATAAGGGAGGGGCAAGCAATCAACATACACAAACCAATCGAAACAAAACGGACACCGGCAGGGGTGGGGCTTGGATGTGACGTTAACAGACGCACCAATGCATTAACCTCGTCCTCTTGAAATTTAATTGCGGCGATTCCACGAAGGGCACAGTAAAGTCGCAAAAGGGCGGAGCCTTGCACCACGAGACTATCCAATAGGTGGCCATCAGCCGAAGCTGATAAAATCACATGTAAGCGACGGAGTAGCTCCTCCCTCAGTTGCATCAGGGCGGTGCTTGATATCTCCCCCTTTTTTTTCTGACCAGTCCGGATGAAAAGTGCAATCCAATTACGAATTGTTTGGTCGTTGCCTAGTAACAGACCGGAAATAAACGCGACCATGTCCCCCTCCACCCCTTCCAAGGATAATGTGATTGCTAGAGCTGGCATTCGACATAATTCGACGCATTTGCTCCTGATTGTGAGGGCTTGACTCGGGTTCATTTTACAAAGGAGGGAAATGGTCGCAGCTCGAACTGTGCTCAGTTTAGTCTCTTCCTGTTTTTCCCCGGTTTGGATCAAATAAGTGCAGACTTCTCGGAAACAATCGGGGAAGTTCGCCACGATTCGGCAAATAATGGGCGGGCCGTTGTGTAAATGAAGGAGGGTTTCAGTGATTGTCAAAATGTTTAACGTGATGGGGAGCTCAGCCAAGGCTATGCAAATAATATCAGATAATTCCTCCGCAAAAATGTCATTGTCGAACAACTCCGAGGGCTTGACATACGACGTTTCCGAATTTTCGTCCTGGATCTGGCTCTGGACATACAATAATTCGCCCAGTAAAATACTCAACCGTCTCGTCATGTCACTCCTTTCGTACTCCAAAGCCATGCTTGTGTTCGATAAATTCCCGATCAAAATCGAGTCGTTCTGAAGGGCCACTCCCTTCTGGCGTAACTGTTGTTCCTTCTTCACCTCCGTTTCCAATCGATGAAAATCAATAGATAAGAGCGCCACGATTGAATTAACCAATTCCATCCCGGACACTATTGTAAGAATGTCGACTTTCATGCTGGTGCACTTTTTCGACGTGTCAAGGGGCGAAATGAGCCCCATTCGGACGAGACAGGGCAACACAGGCCGGATTTCCTGTTCAGTGCATTCGGCCAGTTGTGACATGTCCACGTTTTGAATAGCCCGGAAGACTTTAGGATCGACGCCTTTCTTGAACGACATTTCGGGGCTATCGGAAGTGAGGTTAAGTCGCTAAAACACCGTCGTTAAGTATTTCAAACAAAAAATCGGGCACGGTACACCAATTCACTCATAAACTAAACAGTAAAGCTTTAAAAACATTAAATTATTGGTTTGTTTACGGTACATTAGTGAGGTTATGGAATGGTATGTTGTAAAAAAGCGACCTACTTTACCGGTGACCGGCATTTAAATTTTTTAAACAAGATTTTCTAAAATAAAACAATAATAAAATCAATTATTTTTTTCGCAATTAACTGTAACCTTTGAGCAATTTTTTGTGTAAAATAAACTCAAATAATAAATTTTTAGGTTAGATTAATTGTCTTTATAATCGAAGAAGTACTTGTTTGCTAGCTTGCATTAAGTCAAGGTGATAGTTATATTTATTATTCCATAGTTTTATTTAAAAAACTGTCTAAAAAAGCGACTACAGTAGAGAAAAACCGTTAATTTCCTTCAAAGTGAGGTTATGTGTTTATTTACAGGAAAATTCGTTATCGACCCAAGTGCAAGTGTCAAACGACAGAAACGTGTCTGAACTGGTCAAAACTTACAAATTGTTTATAAATACTTCAGAATTCCACATATTTAATAAATAATTGTAAATGTTTATTGATTTTCCCTTCAATTATTGTTTTTTTTCTACTTCTATGCAATTTCCTGGCACTGAAAACATTGCACAATTTTGCCTTTATTTTTGAAACGACTTACTACAGCCGTAAAAGTAAATTCAGTTTTGAGTTTTTGAGGGAAGAATGAGACAAGTGCCTTACTCCCAATAAAATTTATTAGAAAAAATGAATACACTACATTAATGTTGCTTTCTCCTGAAACTGCAGCCCTCCGTCAATCTAGCTTTGCCCCCGGTGGACGTGCACAAGATGGTTGAACACCCCTTGCACGGGACTGCAGACTGGGCATGGGAGAAGATGGTAGAGATGGCATAACATCCAGGGCATTTCACATCCATAAAATAACTGTTGGGATGTTGAACCAACCTCTTCTTCTTATGGGATTTCTTCTGTTTTTCAGCAGAAGGGTGCAATAAATCGACCGCTAACGGCATCTGAAAAAACACAAACATTGCTCAAAAATCGTCAAAATTTCACCACAAACACTTGAATAAACGTGTTTTTAATTGTTTTACACTTTTACGCACTTTTATATTTGCTTGGGACACTGAAAAAGGCTGATTTTCTTCACAACGCACGTGGTGAATTCGGCTATCAACCGTGTAAAGGAAAGTGACAGATGACAGGCGATACCACCCTAATGACCCTTATACCAACATGACAAAACAAAAGTACCAAGCAACATTTTATAAATAAGAAAAATATTGATCGACTAATTAACCATGCGCACTTTGGACTAAATTAAAACATTTTCTGTACAAATAATTCGTTGTATTTGCGGATCATTTTTTTGAAATAATTTACCTGTCATTTTTGACAGCTAACTTAACCTTGAAACCACTTATGGAATTTTTTCATTTAATTGGTTTAAATCAACGAGCAAAGTACACGTCCGTTCAGTTTTCCAACTATCATGTTTGTTTTCACGCGAATAATTGCTCAGAGTGGTAAAATTTACATAATTTTGTGAAATTTCCCCACCCCCAGCCGTCTTGATTCCAGGCCGTTGTGTCAAATCCCGCGGGATAGCCTCTCTGGGGGCCCTCTCCGAGACTCACCAAATGCTTCAAAAAACCTGCCGCGACTTTGCCGACAATGAATTAAAACCCATCGCTGCTAAAGTCGACCGCGAGCACTTGTACCCCCAAGACCAAATCCAGAAAATGGGGGAATTGGGGCTCATGGCCGTAGCCGTCCCCGAGGAATTTGGGGGTACAGGTTTAGATTACGTGGCGTACGCCATAGCCATGGAGGAAATTTCCAGAGGGTGCGCCAGTGCCGGTGTTATTATGTCTGTTAATAATTCGTTGTATTTAGGGCCGATTCAATATTTTGGGAATAAAGAGCAAAAGGAGAAGTTTATTACGCCGTTTACAAAAGGAGATAAGGTGTGTGGAGTTGTGTGAATAATGGGGGCTGATGCAGTGTTGCAGGTGGGGTGTTTCGCCCTCTCGGAGCCCGGGAATGGGTCCGATGCGGGGGCTGCGTCCACCACGGCGAGGCTTGAAGGCGACAAATGGGTTCTGAACGGGACCAAAGCCTGGATCACCAATGGATTTGAGAGCGAAGCGTCTGTAGTCTTGGCCACAACGGACAAAAATTTGAAACATAAAGGTGTGGTGTATAATTGGTTGCATAACTACTATTTTTTTTTTTCAGGTATTTCAGCTGTTATTGTTCCAAAACCGACAAAAGGGCTTGAGTTAGGTAAAAAAGAAGACAAATTGGGGATTAGAGGCTCCTCCACCTGCTCTCTCATCTTCGAAGACTGCCAAGTCCCCAAATCAAACCTCCTGGGAGAACCTGGACAAGGTTTCAAAATCGCAATGATGACACTCGATGCTGGCCGAATTGGAATCGCTTCACAAGCCCTAGGAATCGCCCAAGCCTCTCTCGAAGTCGCCGCTGAGTACGCTTCAAAAAGAATGGCTTTCGGAAAACCCCTTCTTAAGCTTCAAACAATACAAAATAAATTGGCCGAAATGGCATTACGGTTGGAGGCGGCGAGACTTTTAACATGGAGAGCGGCGTGGCTTAAAGACAACAAAAAAAATTTTACTAAGGAGGCTGCCATGGCCAAACTGGCGGCTAGTGAAGCAGCCACTTATTTGAGCCACCAGTGTATACAAATTTTGGGGGGCATGGGGTACGTCTCGGACATGCCGGCGGAGAGGCACTACAGGGATGCGAGGATCACCGAGATTTATGAAGGGACGAGTGAGATACAGAGACTTGTAATCGCCGGGAACTTGATCAAGGAATTGGGGCTATAATTATATAAAATCGTGTTTAAATACATTTTTACATTTGTAGTGTATTTTAATGTAAGAGTAAAGGGCTGAGAGAGGTAGGGGCAAGCAAGGTGGGAGAATGACGAACGGACACTCTTGCTTGCCCCGCCGAAGTGTTCGTGTGTAAATAAATATCATTATTGGGAAAAGTGTAGTTCATTTCAAAGACATCACATTGGCGACGAGGACGATTAATAACAACCCACAGAAGAGAGAAAAATCGAGAAAGGGTCAGAAGGAGGAAGAACCAAGGAAAAGTGAAAACCACGTGGTCGCGAAGGAATTTGCAAGGCCAGTGATAACCAGCGGAGGAAAAAAATGCCTGGTGGAGAAGGTGATACGAGTGCAGGAGCAGTCCAGTCTTCCCAAATGGGACAGTTGCGAGAGTTTTCACTCAAACATTCAGACTGGTCCATTTACAAAGCGAGGTTAAATAATTATTTTCTCGCCAACAAAATCACGGAAAGTACCCTTAAACGAGCGATACTCTTAAACATGCTTGATGAGGAAGCATACAAGTTGATTTTCGATCTATGTAGCCCGAAGAAACCGGAAGAAGAATCGTGGGAGAAAATCACGAAGACGTTAGATAAGCATTTAGCTCCACAAAAAGCGGTTTTCGCGGCGAGGTACAAGTTTTATGCGGCAAGAAAAGAAGCGGACGAGACGGTAGCAGAATGGGCGGCAAGAGTCAGAAGTTTGGCGGTACCCTGCCAGTTTGAAGGGACGGCCTTGGAATCAACCTTAAAGGACAAATTCGTTTTTGGATTTGAGATGGGTCTGTTGTTGGAATCGCTGATGGAAAAGGATATCGGAACATCGTTGGAGGAAATGGTGGAAACAGCCACGAATAAAATGGCGGCGTTGGAAATGAAAAGAGAAGTAGGCAACGCGACTGGAAAAAGGGAAGATCTGCATTTCGTAAAATCCAGACAAAAAGGGGGAGCCGCTAGCAGTTATCGCTAGAGACAGCAAAGGGACAATCAACCAGGGACGTCACGGGATCGTCAGTTGAGGTGTCCAGCGTGTGGAAAAAATCACTTTAAAGATAAGTGTTTTCACAAAAATACTGTATGTTTTTTATGTAAAAAAAGAGGTCATTTGGCAGCGTTTTGTAAGAATATTAAAAGTAAGGAGCATAGTAGGGCAGTTAATTACAAGGTCCAGGATTCAGAGGCTAGTAGCGCAGACGATGATCAGTTATCATTGTTTAAGATTCAAAGTAACGGAATAGCTCCACATTATCTAACGTTGCAAATATTAGGCAGTTCGAAGCAGTTTGAAATTGATTCCGGATCTAGTGTTTCAGTGATTTCGTTAGAGTACTATAATAGTAGATTATGTTATTAGGTGTAAAAGTGATTGTTTATGTGGCGAAGCTGAACGTTCAACCGAACGGAGTGAGGCAAATGGATTCAGCTGAGCCACATATAAACTCACTTTTACTCCAAATAACATATACTATTTTATCTGCAAACGATTCAGATGGAACGAAAAGAGCAACACACCAATAATCAAGTAAATCACCTCAATAATCAGGACGCTTTGCAATAAAATCATAACAAACGTCACGCGTCTGTTTCGGAATTTGTGTTGAGATTTCACAAGTGTGGATTGATTTAACTAGTGAATAACTGGTGTAGTTTATAGTGCAAAATATCGAATGCTGATAATATACCTTGTATCTCTCCAGAAAATGCTGAAAAAGCGAAAGGGACAAGAAAGAGACAACAGTGGTAAATGTCAAAGTAAGTGACAAGTAAAAGTGAAAACGCCTAGGCGTAAAAACAGTGTTTTTACTCCATGTCTGAAAAGTAAAACTTTTACCTGTGTCATTTAGTCATAAAAGTGGTCACTTTTGTGACGTTTGCAGATAAAAAAAATTTGGCAAGGTTAAAACTGTGTAAATCAGATAAGAGTTTGTCATTTTATGACAAAACCAGGGTGAAACCTGTTGGAATGGTAAAAGGTGTTAAAGTTAGGTATAACGGAGTTGATAACTATTTAGATTTTTATGTTATGCAAAACGGTGGCCCACCGATTGTTGGTCGTGACTTTTTAGAGAAAAGTAACATGAGGTTTACACAAGTAAATTACGTCAATAATGATGATGACAATGTGGTGGGTGCACTGAAGGCCGAGTTTGATAAAATATTTTCAACCGAACTAGGTTGCTTTAACAGGGGGAAAGTTAGTATTAAATTAAAAAATCCAAACACCGTACCAAAATTTTATCGAGCACGACCCGTACCTTTTGCGATTAGAAATTTAGTAGAAAAGGAGATTGATCGTTTGTTATCTCTAGCAATCATCACTCCGGACGATTACAGTGCATGGGCAACACCGGTCGTACCCGTAATCAAACCAGATGGTAGAGTACGTCTGTGTGGAGATTACAAGTTGACGGTAAAACCGGAAATAGAAGTGGTACATTATCCTCTTCCTAGAATTGAGGAGTTGTTTGCTCAATTATGTGGAGGTTAGCAATTTACCAAGTTGGATCTATCACAAGCGTATCAACAAATCGAGTTAGATGAAGCTTCAAAGGAGCTTTTGACAGTTTCCACCCACAGGAGTTTGTTTAGATACAATAGGTTAGCATTTGGAATATCTTCGGCTCCAGGTATGTTTCAAAAACTGATGGAAGGGCTTTTAAGCGGTTTGGACGGGGTGGTAGTATTTCTGGATGATGTGCTAGTCACAGGCGCTACATAGAGAATTTTCGCAAGGTTTTAAGCAGATTTAGAAACGCAGGATTAACGTTAGGTTTAAAGAAATGTAAATTTTTCAAAGATAGAGTAACGTATCTAGGGCATTGTATCGATAAGAACGGTTTACGCCCTAACCCAGAACAAACAAAAGCGATTAGGGAAACGATGCGTCCGGAAAACGTCAAACAATTACAATCGTTTTTGGGGGCGGTGAATTACTATGGGAAATTTGTAAAAAAATTGACAAAAATATTAAATCCGTTATATGAGTTATTGAGATCGGATAAAGAGTGGTATTGGTCTGACGATTGCGAAAAAAATTTTTGTAAAATTAAGGAAATTTTACAATCCGCGTAAGTATTGGTACACTTTGATCCTAAAGTTGAATTACGGTTAACAGTAGATGCATCAGCAGTAGGAGTAGGAGCGGTGTTAAGTCACAAATTTCAGTCGGAAATAGATCTTATTATAATAAAAGGCTAAGACTGTATTTATATAACGATTGTTTAATGTGGAACCATCGCGTAATAATACCACAAAAGTTACGGAGGTTATATCTAGAAGAACTACATTCTACGCATTTAGGAATGGTGAAAATGAAACAGGGGGCAAGAAGTTTTTTTTGGTGGCCAAAACTAGATCAAGACATTGAATCGTTAGTACAGGCGTGTAGAACTTGTCAACAAGTTAGTAAAGCTTCTCCAAAAAAGGAGTTAACACCCTGGAATTTTCCGAACGAGGTATGGGAACGTATACATGTAGATTTTTTAGGCCCTCTTCGCGGTAAAACATATTTTATTGTATTAGAGCACATAGTAAATGGGTCGAAGTTTTTGAAATGACAAAAATTACATCATTGGCAACTATTCGAGTATTGCGAAGTCTGTTTGCTAGATTTAGGTTGCCAAAAACAGTGGTAGCAGATAACGGTAGGCAGCTAGTTTCAATAGAATTAATTAATTTTCTAAAAAAGAACGGAATTCAGCTTGTGACTAGTCCACTCTACCATTCCCAGTCAAACGATGCAGCCGAAAACTCGGTGAAAACTGTCAAACGTTCTCTTAAAAAAGCAATAATTGACAGAAATTACGGTGACACCAATTTGGTTCTTTGCAGATTTTTATTTGATTATCGAAACGTGGCACATAGTACGACAGGAATTGCACCAGCAGTGTTAATGTTTAATAGACCACTTCGCACAAAATTTTCATTGACAGTACCATCAAACTTAGATGTTAAGAGTAAAGTCAAAGAAGCTCAGAAGAATCAAATTAAAAATTTTGGTGGTCATAACAAGATTTTTTTTGAGGTTGGAGAAAAAGTTTTAATTAAGAATTATCACAATGTTAACGATCCTACATTCGTCTCAGCTCGTGTTATAAAAAAATTAGGTAAATCAGTGTATAGTGTTAGGGAGTGGATTCAGGAAAAAATTGTAAACGTCATGCGAATCAAATGAAAAAGATTAAAAACAATTACACTTCTATATTTGTACAAAATGGTACTGTTCCGTTAACAACAAATGAGCAATCACCTGACGAGTTACTTGAAAATCCACCCAAACCTGAGCAATCACTTGAAGAGAGAAATGATATGGAGTCACCAGGTAGGGAATTTTCAGCGAACTTGAGGGATAGAAGTCATATTAGACCCCCTAATAGATTTACATTTTCTGAATATGAGAATAAAAAATAATTTGCGAAAGGGGGAGGAATGTAGTGTATTTTAATGTAAGAGTAAAGGGCTGAGAGAGGTAGGGGCAATGACGAACGGACACTCTTGCTTGCCCCGCCGAAGTGTTCGTGTGTAAAAAAATATCATTATTGGGAAAAGTGTAGTTCATTTCAAAGAACTCACAGCTTTTATTTGGTTCTCTTGTTGAAGAAAAGTGGTAATTTTTTTAGTTTTTTTTTCAGAAAATTAGTTGCATAACACCGTATTTTAAAATTGAGTTATTTAGTATTAATTTTCTAATAACACTGTCTGTATTATAAATATGAATTGACCTAATAATTAAAATAATAAATAATAACAATCAGTGTTTAGTAGTATAAGGGCCCCTATGCACACTGCTACTTTTTAAGGAAAACACCCCGATTTTCAAGGGTAAACTGAAAAGCAAAAAAAATCGTGAGAACATCCCGATTTTCAAAGCCCTGTTTTAGCCTAGAAAATCATTTAAAAAAAAAACAACCTGATTTTCAAGGTAATTCAAAAAGTGCGAAATTTAGAAGGCCCCCCTCAGAACACTTTGTTTTTTTTGCTGATTTTACCGTTTTTAATTTGGAACATTTATACCTCAACCACAGACAATAGAATAGACAGTTAGACAACTGATTTTACTTAATGTTTTTATTCATAAAAAAAATGTTATATCAATTCTTAATTTGTTGATGTTCCCGAATCCGATGAGCTTGCCCTCCTATAAAATGAATAAACCTATTATCCGTTTTTTTTTAATAAACAATGTCAGTGTCAAAATCGGGTATAAAAGTAGCTCATATCGTCTTAAAAGGCAAAATTGAGAAATTAGATTTACATTACATTAGGTACCCGGATTTGAGTGAGCAATACACCTAGTTCAGAAATTTCTTCAATTAAAACCATACAAGGAAAATTCTTTCTCATTTTGACACTTAGGTATTGTTTATTTAAAAAAAAAGGATAATATATTATGTATTTGCTCACTGTAGATTCCTCAGCGCTGTAATAAAATTTCTTTTCTCGGCCAAATCACCAAACACTAGTGTTACATTTTGAGCTTCTCGATATATTACTAGCGTTGCGGTTTCTGTAGGTATGCCATTTTCTTCATCGGAATCAGGTTCACCGTCATCGTACCTTATTATATTGGCATTATAAAGGGACAAAATGATTCTCTCATCTTCGATTACAAAATTAATATGATCCTCGTACACTCTCACGGTTACGTTTGCTTGTTGGTCATGGAGAACTTGATCAGCTCCTCTTCTTTCGTACAACAAGACGGTGAAGCTTAACATCTTCCTTCCTAATTTGATCTTGTGTTTTTCTCGTTGGTGTCGTTCACGTTGGTATCGTTCACGTTGGAAGTGACAAAAATCCTCTATCAACTTTTTCATATCCATTTTCTCTAAAATATCTACTTATTGGTTTTTATCATTGTTTTTTAATACGTACCTGCTTATTCTCAGCACACGTCCTTGAGAGTTCACGAAAATGAAATGCGTCCCAACAAGATCAACAAGAGACGCGCGTTGTATGTACAGGGTGATTGTTAAATAGACCGACAAAATTCTATGCTTGGAAAGCTGAGATAAAATTTTGTCGGTCTATTTAAGAATCATCCTGTATAAATAGTTGCCTACGTTGGATATAGAAAATCAAATCGAGCAACTTTTATGTTGATAAATGACATTCCTATGAAATCGCTTTGTTTTAAAAAAAAGTACAATACACTGCTACTTTTTAAGGAAAACACCCCGATTTTCAAGGGGTAAACTGAAAAGCAGAGAAAATCGTGAGAACACCCCGATTTTAAGGTATATTTTAAAATTAACATTTTTCAAAGATTTCGCCTTGTTTTTCAATCAATGAAAAGTAGTTAAATATTCGCAACGCTCATGAGGACTTCGTCCGAATCAGTCAAACTGATCTGTTTATATAAAGGGGACGATTCGTCCCCCTTTAATTGTGAATAAAATAAAAGTAATTATTTGTAGTAGTTCAAGTTCTTCGTCTGTTAGCTCAGTTATAATTTCTTCATTGTTTAGTTTATAACAAAGATTAGAATTACCGCGCTCTTTTATTTAATATTAATTTTCTAATAACAGTGTCGCTATGTTATATTAATTGACTTAATAATTAAAATAATAAATAGCAACAATCAGGGTTTAAAATCTAACAAATTTGAAGTCATTTAAAAATTTAGTGCCAACCTCACGGCGAAAAGTGAAAATTTCTATAGTTTGTAATGAATTGGGGCTATAATTTAATTGATATTTTTAGACTATGTCGTTTTGTGTTTAAACATATTTTAAAGTTTTATTTGGTTGTCTTATTTAAAGTAGTGTAATTATTTTTCGATTTTTTAAGTCTGTCTAACAATAATTGTATGACTGGTTGCATAACCAATTTTTTTTTTAATTTGCATAATTTAATATTAATTAAAACGTTTTAAATGTTAATTGTTTTAACAATAATAATAATAAATAGTGTTTGAAATCGCAAAAATTGGGAGTTATTTTAAAATTTGTCGCCAACCTCGGGGTGAAAGTCCCTAGTTTGTAGTTTGTTACCAATCCCCACACTCAGCTGATTTTCGCCACTTGTCAACGATTTTACAAATTTCCAGTGTCAGTTTTCTAAAAAAAGTGCGTGCTGCAGGAGGTAAGCCCCCCAGAATCCGGGTAAGTGTCCCCTATCGCCCCCACATTTCATTTTTTGCAGTGACCATTTGCATTTCATGACGTTAAAAATTCGCACTTTCTCCGTTTGTGTTATCAAAGGTTGACCGAAATTGACCTTTGTTCGGGCACTAACACGCGTGGTTATCAACGAGACAACGAACGAGACGTTCAGTTTTGTTCCAGCTGTGATTGGAGAAAATGTCGCACTACAGTGATGCCGAAGACTCCATCGACATAGCCGAAATGGGGGTGCGCAAGAGGAAGATCTGGGACCCCGAGACAGAATCCATCACTTCCGAGATCAAGGAATTGTTAGACGACGATGTTAATTCGCTTGTTGAGGAGGACTGCGTGGGGTGTCCTTTGCCCTCCACGCCTGAGGATGAGAATTTGCTCGATTCGGAGATGAGCGATGTGTTGAAAGCCGCCGTTTTAGGTACAGGTAGAGTAGTTTAGGTTTTTATTTTTTTATGCGTATTTGTTGTTGTGTTTTTTTATAGTAGGCTTGAAAACAATGAAACAAATTGTTTTGACATTAGTTGTACATAATTGAAGGTGGCCGGGAATGACCAGCGCACTAGATTGATTTTTCAAGGTTACATTGCTGGTATCATTATCAAAATCAGTTTTGGGGAATGTGATAAAAACCGCAAGTTTTGACGCAAAACAAACAAATACTGATTAGTTTATTCGGAGCGGCAAAATGTGCATTTTCTTGAATAAACAAACATTTATAAAAAAAAAAAACTCAGAAGTAGGGTCTTAATGTCACAGATAGATAGGTAACTTTCCGTGTCAGCATTATATTTTTTCATTTGTTAAATTGACAGGGTCAAAGTGTATATTTGTTTGGAATATTTTTGTCAACAAATTAGCTGTGTCATCAGCAATTATTGCCAAAAATAATTACAAATAAAAGGTGTATCCAAGAAAGAATTTCAAGTAAATCTTTGCAAGTTTTACTATTAGAAGCCTGTAAAAATGGTAAATTAACTGAAAAAACAGCTAGTCTTTGTTGTATTCCAGTGGCGTAGTGAATTTTTCCCTCGAACAAAAAGACTGTTTTTCTTAATTTTTTGTAGGTGATGAGCTCGACATCACCACACTTGCCCACAATGCCGCCAGCCAGGCCGAACACGTGGTCCGTAAGATGCTTCAAGCTGGTTGGTCGGTTTGTCACTTCCGCAACCTTCCAGCTTGGCTCCAAGACAACGATTTCCTTATTTTCGGCCATCGACCCCCACTTCCCAGTTTCCGTGCTTGTTTCAAAAGCATTTTTCGCATCCACACCGAAACCGCAAATATTTGGACACACCTTCTTGGATGCGTGGCATTCATAGGTACAAACAAATGACAATCAATGTTTGTTATCTCTTTCTTCAACTGTTATTTCCAGCTATCGCTATCTTTTTCCTGATGCGACCATCGATGGAAATCGAGCTTCAGGAGAAGATTGTCTTTGGGGCGTTCTTCGCGGGGGCTATCATCTGCCTCGGGATGTCGTTTATGTTCCACACAGTCAACTGTCATTCGCAATTTATCGGAAAGTTGTTTTCTAAACTGGATTATTGCGGGATTGCCATGTTGATAATGGGGTCGTTTGTCCCATGGGTGTATTATGGGTTCTACTGCCATTTCCGACCAAAGGTGGTTTACTTATCAGTGGTTTGTGCATTGGGGATTACCAGCATTATGGTTAGTCTATGGGACAAGTTTTCGGAATCGGGTTGGAGGCCCTTCAGGGCGGCTGTTTTCATGACTTTTGGTCTCAGTGGGATCGTCCCAGCCATCCATTATGGGATTGTCGAAGGATGGTTTAATAAAGTGAGTCAAAAATCGCTCGGATGGTTGATTCTAATGGGGCTGTTGTACATCATGGGGGCCATGTTGTATGCATTGAGAGTGCCCGAGAGGTGGTTCCCCGGGAAATTCGATATCTGGTTGCACTCACATCAAATTTTCCATGTTTTTGTACTAGGGGGCGCTTTCGTGCATTATCATGGAATATCAGAGATGGCCATGTACAGGGTGACGATAGGGCAATGCGAAATGCCTGACATTCCCATTTATTAACCAAAGATCTTGATTTTCTAAATAAAATTTTGCAAATCTAATGATTTGTGCTTTATGTTATGTCATTGGTTGTTTATTGTTACGTGTAAGATATATAGCACAAGTCACAGACGAGTGCGGTCAAGACTCGAGATGGTGGTTTTTAGTTCACTCCTAGTGTTAATCAAGCTTTGGATAAGGCTTAGTATAAAATGAGAAAAAAAAATATATTTTGCTATTATCACCAACATTTTTGAGAAAGGTATATCCTCTTGTAAGTGTATTACTATTACTATTATATATCAATATTGTATAAAAAAAAATGATACTGAATTTAGATATATTTTTAGGTGTTTTATCTGTACTTATCTGGGTCTTGAATTTTTTTTTCACAGGTGTCATTAAAATTTCGCTGTAGTTTAGTTTACAATTTTGTGATAATTTCAGTAGAAACTCTCTATTTATTGTTACACTTGAATTTTGTTGTAGGTTATTGTTTTTAAATAAATTGTAATGTTGGACATGGAAATACATCATGTGACCAAAAATGTGTTTTTTGTCATCCTGGGAACCAAATTTTTCCTTGATTTTTTTCGTACAGGATGCGAAAACAACAATTTTATGACAGAAAATATTTCTTTTTTTGTTCCAAATGGGAACACATTTTCTTTTGGAGTTTTAGTTGCTGAAATGTCACTTTTGACACTTCTTGATTCACTTTGACTTTCTCAATTTCTCAAAATCCAGTGTGAAATTATTTAAATTAGAAGTAAGTTTTCAAGTTCGTAACAATTGTTTTGGGACTCAGTTACTTTATTAAAAATGAATTGATGGTGTGTGGCTAAGGTTACGTCAATTTTGACAGTAAATTACATTTTTATTGACAGTAAATCCAGTGGCGTAGACTACTGCACTTTGGAGACTTTCAAATAGAGTCCGCCCCTGTTTTGCACGAAAAGCGAGCCAGGATCGAAACGGAGCGGCACAGGGGTCCGCTTCGTCACATCAAAAACAAAATCTTTAACAATCGATGCTAACGCCACTTTACTGACCAATAACGCGAATCTTTGACCTGCAATTAATTCAATTAAAATTTGAATTATAAAAATTAATCATATGCACCGATGCAATTTCTCGGTCCTTCCCCAAACGGCAAATACGTATACGGCGTCAGATTTTTCTTATTTTCGTCACTGAACCGCTCAGGATCATATTTCTCAGGATCAGGATAATACTCAGGATCGTAGTGTAGGCCTGAAATCGGCACAATAATCGAAACTCCTTTATCTAGTGTAAAACCGGTCTCTTCGAACGTGTATTTGACGTCCGATTTCCGGTTTAAAAATGGCGCGAGGGGGTACTTCCGCAACGTCTCTACAAAAATTTGGTTACGGAGTTGGCCATCAAAAGTGTTTTTTTACCATTCAAAACCATGTCGAGATATTTCATATGCTGAATATTTTCATAAGTGAAAGCTTCACTTTCGTTGTAGATTTCCGTCACTTCCTGTCTTAAACGATCTTGTATTGTTTTATTTAAAGCTAATTCGTAACATGTCAAGGCTAGTGTGATTGAAGTGGTGTCGTTTCCGGCCGAGAAAAAGGCTATAGCTTGAGCGGCCATTTTGATGTCATTATCTGGAAACAAAATGGCGAATATTCGGATAAACGGTCAGTGTCGTGTGATTTACCGAATTTGTAACCATCGGTGATTGTTTCAGTTTTGCGCAAATTATTCAAAAGGTCAATAAAGTCGTTTCTGATAATTTTCTTTTTTTCTCTCTCTTGAAGTGTTGTTTTAAACACGTTTAAGAGATAATCCGAGGCTGTTTTATCGGCGAAAGTCAGTCTAAAAATATCCACGAAACTCGGCATGAAAAAGAAACTGAAAATCGAGATACTCCGAATCAGCGATTTGAAATCAACTAATTGAGTCGCCATTTTCAAAATTTCAGAATTGTCATTCTGGAAACAATAGGTGTTAATCCCAAAGGCACATGTGGAGATTATATCAACAGAATATTTCTTCATTGTTATTTTCACGTCAATTTCTTCGGTGTTTTCCCCCAAAAACCGGTGCAAGTCATCGACACACTCCTGCATTAACGGAAACATCAACTTCATTTTTCCGGAAGTGAAAACCGGGGATAATTTCGCCCGGAGACTTCTCCAGACTGCATCTTTGGAGATGAAAAGTGTGTGGAAAGCCAACGGATCGGCAGCCTCGTTCGTGGCAATATTCCGATTGGTGAACTTGTCGAAGTCTTTGACGAGCACCTTCCGGAGGATTTCCGGACTCCGGATCAGCAACACCGGCTGGTGGAAAATGTAAATGCCGACATAGGGGGTCGAAAATTGATTGTAAATGGTGCGGATTCGCTCAAAAATGTGCTCTTTGCGCACAGCGATGTTGTAGAAACTGCCAAAGCAGAGGAAGGGCTTGTCGGTAGGGACGTTTCTCGACTGCCAATAATTGTAATTTTTGGCGTAAATGTAGTAAAGCAGGAGGAAAAAACTTGCAACATAGATGAGGAACATCTGGAAGAGTTTTGTTATTGTTTTAGGGGCGTCGAGGGCGAACTCACCTTGAAATCGTAGCGTAACAAAAGTCAAGTCATTACTGAAAATTTCACTTGATGTGGATAAAAATTTATCTTTTATTTCTTAATGTCTTCAAATAAACAAGTCGCCAATTCCGTTTCAAAATCTAGGGGATGGTGGGTAAAAACTTAATTTTTTGGCGTTTATCAACTTTCTGAGTCGGACAAATTGACGTTTTATCACCCCTTTGAGGACCAATCAAAGGCACAAAAACACCTTTACTGGTCAAAAGAGTTTTGGCAATACTATAACACTTTGCGCGTCCCGCCTCTCCCCTATACCTCAATAATTGATATTTTAATCACAGTAATTAAATAATAGCTGACATAGTGTCAACGATAAGAAGTCAAAGAGCCCACAAATTGAATGATACTAAGTCTGGTAATAAGCAAATAAAAAATTTTATTAAACGAATTACTTAACAAGTTAACAACTCTTAAGGCGGCCAAATTGCCGACTTCCGGCCACCAGATGGCGCTAATTCTGGTGTCTGGCAATGTGCATCTTTAAATTATACTTGCGTTTGGATTTGTGCTCACAAAATGGACATTGAAACCACTCAACATTTTCCAGTGGCATATGTGTGTGTAGGATGTGTCTGGTTAAATACTCCTTTTTAGTAGCATTGTATGGGCACAGCTGACAATTGAACGGTTTTTTGGGTTGTTTCAGCTTGATTTTGAAACGCCATTTCGGTTTGGTTTTTGCCATTTTCTGATCCAGTGGTTGGGAACAACTGAAAGGTTTTTTCACTTTGTGCAGTTTTGAATGTTGTTTTATTGTTGTTTCAAATTTGCTCCTGTAAGGGCAAAGGTTGCATCTGAAGAAGTGGATGATGGGGGGTGTCTGCGATGCCATCTTATCACACTAGGCAAATAAACAAAAGTGTGTTGTTTATCAAAATTTATTAGAAATCCTATTGAGGAACCAAATTTTTTAATTAGATATTAATTAAATAAAATTTTGTAACAAGTGTAGAAGATAATTGTCACTGAATTGTAAAAAATCTAACCAAATAAACATTTTTTAATAATAGAATTGTTTTTATATGATAAAAAAATTCAAACTTGATGCGACAAGAGATTTGTTAAAAGTTTTCAACAATTAAGAAAACGTCTCACCTTATGTGTGTACCAACCAAACAAATTAGATAATTGGCACTTTAGATCAAACACACGTTGTTTATTTGATTGTGATAAGTTTAATCATAAAAACAACTTTAACATAGGCAACCACAAAACTGTGTCGTATTACTGGTTGTCTGCACGTTTATAAATAAACTGTACAGTTGGAGGCAAAATACTTTGGTCGTCACTTTTCCGATACTTTAGTGTAATTCAAGCTTTAACGTTCAAATGAATGACCAAGATATTTTGTTTCCAACTGTACTTAACAAATATTTATAATTAAACAATGAAACTACTGATCAGAAAATAATAAGTTTATTAAAATCAAGTACATCGGACTATTTGGTAATCTGACTAGTGCTGTCAAAATAAATTATTGCTCTTGTACTTCCTTCCTTCGCCCTTGGCCTACCCTAGAAGCCCTATCGCCGCCAAAAGGGCCACAGCCACACCTAACCCCTTTGTCGCGGCCCCATTCCTGGGTTTGGTCAGCCCTTGCTGGTTGGGTTCTTCAACTTGGTTCCCCAGTTCGGTACCAGCAGCCGGATACCACGTGGTGGTCTTATCACTCTCACTCTGAGGGCTCCAACTCGCCACTGTTGCCCAATCAGGACGCGAGGATGGAGTTGTAGACATCCCCGTGGGCGTGTCCGACCAACTGCTTGCTCGACCAAAAGATGCGGGGCGTGTCCGAGAACCTAGCATTTGGGTGGGGGAAGCTTCCTACAATCACTAAATAAAATTTTTGTTGTTTTCGTCGGGGATTTACCGAGTTTGGAGTCATACTGGACGATGGCAGCCATGTTGAAGTTGTGGACGGTTTCGGAGGAGTTACCCGTGATGGAGGGATTTCTTTCGGGGCGATGTCTTGGATGGTGCTCCACGGGTAAACTTCGCTAGATGACGTTGAGATTGATAAAGGGTCGGAAAAGGGTTGTGAATCGGTGGTGAGAGTTGTGCAATCGCCGGAATTAGGGCTAGAAACACGAAAAGGCGTGGCTTATTTGACATAAGAAGTCACGTGGGCTTACATGTAGTTGTAACATTGGTCTTGGAGGAAACTCAAAGCCTTGTCGATTATATGAGTTGCAAATTTTAAGGCGGGGCCTTCGGCGGCGTTTCGGTCACATAATCGGCGCGTTTCTCTCAAAATACACTGCTTGAAGCGGTCATGTGAGCTAAAAGTCACGTGACACTTACAATCCAAAGAAACTACACTCAGGCTTACCAACACAAAGTCGATTTTGAGATGATTTCACCTTGAGCGACTTGGTCCACAAGAAGATTATACTGCGAGCCACAATGGACGGGTTCTGTGATGGTACTTTTGATACATGGGGCGTATTGGAGGTACTCTTTCTGGTAGCTGGGTTGTACACACATCTGGTGCACACTTTCAATCGAATCTTCCACTGCTTTATTAAACTGACGTCTTTGTTGTTCAGTGAAACAATTATCGGTGTAGTATTTCAAACAATCAACGAATTTATTCCAAGTTCTGCATACAATGTCAATGTCGTTCATGTTATCAGGGAATATCAAATGGGGCTGTTTGACCAAAGGATCAGCTATTCGAATACACTCGTCGTAGGACTCTCTCGAGCAATCAATACGAGCTGAAGCCATTGCAGGAAGAATAAAAAGTATGGGGTACAAGAACAACATTTCGGGGGTTCCTAAAAAATGGGGATTTTCATTTGGTTAGGTTGTGCATCCTATTTAATAAATCTATATTTCTGTTGTTCAAACTACTACTAGGCGCCAGATGATGGATTAAAATTAATAACCAATTGACAATTAATAAAATTAATTATTTTAGGAGGTTAAAACGTTGAAATCTAGTAATTGTGTTTTTCTTGGGTTGGTAGCGTTTTTTCAATTTAAGACAATTTGATAGCGTGTGTTTATTTTGTTTAACAAATTTACAAGAAAAGTGCTTAATTCATCGCGTTTTTTTAATACTTACTGTCATTTTAAGTTGTTTTTGTGCTACCAAAGCCTAAAATTCAGCTTTAACTAGAATTTTGGGTAAGTTTAAAGTAATTTTAAGTCGGGTTGTGGTAACTTGATTGTTTCGGTTGAATTTTTGCAATAAAAGTACAACTTATAGTTTTTCTGTTAAATGTTGTAAATTGAGACAAAAACCTAATTAGAAAACAATCAAGTTGGCACCATCATGTCCAATTCATAACAATCTTGCCAACGTAACAAACTTATCGCACGACTTGATCAAGTTTTTGCTGCAGTGTCAAGCAGGTCAAGGCAATTTTCCAATCAAAAATCACTTTTCGTGCATTCCTCTCAGCCCCAAAACCACCCCCGTGAAATTCGTGCAATTTTCCCCGCGACATTAATTAAGGTCACTTCCAATTCCAATTTGTCGATTGGTTATCACGTGATCTTGCACGTCACAACATGGCGCGTTATCTCTAACCTAAATCTCTGAAAAAAATTTATAGACTCTTCTTCGTCTGAAAAGTTTAAATTGCACGTTTCATGCTAAATCTGATGAGTTTCATGGTAGACGTCTTAAAACCGACTAATTATCGCAATGCAGAAAATATTTTCACGAAAAACCGGTTAAAAAAAAGTTCAAACACGTAACGGTTCATAAGCACAAACGATTCCAAGGTGAAATAAAAAACCGAATGAGTCAGGTTTTTTTTTCGATGTGACTCCTGATGGAAACGTTCAACCCCTTATCCAAGGTCACATCGGGGGTTCGCAGAATAAAATTGAATTTTTGCGATTTATTGACGTCGGGGTCACTGTATAAAAGGGTCAAACTTTAACGACCCTCTGTTGCGTGCCACATTCGATACCGGCAATGACCGGAAATGGGCGACCAAGTTGCTTGTGGGGACATTTCGGGGGAAAACCGGCAAGAAACGGACTGGGTGTTTGGCTAATGCGGATTTGATTTGAAAATAGAAATTGCGCACAGTATTGTGAAAGAATATAACACAGCTAGGGGGCGGGGCTATGTTGACAATAAGGAGGGGCGTATTCACCCGCCGATTTGATCTTTTTTCGAAAAATTGTAATTATAGCTCATCTAGTGACTGATGACACCGGAAAAAGTAATGAAAATATTTGCAAAACTCAAGGCCGTGACTGTAATTATTTTAAACAATCGGAATTGAAATTTTTGTCATGTGACTCAGATAATTTTCCGGTTGATCTTAAGCCAAGATTCATTTCCGGATCCATCTTGAACCAATTACGAAACTTCCCGTCTTTAAATAACATTCTGACATTGTTTGCAACTTTCGCTTTCTCTAATTAAATAAAACAAATCAAAAGCGTAACGAAAACAATTGAAATTGATGAGGGTGATTCACCCTTTTAACAATCCTAAAATATGTATTGGCTAAGGTAAGTACGGGGGTAATTACTGTAATCGAGTCAATATTCGTATTGAAATGTCACTGAACTTGCATTTTATCAATGGAATTGCTCTCCGGAACGGTCAAAATCGTGAAATTTCAAATTAATTTGTCGCAAACGTGACTGTCATCCGGTGACGTGCGATGTGTTTTAAAAATTTATTTAAATTCATTTTTAATTTTATCGATTTATTACAATTAAAACTACATTTTTAATCTCTAATAACTTTATCATTTTTTTTCCATATATTTATATAATTTTCCAATTCGCTGTATAAACTATTGCTAATAATAAAGATAACAATAATACATACGCGTTCTGGTAAAGATATCCAAAAAAACTGTCATCAAGTCGGCCTGTATAACAAAAACAAGTCACTTTTGTTTTCGTCTGCGCCAACTAGATCGGTACCATCACCTTCACAGTTTGTGGTCAACACACGAATAAAGTTTTACGGTCGAGAAATCTGTAACAATCGATGGAGAGGCCACGCAACAATGACCCTTTCCATCAAAAGCACTTGTCCACTTTTACCCCCTCTCGAATGTAAATAAGGTGGTGGGAAAGGTTTAATAATTGATTGCTGCTTATTGGAAAACTTAATTCGTTTAAGGAAGAGGCGGAATGTAAATAAACGTTGAAAACGATAAAAATGATCGATGGGGATGGCTTTGCAGATGTTTTAAACTGTAGTGGGCGGGGCCAAATTGGAATTAGGGTGGAGCTAATAAATGTATATGTTTTGTAAACGTTTTTTCTAGAATTAAATGAAGATTATTTTTTGTCAATGTTTGAAGTTTTTGTTTATTATTTGTTATAATTTTTTTCCCTATTTGTTAAAATTGCAATTTTTTTAAATTTACTGCTGGTATAAACAAAGTTTAATGTTTTTAAATATTTTAACCAATTAAATTTTTAATTAATATTATTTCTAAATTTTAGCAAAAAGTTGAAACAATATTATTCCTGAAGCCGGTCCTGTTCGTTTAGTTTGGCTTTTCGCCGCCAGGTGCGCTTTTTCAAATTTGTTTGTCAAAAAACCGCAAATTTTGGACGTGTTTTGTTGATTTCTTATTCAAACGTTGTTATTTTGTTTTTTTTTGTTTCGATTTATGTTTGTGCATTATTTTTTGCGACTTTTTTGTGATTTTGGTGATTTTAATTTAGTTTCGTAGTGGGCTGCTGTCAACGGAATTATTTTTATTTCGAGGTAAGTAGTCGAATTTACTTTAGTTTTTGCGTTTATGGTCTTAAATTCTTTTTTTTAACGAAATGCTAGCAAATTCTGTGATTTTGTTCTGTTTAAAAATGTGTTAGTTGTGGCGTCCGGCGCGAGAGGCGCTGGCGCATCGGCGTCGTCAGCTGTCATTTAAAAATTGACATTTATGTAAATAATTATCAATAAACCCGAAATAAATGTAAAACCGGGTCAAAATTGAGTCATGTCGGGTTACAAACGCGTCAATTTCTACGAATTGTGTAGACTATGCGCGACAAACCAACAAAAAGACAAAACTCACATATTTCAAGAAGAGGGTCGTAAAATCCAATTACAAAACAAAATCCAAAGTTGTCTATCCTTAACCGTGAGTATTTGTGTTTTTTTACCCATTTGTTTTTAACCCCCTTGTTGGTAGGTCTGCGAGAATGACTTTTTACCGAAAGTTGTGTGTTCAAAATGTCTTCGAACATTGGAAGTTTGCTACTCGTTTCGTCAAGAATGCGTCAGTTCCGAGAGCATGCTTTCTAGTTATTTCAAAAATTTCAGGTATACGGAGGATTTTAAAAAGTCGGGCAAGGTTGACACTTGTCAGAGTCGCCCCCTTGAGACACTAACTCGCCAATTTCAGGTGTACATCAAAGATACAGCGACGAAATGTACAGCGCCCCCACAACCTGAACCGACGACCTCAACGGCAGTTAACACTTTTACTGAAGTGAAACCAGTCGAGCATGTGCCCTTTTACACCCTTCAATTACCAGCAATTGTCACAAATCAACCCATTGATAATAAAGTCGTCAAAGCGGAAAAAATTGCCCAAAATCCGGTTCAGGGACAAGTCGGTTATAACCTCAACACCATCAGTTTGGGGGCTATCAAGACAGTACCGAAAAATGAAGGTTTGAGTAACGTAGTAGTGAACGCGAATGGAGAGGTTTTGAATATAGCACAATTGGTTGATTTTGAGTCGTTGATAAATCAAGCCAACTTGCAGAAAAAAAACTGTATTAAAGCCGGGAAAAAGGAAAAAGAGGAACCGATTATCAAAATTGATCTCACAAATAACGAAGTTGAAAGTAATTATGACACTGGACAAAAATACGATAAACAACAAATAAAAAACAACCAAAATAAATTCGCTTATGCAATCAAAGTCGAGGATAAGTTGAATCCTTCAGTCATTTTCAACAATTTGCCTGAATTCAATCAAAACACTTTTAACGGTTATAGTAATAATTTGTATACACCTAGTCTAAGTAATAACATAGTGACTACACCTAACGTCATTTGTAATTCAGCACTAGAGCCATCTACTGTTAATTTAAACGTATTAAGCCAGGACTTGAATCAGTCACAGAACTACCCGCGTAACAATTTTCCGGTTACGAACAACCAGCCATCAAAAGTGATAACACCCGAGGAAATCCCCCAATCGACTCAGGTAAACAACCAAATAATCAAATCGCACGTTTGTGAGATTTGTCAGAAGAGTTTCAAACGGCGCGAACATCTCTACCAACACGTCAAACTTCACACCGGTTTTCGGCCCTACACTTGCGAGAATTGCAATAAGAGTTTTATGCGAAAGGAGCATCTTTTGAGACACATGACGTCGCATAGTGGTCAGAAAAACTTCACTTGTAATATATGCGATAAGAGTTTTTCGCGTAATGATAATTTGTTGAAACATAAGAAAACGCATGATAAACAAGCGAGTTACACGTGCGATATTTGTCAGAAACAGTTCGTGATGAAGCATTATTATCTGGCGCATAAATTGACGCATGATAGTGATAGGTGTAGTTTGGCGAATGTTTGGAATGTGTTAAAGACGTAGGACGTGTTTGCGAGCTTTAATTATTGTATAATCTCATGGTACAAACTTAGTATTTTATTTATTTATTTTATTTATTAGATGCGTAACGACCAATGACATTACAGAAGCTAGTCCTTTTATTATTTATTCGTATCGTAAGGTTCTCTTTTTGTAAATATGATGTGTTTGAGTTTAATAAATTAGACTGAAAAATGGGTTTTATTATTTGCTGCGATTTGTATTATTATTAAAAGTTAAAAGGTAATAAGGAGAATTTGAAAATGTACACAACCAGTGAATTTAATGTATTCAATTTAATGAATTTAATTGACAAGATTCAGAAAACTTACGAGAGTCAAATAGTGAACACTCAACATAAAAAAAAACGTTTTGACATCCAATTAATTCAATATCTCGGTTTTTATTCGACCAATAAATTTCAAATTATGGGATTTTTTTTCTTCATTCATAACCCTACGTAAAACAAGTTGCATTGTAGAAAAAAACATTTTGGGTGTGGTTTTCAAACCAAAAATAACCCTATCGTGTCACGTCTCACACATCTCAGCTAAAAGCATAGATTTCAAAAATATAAAATATGGTTGGTATTTTGTTTTTCCTAAGCGAGATCGCCAAAATCAAATTCGACTAAACCGTTTGATAGAACCTTTCATTGCGCATCTTTTTTTACATACTTCATTTTTACGTGCGACGTATACATTTCGACAGATATTCACGTTCGAAATTTCAAGATTTGAATTTGCGCGCTTTATTTTTACTTTTTTTAAGGTTGGTGTAGTAGACATACACACACACGCGTGTATGTGTAGTTGCATACGTTTTAACCAGACAACGCGGTCACTTCTTTGTGTAAATTTCTAAAAATTGAGTTGTGTGAATCCGACTTTAAACATCCAATTGTTTCTTAGGGATATATATCCACTGCGCCCATCACAATTGTTGACACAATTTAGTTACTTCTGCTGCCAACCCACACACTAGAGGTGGCGGGCTAGGGGTCACCAACTTTACAATAAATTAAATGGCTGCTATAAATTATAAATTAAATGGCGACTTTAAATCAATTCACAATAAGTGATCAAGAATGAATGAATATGTTGGCAGTCCTGACTTTAATTAAAAAAAAAACAAACACTGGAGTATGCTTCTGATTAACAATCTTGAGGGGTTGGTTGTACGTCAAGTATTTGTCAAGCAAACCGGTATCCGGTTGCAGTGTAACAACTTATTAAGAAAAATACTTTCAAATTTGTTGCCAACCTAAACAGTCCTAAATGATCACGCTGTATTTCAACAAAATAAATGCTTAGATTAAATAATTCTGGGCGTAAAATCATGCACTGAACACGCTGCAATAGGTTAAAATACTCTACGATGAATCGTTTTTGAGATATTCAATAAGTGTAGAGTAAGAGGCTATGACGAACCCCAGTGAGGTCTCCCTCTATTTCACTATTTTCGTAATAGCAGCTTGAAATAAAACACGATATGAAGTTTGGGGCCTTTTATTGATTAAAACAGAATAATTTACGATCTTTAGCTCTATTTACAATCTAGGTAACAGAACTTGACATAACAAATGAACGCCACAATTGTTTTTTCTATCCGGAAATACTGTTAATTAAAATACAAATAATTATTTTTACAATTTGCCTTCGGCTTGTAATCTCTTTTTAAGTGATTCGGGCATTTCCGGTGGTGGTGGACGCGGCATACGCATCGCGACCTTGAACGCATCATAAATGAACCACTGCAATGCCGTCAATGTACCAATCATAACGATCCTAGGCGTGAGCCCCTTCCACAATCCAGCCATTCCCAACTTCTTGGCGGCTTCGAGGGCCGACGAGCCCTTCTCTTGGTTCAACTTAGAGACGACAGTATCGGCAGGATGACTCACAATAGCGCAAAAGACGCCGGCGATGTACCCAGCGGCGAACGTGACAATCAATTGCTCGCCCTTGGTGCACTCCGAACGGGGCTTTGGTACCACATGTTTGTACAATAATTCGACCGTTCGCTCGAAACAAGCAAACTTCATCATGGTGTAGGGAATTTGACGCATCCACAGTGGGACCAAACTCTTGTAGAAGCCATTGACGCCTTCTTCGGCGTAGATTTTGGGGAAAGCGGTGCGCAGGGTGGTGGCGAAGCCGGGGGAAGTCTGGATTTTGACTTTAGCAGCCTCCATAGGCGACAGGGCGATGTCGGCGAAGAACTCGGCTGAGGCACTAGCCCCCAAGTAGAGCCAAGTGCGGTACAAGAAGGCGTTTTCATCACCGATCAAGTCAGTGTAAAATACCTAAAAAACCAGTCAGGGACACCAACCAAACAACTTGTGAGTAACACAAACCTTGAAGACTTCGTACAAACCAAACTTGCACAACCCTTGTGCCGAGTACCCAAAGAACGTGGGGGCCCATCCCAAAGCCAACCCCTTGAACCCATCCTCTTTCATTGTGACCTTAAAACCGGTGAAAACGTTCTTGTACTTGTTAGGGTCGACTTGAATCCGGCATTTGACCAGATCGAGGGGTACAATGGCCGTATGTGTGATACCACAAGACAAGATACCTGATAAAAATTCAAATTGTATCGAGTTTTTACAATTTTTACTTTGATTCACCTCCTATGCCACAGAGGGCGAAGTAGTGAGCGGACCCAAACTCGCAACTGTCTCCTTCCGCAGTCTTGGCGGCTGCTGAAGCAGCCGCTATTGTCCTTCCAGCGACGAGGGACTTGACTAGCCCCATTTCTTGCGGGGTTTCGCTGGGGGCCCCATTTTGACACATCGCACGTGATAGAAACGAGGAGAACATCGTGATTCACTTAAAACGTCCTGGAAAACTGAAAATTACGTAAATTTTCCACGAACATAACCTCAATTTTGTGACGTATGTCAAGGACCACTTGATCGATTTTTCCCGGTTACATAACCACAAAACTCGATTAAATTGACTGTAAACCACCCTGATTTTAATTGAATTAAATGAGAAATTTGCGAAATTGAGTCAAATATGTGAAATGTTACATAATATTACAATTGGGACATTTAGCACTAAAAAATTGAGAAATTTTCTCTAATTTTTGATTCAAGAATAGAAAAATAAGATTTGTGACAAATGCGGGTTGATTAAAAGGTTTGTAAAGGGATGAAAACGGGAGAAAATGTAAGACTCACCTGGCAACAATGGCTGCAACCCCGTGAAGGTGGTTTCCGTCTTCGCCGCTGCTGGTCATATGGCGCTGTATTGCGCAAGTGCACGTGGACATTGATCAAGGTCACGTGTTTGACATAAAAATTATGCAAGGAGCCTTGGGGACAGGTCACGATTTTGGTTATTTTTGGAACACACCCAGAGATAATTTGGTCTTTTATTTTATTCTTTTGATACAATTTTCTTGCTGGAGACGAGAATTAAGAGAAATTAGTTCATCGGAATTGTCCCTCCGCTATTTTTTAATGATTGTTGGTTAAAAATAAGTAAAATTTGAGTTTTTTATATTTATAAAAATATTTATAACATTTTTGGATTCAAATTTTTTTTGGTTATTTTAAAAGGAAGAAGTTTAGTATTTTTAAAGGTTATAAATTTTGTTGTGATCCATTTCATTTATTATATAGGCAGATGAAAAATTCTTTCTATCAAACAAGCGTAGAAATTTAGAACATGTGTCTGTAGAAAATAAAATGTCTTAACGACAACTGAGAAATGTTACAATAATTTTTATAGTAAATTAAGGCAGGAAATCTAAATTTATTTCCAGACATATGTCAAAAAATACGGGTTGGCATTTGACATGCCTACTTGACAGAAAAACTTCCCGTGGTATGTACCTATATATTTATTCTGAAAAATAAACAACAAATTATTCGTTGTTTTTTTAATCGTAAAAAACAAAAAAGAGATGATATTAAGATGTAACGTTAGAAATAACTTTGTATATTTCTTTACGATTAACCAAAGTACTGATATAACACTTTTTTGATTTAATTGGTTATAATTAAATAAAATCAATAAAATGTATTCTAACCATTTGCCACTATAGACAAGTGACAACATCCCATGAACGACCAATTCCGTTAAATTAAAAAAAAAAGTGAAAATTGCATGTCATTCAACTCATTTCATCTTTCTCCTTATCACTAATAGTTCCAAGAAATTCTATGATAAGAAGTTAGAATTGTGGTAGATAAGAAATAAAATAAACGTCAAAGTGCAAGTGCATTCTTCTATGTTGGCTACATAGGTTGGCAACTTTACTTAAACCCCGCCCCTTCAGCTGAGCTTCTGTCAAACTGACAGCAGTTTTCCGCCGCCATTCGAAAACAATGTTTCTATGTTCAAGAATGGGTTAAAAAGTAAAAAATCTTGAGTTTTTCCACCGAAATGGAGTCCGACCCGTTCATAAACAGCACCATCGACGAACCGGAAACGTCAAAATGGAACGCCAACTCTTCCACTTTCGGAAATTTAGACGACATAAAAATGGATTCGAATTTTGCTATGTTATTGTGCAGTTTATTGTTCGCAGTCGGATGGGTGATTTATATAACGTATTACAACTCTCGATTGGTCGCTTTCATCATTACCAAAATCATGAATCGGTTCTTCATCAGCGAGGGATACTTTAAAATTGGTTTGTTGGTGAGTTTCTGTGAGGGTTGTTATTGTCTAAATTTTAGGGTCTTTGTCACTGAATGCTCTCTCGGGGAAAATAATGTTCAGGGACGTTGTTTACATCACTTATGATTACACGATTCGGGTCCAGGACGGTTATTTGATCTTCCGGTGGTGGAGGTCTTACGTCCCTAAGGACGTAAGTGAGGATTTATCGCACTCTGATACCCGACTTTCCGTTATGTTGAACGGCTTTGAGCTACATGTGTACAACAGATCGCAACTTTACTCAAATCTGGAGCGAATTTTCGGAATTGGGCCCAACATTATCCCAAATTATGACAACAAAACGACGGAGAATTTAACGAATTCGGAGAGTCACATCGATAGTAGGAAGCAAAGGCCGGAGGCAGCCATGGCGAGGACTTGGCGAGACTTAATTCCAGTGATTAAAATCGACGTGTCGTCGGTAAGTTGGACTTTGTGACACATTCAAGGCCAAACAAATACAAATATTTATCATTTACGAGGCTATTAAAAAAATATTTTTAGAGCCGACTGGTTTTTGGTAATCGACTAGTCCCCACCACCCTTAGCATCACCTTCGAAGAGTCCCATTTTGTCTACTCCACGAAACCGGCCGTTTGCACCCTCGACCGTTTCATGCATTTTGTCAAATCCAAGGCTGAGAACGTCCGCGTGATGCTCGCCCCCAGTCTCAAATACACCGGAATGCTCGACGAGCCCCCACGTTACATGGGCGAAGGCTTCGTTCTCATGTCCACTAACGACCTTGAGCTTTATTTTTACATGGACGAGCCTGGACAAGTCCCCGAAGAACCAGTTTTGGTGACTTTAGCCAACGGTGATATAGTCGAATCGAGTCCCCCACAATGGGGGGTTGACATAAAGTGTGGCAAAGGAACGGATTTTAGTTACGGCCCGTGGGCTGACCGACAACGCGAACACTTATTCAAGTTTTTCTACCCCCAAGATTACCTCCCAATGGAAGTGACTAAAATGCCAAAACCAGGGGAGAAAAGACAAATGCAATCGTTTGATGTGCGTTTATTGATGCAAAATGACGCCACGATTGATATTCTCTTCACCAAAGATAAGGAAACAAATGCTGTGCATATTAATGTGGGGGCTGGGAGCTATCTCGAGGTCACACTACCATGGATCACACTCCAAGATGGCTACGCGACAAAAATCACAGGACAGTTACTCCATCTCGAGGCTACGACAAGTCTCCAATTTCGGGATTTTATCGAAAGTGAAACGTTAGAATTTTGTCTTTTGTGTCATTATCCACTTGTGTGGAACGACCACCAATTGTGGGAAATCAATCTTACGGGTTGTAAAGCCACAGTTAAGTTGATTTTTACCCACAAGTGGTTTTTTCAAGACTTGATTAATGATTGGGCATCGAAACAAATCCCCGATTTGATGCATTTTGTGCCCTACACGTGGCGTTTTGGTCTCACATTGAAACATTGCGAACTTATCACTCTAGTCAATCAATACAATTGGATAGATTGCAGTAGTGTGGGTCAGAAGAATCGTTTAGAAAACACACAGTTGGCTCTATGTGCACATTTTTTGCACATGTCGTTTGATTTACCCTTCGATGAGTTTCTACCCGAAACAGTACCGTTAAATTTCAGTATTCAAGGCGAAAGTATCGATTTGAGTTTGTTCATTCCCGAGTTTCACACAAGTCGGAATGTTGTTCAAGCGTTGGAGAAGTACGCCAAAGTTTTATCGAAAGATGGAAGCACAACAAAGAAGGCTGAAATTATACCCAAGTGGCGGAATGAGTGTCAAAGTAGTTGTGGTTGGGTCGACTTGTGGTGGGTCCCAATCGGGGCTATCAACATTGTCTACACTTACCATCCATGTCCTCCTATTGGTACCACCCCACAAGCCGATATTTCCACTCCTGTCAAAGAAGAAATCCTCCTATCACCGATGCGATTCCCCCACCATCGCAAAAACCGAAAACGCTCACCAGAGGGCGTCCAAAAATTCGATCCTACGTCACTCAAAGCCGACACTGTTAGTGTCGAACTTGAAATTGGACCTTCCGTTTTGCTACTCTACGGAACAGCATTGAAGAATTTTATGAATTTTAAAGAGAATATTTTCGGAGAGGATCAATCATTCACCGATATGCAACAATCGAATTCGGGGGAAAACCCAAACGGGGATTTAAAATCAGACGATAGTTCGGCCAATATTCCCTTAGAATTACGCGAGGATTTCGATCATCGAAACTATAGGCCGTTGGAAGTTGACGTTTCGATTATAGCACACGATGTGCAAGCACATTTATTGAAAAATTGTACCGAAAAAGACCCTCCATGTCCCATTATTTTGATTGAAAGAGTTGGCTTTGAAATGAAGAAAAGGTACGACCAGACTGAATTGCAATTATTAGTAAGCCCATCAGTACTACTAGTCTCCGATAATATAAATCGAGTCGCAAAAGACAAACATTTGAATCAAGGAAAACTAACATTATCATCATTACAGGTAACTGTTTTTTGCTAATTACAGGTAACTGTATTAATGTTGTAGGTTCGTGGCCATGCTATGTTTTCTAACGTGGGTCAATCCCTCGATCAGGACACCATCGAGTATGCCTGGTTGGTGGAAGTCCAAATGGGTAAATTGAGTGGTAAATTAACCTCACCTCAATTATACTCAGTTCTTGCCACACTTGAAACTCTCATACTACTACTAATGGACACTGAAAATGAACTTAACTCGCCGAAAGAGGACGCTCTACTCACACGTCCAGTCACAACGAAGAAGAGTACAGTTTCGAGTCAAAACGTCCACGTACAACAAATGCAACAAGCCATTCAACAACTCCTCCAACCGAAAAGTAACGCGTCAAATAAGAATACTATTTTAAAAAATAACAAGAAAAAAATCGACGAGGATAAAAAAGGTTCAGTGAGGAGTACAATAATTGAGGAGAACAGTTTAGACAATCAAAATGCACACAAATTGAAATATAAATTGTGTAGAGTGGCCGTGGATGCTGTTGATTTTTGGTTGGTGGAGAGTGGGGTGGCATTACAGTTGTGGGTGTCGCCAATCAGATTAGCCAATTGTAATCTACACGGGAAACAAGTGAGTTCGGGGTTGAGTTGCATTGTTTATAGCATGTCGGTGAGACAGATGGTGTGGCAAACGCAAAAATACAATCATAACAAGTGAGTTAGGTCTTTTTTTTTTTTGGTGTATTATTGTGAATTTTCACAGGTCGAATTCTGACACTATGGATTTGTGGTTGGAAGTGGGGGCTGTGAATTTCGGTCCTTTGATTGTCGAATCAGCAATTTCGTCTGATATTAAAGAACAGAATTTACATCAAATGCAACAGAAATTTCTCCGGACACACGACGAACGTTGGAAGAAATTGTGGTTTCTTTGGCCTGAATTGAATAAAACTAGTGGGAAATGTGGTTGTACAGGTGGTTGCACGTTTTTCGGGACGAATAAAAACGGGACAAGGTTTTTTAAACCGAGTCGGAAGGACCTAGAAGATGGAATCAACGTGGCTGCGTTTCGGTAGTTTTCTGTAATAGGTTTGCAACTTGACTGAATCAATTTTTTCAGTGTTAATGAACCAGGGAAGGATCCAGGCTACGGTCAGAGTATCCTCCACGAAAACATGTTAATTTTTCGGACTCCTCCCTACATTGTTCAAGAAATCTCCCTGCAAGATACTTTGACTCGAAGCAAGTCACACAGTCCTCGAATTGGCGAAAGTGAAATTAAAATCAGTCCGGTTGCGACCACTGAACGTGAACATAAAGTCAATCGTCGATTTTCCTCAACTTCGATGATGAAAGAAGTGCCATATTCGAGACTAGTTGAAACTTGTCCTATTCTCCCGTCAAAACTCGATAGTGATTCGAAATTGCATACCGAAGTTGGGAAATTGTCAGTGACGAAAGAACCGGAACCGCTCCCTAAAAACAGTATATCTGATTCGAAACTAGCTGTGGATTATTTCAACGCACCTGTGATTGATAATAATAATGCGACGAAACCGTCCGAATCGCATCATTCGCTCGGTGAAAGGATTAGTTTGGATGAAAAGTTGGCGCAAGAGGTGCAAAGGACGACATCAATGTCAAGCGAGAACCAATCAGAAGCGTTCTTTTCAGCCGATGAAGATATAATCAATTCGCGTAGTTCGAGTCTTCGAAATTCAATTCTTTTGACACGACAGGATAGTAACAGTGTTCCACCTCAAAGAAAGAAGTTTTCGAGTGAGCTTAGTATTGTGGCTGATAGACCGTATAGAACAATAGGGCCAATACATGCCCCTAGTTCGGCACCTGAAGGTAGTACTCGGCTTCGCCTTGCATCACATCGTAGCGATCACGAAATTCACACACCTGAGCATCGCAGTATTACCACTAATGGTCTAGTTACACCTCAAAGATTACCAAATGTTCGAACATTGACAGAAACTGATGATCTCAATGACAGTCTTGGTGACTCGTCTGATAGTTACAGTAGCACATCGTATGTTTCTGCAGTTGGTAGTCAGGAAGATTTCACGTTGGTAGACTTGCATATGCAGGTGAATCGCTTGATTATCGACTCACCGATGCTCATGTCGTGTTATGTCACACATTTGACTCAATGTAAATGTAAGAATTGGGGCGACCAATCGAAACATTCCGACCAGTTTTCAGTACCGTTGTTTGAGAAGAACGAAGAGGGGAAATTGGTGTATGTGGGGGCGAGGTTTGTCCCCTGTATGGAGACAGCGAGTGAGGGGATCACATCGTTGAAAATGGTGTCGAGAGGTGAAGGAAATAAGACACCAACATCACCATATGCACACGTGTGGGATCAAGACGAAGTCGAGGGGGATTCAACGTTTCAAGAGGAGGAATTATTGAGCAATCAGATGGATGCAGGGTGCAGGACTATCGTGATTGTTAAATTGAAAGGGGATTTGGATGTGATGGTCAGTCCCTTGCTGTTGGAGTCGTTACAGAGGTAGGAAATTACAGGAAACTGTAATCTCAACTTCAACATTTTAAAGTAAAATTTAGGAAAATCAAAAAGAGATTCCATTATTTTAATGTCATATAAACGTGCGTCTATTTGGTAATAAATTTCAATAAAATGTGCCAGGTTTCAGCGAAAAAAATAAGGAAATAAATTTACAATTACAGCAATCTGTAACCTGCAATTTTTATAAAAAGGAAAAGATCTTGTTCTATTGGGACTAAAGTGTCGTATTTATATTGAACATTAAATTTAATTACATAAAAACACATTATTAAGATTCTATATATATATTTAATTCGGTGAAAACAAAATTTTTGATTACAGTCATCTGTAATTTCTTTGATGAATTAAAAAAAAATTTCCACTGCTTCCTTGATTAGTGAAGGGAAACTTCCTTCATTAATCAAGGAAGCCGTGATTTTTTCAATGCTAATGTTAAAAAAAACGAAAGAGATTTGGGTGTGATCGTTAGTACATTGCTGAAAGAATATTACAGGAAACTGTAATCTTGACATTGAAATTTCGTAATATTTTGCATTAATTTTAGAAAAATAGGAAACATATTATATTATTTTAATGTTAGAATCAAATTGCGACAAAATGCGCTAAGTTCTGGTTGAGAAATAGGGAAACAGTTACAGGAATCTATAATGAATTTTTTTCTGTTGTAGATTTGTCGACGCTCTCACCCCAATTGTGGCCAACCTGCACCCCCTAACAGTCATAAATCATCTCCACACGTCGTGTGTCGGTCAAGTCGAATCCGCTAACATCCTCAAAACAACCGAAAACATCGCCAAATTGTGTCAAACTCCGACTGCAGGCGACGAGGGTCCCATCACCGAGGGCATTTTTGAGGAAACGGTCAAGACACAACTCCAAGCTGCGATTTTTCTCCCTAAAGTAACCAAACTTGAACCTTGTTTCAATATTTTTCTTATTGATTGAATCTAGGTCAATGTAACTTTACTCCAAGTCTCGATTGTCGAAGAAATCATCTCGTTTTCGGCCCTCGACAATATGAAAGACCTCACATGCGTCTCTCTCTTCTCGGTGTGTTTTGATAACGTCACTGCGAAATTACATTGTGATAAACAAGCACGTGAAGTACTTCAGCGTTTCCATCGGCCGGCAGTCGTCCAAACCGGAAGTAAAAAGGGAGCGAATCGAGCGAAAATTTTATTAGGACTACAATCAAACACCAATGCTGATATCATACAAGGCGAACCTGTTTTTATCGAAAGTTGTGAGAAACAACAACAACAACTTGTGGTGTGTCTCAATGTTGGTAAAGCGCATGCGCAATTGAGACGTTTACGAAACGAAAGCTCGATACTAGACGATGCGATTATTACAGCAATTCCGAATTATAAATCGAAGGTTTTGTTCACGCCGGCGAAAGTAGGGCCCCAATACAGGGGCCTGGAGTATTATCTACAACCCTCACAGAGTGACAACAACGTAAGTATTGTTTTACACAAATGATTATTTAAATTAATTAAAACAAAATAGATTGTCCAGAGTGATGACACAAGTGAGGACAAGTTGGGTTTCATAATGTTTGAATGTGGCCTCGAGGGGGTTTCCCTGAAAGTGGTGAAAAAATCCCAATTTGAACACGTCGAATGCAAGTTCAACGTCAAAGATGCGACTGAAAGTATGAAATCGGACGAGGCGGACGCCGAGCCCAAACCTGAAACTCCTAAATCACGTGACGGTGGTGAAGGTGACACCGAATTGGACAACTCGAATGAAAGTAAAGACAATACCGTTATGGCGAGAGACTCCGGTAATGTTTCGAGTTGTATAATCGAATTGAAAGTTGTGTGGTTTAACTTTGCTGCGCCCCCGAGAGCCCCCATTACACGCAAAATCGACTATACTCGACTCGATTGGAATTTATTGAGTACAGCATCGCCAGCAATTAATGCTTGGATGAATCCGAGCAATCGATTGGCTATTAGAGTGGTACATATGGTGAGGAGTATGTATCGAAGGTCGACTGCGGTCGTGGCATGTCTCATGACTGAGGCACTTGAGACACAAAAAGTCCACATGTTGGCGAAAAGTCGCTACGATAAGTTAACACCACTCGCACAGACTTTACATGAAGATCCGAGCTTGCAATTGTGTTCGATTTTACAACAGTATTACCTCGAGTGTGACCCTTTGGTTATTGAGGCAAATTTACGCGAATCTGAATTGCCTCAATTGTTTACGTTGAGACAAGGTGTTGTTGTTTTGAGTCGACAATGGAAAAACATACTCTACACCCCTCTCTTACCTCAACATACCGTCAAGACGAGAATTAAACCCCTCAATGTCACTATTTCAGTGCCAGAAGTCGAAGAGGTGAGTATTATTGTCTTAAAACAGTCGATATGATACTCTCGAAGTGTCTACAGATCTGTCACGATTTAGACGTGGTGGATGTCGAGGAGAATCGTAAGCGAGTCATTTGTTTTTTTTTTATTAAATGTCTCGCCTTGCTTTTATTCATGCACTAACCAATCATTTTCTGTTAATTTAACACAATGTGTGTGCTTTTACACAGGTTTGTGTCACAGATGGTGAAGTCAGCGGTAATGAAGATCACGATATTACCGACGAACATGCACGCTTACTACATTCCGGCATTATTTTAAAACCGCACAGAAACGTGGGTATGTGCACGCTTTTGTGACTAACACGTTTTTAATAAATTACAGAAACCTGTAATTGCTACAATTGTAATGTTTCCGTAGGTGAAGCGATCCGAGCCAGTTACTTGGACATGCCACAAGTGGCGGTAGTGTCAGGCGGTGTTGAAAGTGTTCTCACGTCACCAAGCCCCACAGGTTTGTTATTCATTTGTTTTGTGACTAACTAACCCACTAAAATGTAGTGCAACACCGGAAACGTAAAAAAAGCTTACAACCGACTCAACATCCTAACAGTAGTCGAGCCAGTGTTGTTTTACCATTGCTTACTAACAATACCTTTGGTCAGAAATGCGATGATAACATTTGTGAGTTTCATTTCGGTGAAATTTGTCAAGGAAATAATAATTTTTGTAAGGTTATGGCACGTTGCGTGAGGATTGTCTCATCTACAATATGGGTTCGGATCCCAGTGATGTTTACAGTCATTCCAGTCCTGAATTACCTTCAAGTCCGTTACACAGAACTGCTTATACTCACTCATCTGAAGATTTGTACTCGTGGATGGCAAAACAGGACACTGTAGGCACACTCAAAGGTTACATGGAGTCAAAAATTGACACTTTACAAACTGAATCGTCGGGAGATGCGGGTACTTTACCTAAACCCAGTGCAACAGCACCAGAAATTTCACTATATCCCATACACGATTCTGTGAGGTTACTAGATGCGAATCAAATTTTTCAACCATTATTGTTGGGTTTAGGGGTTATGCCGCAACAATTGAGGTTTACGACAATGTCAGATTCGAGTAAGTTTCATAAAAAAAGTTTTGGTTTGTGTCTTGACTGTTTTTCATAGGTGCTGGGAACGATGTGACGACCTTAGATGCGCTAGGGTCGAATTTTAGTCTTGTGGGGAATATGGAAACAATGCATATTGATATAGTGGTGTCAGAACATGGAAAAACAGAAAAGAAGAAAGGCAAGAATAAGAGTAAGAGGCTGTTTGTTGAAGTTAATACGAGTAAGTTGAGATTACAGGAAACTGTAATTTTAGCGAAAAAATTTGTGCATCGTGTCGTTTTCATTTATTGTTAATTAAATATCGAGGTTGGTTACAGTAAATTTGATCACTAAAATATGTACAATACGTACTTAACTTAGTGAGAGAAAAAAAACTATTACAGGGATCTGTAATTTTTGTTATTTTGTCTCATTTTTTTCTTACATTGGATCATTTATTTTTAAGTAAATATTGAGTTTAATTATATAAAATTACATTACTGAAATACAGTACGTACTCAACTCAGTGAGAAAAAAGATCGAGTACAGAAATCTATAATTTTTGTAATGCGTTTTTTACCCTTTTTTTTTCTACGTATTTGTCCGTAATTGTAATTTAGGAAACGTTTCGGCAATTATGGTCACTTTATGGACTATAGTAGTTTACAAAAATGGTGGATGCGCCGGGCTAGTCCAATTTAGTTTTTTAAATGACTTTTAGAAATGTTTTATTTGTCTGAGAAAAATTAATCTTGTATTTGTGGTTTTGTAATTAATGTTTTAAATACACAATACAGTTACAGGAATCTGTAAAGTGGCAATTTTTTTCAGACGAATCGCCGGCTTTTGTGTGTGAAAAAGTCTCCGTCGAGTTGGAAATCGATCGAATGACAGACATGGCCGTCAACGAAATGATGCGAACAAAAAACGTCCTTTACATATCACGTGGTCAACTCAAAAACCATACAAGCACCGTTATTAACTTCACAATAGGTTAAAATCCCCCGATTTTTTGTTAATTTTTCTAAAATTTGCATTTCAGGCGTCCGTTACATTTCCCAACGTGTCAACATGCCCCTTTTGCGCCTCCTCCACCAAATCACTAACATGTACCAAAACGTCAAAGACACCCAAAACGAACTACGAGAACAACAACCAGTGGAGATTCGTCGACCGAAAACAAGTTCGAGTGATCATGCCGATATCAAACATCATTCGTCGAGTAAGTCCGCAAAACCGAATCGGTTTGGTTTAACTCATTTTTACAGTTTCCGATATTCAAGAACCACTAATCGACACGAAACAATTGAGTTTGAAAATTTCAAACGGTTCATGTACGTCACAAAATAAACCGATTGTTTCTCCATCACCGAGTTTACGGTCACGTCCGCAAAGTTTCGCACAAAAATTACGTTCAACAGGGAAAAGTGTCAAAGGTTACGTCAATTTGAACGAAGGTGGGGGTACTCCAATAACGATGAGTAGTCCATCGGGGTCGGCTTTGGATCACATGACCGTGTCATCAGACAAGAGTACAGGACGATGTTGGAAAACAATCTATCATTTATTAGAGTTGTATGCAAATATGCCGGACACTAAAACAATCAAGCATCGATTCTCAGTCGGTACTTATGACATTTCGGAACATTACAAAGGGAATCGAAAGTATGATTTATTGACCGAAATGAAGTCAAGTGATGATTTAGACAAAAACGAATCGACACCACCACCAATCCAAAATAAAGTAACAAAAGAACATACAAAATTGGTGGTTTTTGGTGTGGCTCGCATCCATCGAACTCGTCTATTGGCAACACTGTCCGGTCTTAAACTCGAAGCTGAAATTACAAGTCTACACTCGAGTCTAACATGTCGAAAAAAATCAATTCCCGCCATGTTGGAATGTTCATTGACAGGTCAAATCGGTCGTACGATGATCAATCTATTCGAGGGCGTTTCACCCAATCAGCAAACCGTAGTCAAGGTCACTATTGGTAAATCCCAGACTTTGTATTCCAGTATTATGAAACGTGGCAAAGATAAAAACTCTGGTCTTTTAACAATCGGCGCTGTTAATATCGATATTCCTCAACATCCGGTCGCGCTTCACGGTATGGTCACCAGAGGGAGCAAACAACTAAGTTCAACACTACAAGAATTACGCGTATCGCGAACATCGAGTCGGTTATCACGTGGTGTGCAAGTTGACGATGACCAACAAAGTTCACCGAGTCATCAGACGCAAAACGTTCCTGTGTCAAGTTTTGCGAAAAGTGCGACAGAAGAGAAGAGTTTATTGCAACCGTTGGTAATGCAGTTCTCTGTAATTTTGCAAAGTTTAAGTATCACAGCGGCGCTTTTACCATCATTGCAAGCAACGTATAAGATGGATAAAGTGAACAGTGCTGGATTTACAGGAAGTCGGGCTAAATTCACCATCGATTTACCTCATCACTCTTTGAGTTTTAATACGGTCCTGCAGGGCCACTATGAGAAAGTTGAAGCGAATTTACCATCAGAGGCGAGTATTGCGTTGCCGGCTGTACACGTCAGTGCTGAGTACATCCCTGAAAATGCCACCAATATTCATAAAAATCCCGACGGGGTGGTGTTCCGCCAAGGGGGCTATTTGAACGCACATGCCGATATTGGAGTCTTCGAACACAGTCTCACAACCGATTTATTAAACCATTTGGTTTTTGTACAGAAAGTGTTTATGAAGGAGGTGAACGAAGTGGTTCAAAAGGTTTACGGTGGTGAACGACCGGTACCGATTTGGCTCGAAGATACAGAAGAGACGTCATCACTAAATCGTTTTTTGTTCTCACTAGTGATACGCATAAGTCGGATTCAATTAACAGCAACGACTGCTGGTTCATCTGCTGTGCGATTAGAAACAGGAGCTGTTGTTTTTGAACTATCAAATCGGGTACAAAACGTCTCGGGTTCGACTCAAAGTAGCGCCACCGCACGGCTATTTGGCAAAGCACAAGTCGATCTTAATCTCTCCTTGGGTCAAATCATTCGAAATGCGGTTTTCGAAGAAGCTGAAATCGAGTATCAACCTGTAGCGTTTTTCAATACACGAATCGGGTTGAGAAATGCGTTTCAAGATGAGATTGTTGAAGGTGAGGATAAGGAAGTGGTGTTGATTACGTTGAAGCGACCGTTGATTTATATTCAACCGGTGGCGATTGATAAAGCGATTCTTGTGTGGTTGAATTATAAAAATGCCTACGATTATTGGAATGAAAAACGAGCGAATTTAAATAAAGAAGTGTTAACAGCGACACAACAAGTCTACGAAAAGTTTCAATTCGGACAGTTTACAAGTCAGTTGAGTGCCCCCCATTTAGGGACGCTGTTTTTGCAATTAACCGTTGAAGACATGGGCATTTGTTTGCCGTTGAATCCGTTACCGTTCACGTGGAATCAAAGGAATGTCTACGAGGAGAGTCGGGGGGCGGTGGTGGTCACGTTGGAGAACACGAGCATTTCAGGTAAAGAAATTACAGGAAACTGTAATTCACATATTGCGGTTTAATTAATTTTGCGTAAATTTACACCGTGTGCTGTGTTTCTGGAAAAGTTTTATTTGTAAAAATTGTTTCATATAGTTTAAGAACAGCTAATACAAAAATATCGCATTACAGGAATCTGTAATTTTTTCAGCGTGTAGTTCCGGTTCGCTTGTCAGTAAGGGAAAATTCTCGAACTTGTGCCTCCGTTTCGCGGACGATTTCGAGACGTCCCTTGACGACTGGAAGCCCGACATGAGCGACTCGTCGATAATGAATTTGTGTGTTGTCAGCGATGGCACTTATGAAGTTTGTAGTCGAACAATTGCGGCCAAACAGCCCAATGGTGAGTCTCCCCGTTACCAATTTCAGTCTCAATTAAAATAAAATTCCCCTAGAAAACGCTAAATGGTTTTTGAACGTTCAATGGCAGATGGAAGGTGTCGACATTCACCTTGATACCGGTGTCGGTAAACAACTCTCAGCTTTAGGTCACACTTTAACCATGTTGACGGGGGCAGAAGAGGCTCAATTACCGATGGATTACGACAGTGATGATAATGAACCCATCGATGGGACTAGAGTCTCCCAAGAAAGTATTCTTCCATCATTTATGTTTGACCCAAATTTGGATAATCGCAGCCGTTCGAAACTAATGGAAAAAGAAATGAACGAACAAGCGAAAATCATCAATGATTTACGGACATTGGGGGCTTCCCATGGCACAATCGAACTCGAAATGAAACGATTACACGAACTTGAAACCATTGTTTATAAAGGTTTTAGACGTGACATGATACAAAAACTCCGCCGACAAAGCATTAAAGCGCAATCAATTAAAGGCAAATTCGGGCTTGGTTCGAAAAGTACTTTCCGTTCCAAGTCTTTTATGGCACAAAGCCCCACTTTGGAGCGCAAAGACAGTCCTGATAAAGCCCCTGTTAACACCGGAAGTTATGAGAGTTCTCCACGATCGGGGCCATCACGTTCGGCGTCTCTCCGAGTGCGGAACCCGGAATTGGGGCCTAAAGTAACATTCAGTGATACGAGACAAGCATCATTACCGAGTGCCAGTTCTGAGACTCATTTAGACTGGCCTGAGTATTTGGATATCGACGGAGAGAAGATTTTGTTGAGGAAGAAAGGAATCGATGATTTTGTACCGTTTCCAGGGACTGTGTCCCAAGCTACGGTGCCTATGAAAGCACAAGAACCAAATGTTGATTTAGAATTGGACGTGAAGGTGTTTATAAATAGCGGAAAGTGTGTTTTACATACAAAGGATCCGGTCAAAGAAGAAGAGATTAAATTGTGAGTGTTTTCAAGGTGTTGGAAATGATTAGTAATGTTTCATTTCAGGAATCGTATGAGGAAAGATAGGAGTTGTTCGGCCGGTCTTCTGGAATTCCCCCCGAGTACGAGCAGTCCCGATCCCATCCGACGCAACAAAGACAAACTTCTTGGCCAATCAAGTGCCTCCCGACTACGCCCCACTCAACATGCCACACTTGTCGATCTCACAATTTTCCACATTCCAGGCATGGATGTAAAATTACATTACACGTCGAAAGTTGTCTGTGAAGATGATTCGGTACAAAGTCCTGATTTCGAGAAAGCTTTTAAATCACCGATGTGTTTCGACGAATTAGAGGAAAGTCGAATTGATAAAGCTTTTAAACGAGTTGAAAGTCAACCGATTAAAGTTTCAACATCGATGCATGGAATAACAAATCCCAATTATGGGTGTAGTCCCACATCGAGTTTAGATGACTTGCAATTCGGTGGAACATCACCTTTGGATACGGCTAGAGGGGCAATGATGGGGCACAGAAGGCCTGGGGTGAAGAAAGCATCGTTGTTTGTATGGATGACACTACAGAGTGTGCCCGAAGAAACGATTATTAGCCCCCATATTTTGGAGTTTTTAGAGCAGACGCTCGAGCCCATCCCGCCCAAGACGAATTTCAATACGACAGGTAATTTTTTTCATTAAGTTGGCAACATTGACTATCAAATTCAAACGTCACAATTTTATAGTCAATTGTCATTCATTTTTGACGGGATGGACGCGACCTAGCCGTCACTTGACCCAATTTAATATCACCAATAATACAGTGTTCCCAACCTAATAAAAAAATTATTTCACTTTGATCTTTTTATTACAATTTTTTTATTTTTTAGACACTTCATTTTTGCCGTCGGACCAAGACCTCACCAACTATGGTACCTACGTCTACGCTAGTTTCCCCGTCGACGTCATCGTCTACTTCCACATGCAACCGAGCACATTCCGTTTCAGTTGTTTGCCTGTATCTCGTGTCGAATGCATGCTACAACTGCCTTCTCTTGATATTGTCTTCAGTTCGAAACGTGCTGAAGACGAGTTGAGTGAATTTGGTGATGGGGCCCCCAATCCGGCCGCCACAGCTGTTGGAGGTCTCAGCGTCACCGGTTGTCTCTCCGACTTTTCCGTCTATGTTTTTCATCCATATGGTGGTAAAAAATCGGCACTTAAAGAAGCACAATGGTCACCGTTGTCCGATAGCGAACGCAAAGACTCACTTTCGATTAACGTCGAATTTGTCAAGTTTCATCTCTCGCGGTCGCGGATGTTGAATTTTAAACAAGAGGGAACGAGTAAAGGGAAAGGGGGTGATCATAGCCGAGCCGTGATACGATTTTCGAGTATTTTTCTTGAATTAATCACAATTTAATTGCTAATCTTTTAATTTCAGCGATTATTGATATTGGATCAGCGTCGTTTAAGTATGATATGAGAAGATTAACGGAGATTTTAGCATTCCCGAAAGCTTGGTATCGACGTTCAATCGTACGAAGAATGTTTTTAGGTGATTTAAGTATGTCGGCTGTGTATAGTGAAGAGGATGATTCAATTACATCACAAGGGTCCCCTAATACTATGAAAAATAGTCACGAGACGAGAAAAAGTGATAAATCACCACTTTTAAACAACAAAGATCGACTCAAATTGAGTTTAGATTCAGACGTTTTGAGACATAATAAATTAAAAGAGTTGGGGAGGGCGTTCAGTGGTGATTCAGGCAAGGAAACACCGAGTCCATCCGAATTTAAAAATTTAACCGCTTGGGAGACCTTAGTCTTGTTTGTGTTTAATTTCAAAAAGTTGAACGTTCATATGAACATGGGGAATGTCATGGGAAACGTTTCGTAAGTATTATTATAGAAAACTGTAATTCTGTAATTACAGAAAACTGTTTCAGATGGATGACGAAAGACTTCCGGAGTGACGGCCGTCTCAGTATCGGCTCCACCGGCCACAAAAACCTCTACATTGCTTTGGGCCTCGGTGGTTCGAGTCTTGACGCAAAGGGTGGCATCGTCGGTGGTAATATAGAAATCGCTAATATCGACACTTATGTCCATATTCGGGAAGAACCCGAAGTGGAACCTGATCATACTGTGGGGCTTCGGCTTCACGCCCTTGAACTCCGTCTTGATTACATGGCCACATCTGTGCTCATGTGTCGTGTCAGTGACCTTAATGTCAATCTACGGGATGAGTGGAAACTCAGTCGGGCCACATCACGTGACTCTATACCAACCCGACGTCCGGCTACGATTTTCATGCACGGAAATTTAACATGGGACCAACTCCAAGTGATGATTTCGAAATCGACTACAGCCGACTTATTGAAAATGTTTAATAAGCTAGAAGAGTTCTTTTCACAACAGTTTAATAGTAGTAAACGAGCATTTAGTGGCTTTGCTGGGTCCTCAAGACCTGCAAGAGTCACACCGCAGAAAAGTCGTGAGTTTCCGACAACGGCAACGAACACGACCGATGCGAGACATCATCGACATTGGCAGAAAGTGATGGCGCAAGTCGCTGGATTGCAATTGAGTACTATGGATGTGCCTTTGCCCCAATTCGGGACTGTCTTAGGGGGTACAATGGAATTGCACGGGAATAATATCTCACTGGCATGCTTTCATGGGATTAATTTCAAAAGCAAGTCATGGGCGTTGTTCAGTTTACGTGAACCATCGATCACGTTTAATACAGAAGGACAAGAAATACCATCAAATACAGGTTTCTGTAATTTTCTGTTACCGACTATTATAATTGTAATTTTTTAGAAGGTGCACCTCCACCAGACGTTCATGTTGTTCAAACACTGACGTGCAGTCTCGGTTTAAGCACTTACAAGACTCATTTATCAATGGCCACGGTTTGTAAAGTCAGTCGTAGTGTCATTTTCCCGCCACAATTCAAAACGTTACAAGAGTGGTTTCATTATGCGTTCGCCAACAGTCAAATTGATGGTAATTTTTGATTTATTCTGACTTATTCACAGTTTGACATTGCAGAAGTTGATAAATTCCCGTCGTTGGAACGGGAGAAATGCGACGGTAATAATTCAATGGAGCGTGGCCGAAATAGCACGAAATTAGCCGATCCGAACCACAACCGTGAGGTGATTTTTGCCGTTCCGAGTCTTCAGTTGCACCTCAAAACCGAGCATTTGCAATCGGCGACTGTGCCCGACATTTCGGGGGAAAAACCGACAGTCGAGTGTAGTTTTATTACAGAGTTTGAGGATCATATTTTCGTGACTGTTGATGCCGAGGCGTTTTTCTTTCTCCACGATTTGATAACGTCCTATGTTAAGGAGAAGGAGAAAGTGGTGAGGGGTGTGTTGTGTTATCAGGGCGCTAATTGTTTGTTTCAGTTGGGTTTTGGGGAAAAACGGAGCAGTGTTGATTTACAAGATAAGGGGAAATTGTCGGAGGGTCAAGCTAAGAAAGGCTCGATCGATGTTGATATTTTCGCAAAAGACTGGCGTAATTATAATTGCAAAACGTGGCATTTGGAGCCGACGGTGCGACTTTTAAGTGTCGCGGGGAAGTACATAGAGCCCTATGGGATTGATTATATTTTGCAAAAGTTGGGGTTTTCGCACGCGCGGACTACTATACCGAAATGGATGCAACGAGGGTTTATGGACCCGTTGGACGCCATTTTGGCGGTGTTAACTCTACGAATGGTGCAAGTGGTAAAGGGCGATGGTAACAAAACCGACAAAGAAACAAAGGCTGTTAAGGATAAAAACTAGATTAAGGTGAATGTTAGTCAAATTAATTATAGAAAAAACATTTATTGAGATTTAGACGTTAATAAAACATAAATAAGCACTCTATTGCGTTCGTTCTTTAAAATTTTAGAATCTCTAGGACAGCATTTAGGACAGCAATTGTCTGATTTCGTTATTCTCGGCGCACTCGAGGTACGTCTTCCCGTCGGGGGCCACGCCGTTTTTCGATGCACCATTCGCCAAAAGGAGTTTAACGCAGTCTTTGTGGCCTTCCCAGATCGCGGCTAGGATTGCGGTTATTCCATGTTTGTCTTTCGACTGGAAAAACACTGTTAAAGGGGACTCAAAGAGGGGGGCAACTTACGTTAACGTCAGCTCCCGCTGATATTAAATACTGGATAACGTCAGTCTGGCCGTAATCAGCGGCGTACAAAATCGGGGGGCGCCCGTCGATCAGTTCGTTTATGTTAACAGCCTGGCAAAAGGGCGGTGCACACAAAGTCACAAATTGAGCAAAACGACTCACCTTTTTCTCCACTATGTCCTTAACTTGATCCAAATCACCGTTCTTGATGCCCCACACGAGTTCACTCATTTTTATTTAAACTATACTCGGGAAAACAACGATTTTTGACTAGGCGAGTGACAGGTGTGTGACAGCTGTCACCACAGGAAACCGATGCGAAATCCGGCCACCGCGAATTATTTAAAAAAAAAACTTGATTAATCATTATTTTATTACTTAATTACAAAGAGATTGTTTTATTCTTAGACCATATATATGGTCTAAGGTTTTATTCATAATAAGCCACAATTTACGCTTCTCTTCACGAAAAAAGTCGATATTGGTGAAAGTACTTGGGATTTTCATTTTGTCAATGTGGTCACGTCGGTGTCTAACCTTACTTTTTGATTTCTAAACACAGGAGTTTTCTTGTTGAAAAGAGCCAGAAATGGCTTCAGGGCTCGATTCTTTCGTCAACCGTATCCTTTATAGACTTTTAGGTGTCTTAAATTCTCTCACCCTTGACTCTGAATGTAGATACAGTTTCGATTATAACCTCTGATGGTCGCAATTTTATTGTAAGTTTTTCGGCTTTTAGACTGTCTTTAACCACAGTTTCTAGGGGACTCTTAAGGGCTTTGACCAGACTATCAATGTGATAATCGACGAGTCGCACGAACGAGTTTATTCCACCACTTCCGGCGTCGAGCAGGTTATGTTAGGGCTCCACATAATTCGCGGAGACAACGTGTAAGTGTTTCCAAAGGGTCCTCGACGGTCTTAATGCCAGTTTTAGGGCCATCGTGGGACTCATTGACGATGAACTAGACAATAGACTTAATTTATCTAATATTAAAGCAGAACCTTTGAACTCTGTAGTTCACTAGAATAAATCAAGTGACATGGTTAAAAGTCTTAAATGTCATTTTTACCTTTTTTCTTAATTTTGTTATTTTTGTCAAAAAACGGACGTCCGGCTGATTTAAATGTCGGAACGACTGTATTTACTAAAGCTGACAGGGCACGAGAGTGTTGGACGTCAGAAAATGTGGCTTTATTGGCGTCTCGAATGATCCTTGAGGACCTCTTACCCTGTCCCTCGGTCCTTATTATAGACTCGAACGAATTCGTCACTGATTTGATCGAATATTTTCGCCTGATTCTCGAAATCGTTCGTAAAGAAACCCACGGAAAGACTAAACATATTACGTTGGTAGCCCTGATGGATTTATTGGGTATAGGGCTGTGCCCCTTTCCTGTAGTCTAAGTGTTGTTTTCAGGGGGTTATTTGCACCACGCCGTTCTCCCAATTTCAAAATATGCTTTTTATGCCGGTTTGATCGATTATGACAGTATTGCCAAGCTTTTGGGGCTATTTGACGAATTTAAGTTGTTTTTGCGGACCAATGGACACGGCTGGACCAAACCCTTGGCACAAAATTGTGAGTATTAGGAGATTTTTTCCAGTTGGTAGCCCAGTCACGTTTCCCCCTAGTTGATAATTTCGAAATTCGGCTCCTCCCACTGCAATCCCCCACCCCCGAAAAAGCCGACTGTGATAATTTGATATTCGTGCAAGGTGACCAACCTCAAAACAATGAAAAATCGGAACATTGTGCTGCCACTATCCCTTTACCCTTTTTTGATTCAAACACCCGCCCTAGTTCCATAGCCCTTCCGACTAAATCCTGCCCTTTACACAACATCGAAGCCAACACATCTAGTTACCTCGTAATGAATTTTTTCGTAACGTCATACAAATGTCTCCAATTGAAAAAATCGGAAAATATCAACAAGTTTCAGTGTGATTTCGTTCACTGGATTGACGAACAAATAGTACCGAGGCTCACCGATGAGACATTTTACGCTGCTTTTGGGGGAATCCTCCGTGTGAGGAACACGTTGAAGAAGCTAGGTAAGCGCGCGAAATTTGAATTAGTTGCCATTTTACCGTTTCAGGTGTGAGCCAAGGCAAAGCCGAGCAACAAATCAATGATTTTCAACATGTCATCGAGGATGCTCAAAAGGGACAATGGGCAAAGTTTCACATGACAAGAACTAGTATGGTTGTTTTTGTGGTGTTGGTAATGCTTGTCATTTGGGTCATGTTTGGAACGATGTGTGCTTATTACAGGTTGAAAAACACGGAAAAACGTAATTGAAAATTTGTTTTTTTCATTTCGTAAATTGAAATTTGTAGCTTGCTCACCCGAAAGAGGCCCCAGCACAACCACTTGCACCTCTTTAGTATCAAGCAAATATTCGTACCCTGAAAAAACGAAATCATCGGAATCGAGTCAAGGTAAATAAAATAAACTATTATCAACAATTTACGAAAAACCATCTAGGTTGTCTATGTAAAACAAACGACGATGAGGATTATACCACGAACGATTCGTCCCATACCGATGGTAGGCTACCATCAATCACGGAAATGTCCGAACAGACAACTTCCGGGAAAAAAACTCCGTCAAAAAGGAGCACTCCCAAAACAAGTCCGAAATCAAAACCGGCAACACCGCGTTCAAAAAATGATGGGTAATGTCGGGTTCTGTTTTACCGACTTTTGGTGAAATTCAATGTTTTAGGAAAAAACAACGTTATATAGAATCGGATTCAGAGCCGGAGACGTCCAGTGATGAAGGGTGATTTTTGTTGTGTATGTTTTATTAAAAATTTATTCTTATTAGTGGCATTTTTCTGTGGTTAATGTTACATCCGAGAAACCATGAAATTACATGAAAAAATTAGAATTTAAATTGCTACAATACAATATTGAAAAATTCATAGTTGATTTGCTTTGCTTAGTAACAAATGTCTTACAAAGTACCTAATTAGAAGTGAAGAATACAATTTATTTTCCATTAAATGGGTGTTAAGGTTAACTCAAGTGCTATTTTGTGTTATTAACAATTTATGTAATAAGTAGGGCCATGATTTTGCGTTATTTATGTCGCATTGACAAGACTTAATGTTTAAAAGTGGCATCAAAGGTGGTCTGGTTTCTTTTCGAAACCCAAATTTTTGTTTTGTAAAATGCGAAGTTGGCAGCGATTTGACATTTCCCTGATTTTTTCCGGAACTAACAATTAATACTTATTAAATTTTTCAGAGAAACAAATTAATGACGTATCTTTGTTTCCTGAAATAATTGTAATGGAATTTTCTGTGAGTTATCTCCACCACCAAATCAACAAACCTGACGCATCTTATCCGTATAATCAGTTTTTTTTTTGTTCTAGATCACTGTATTAATAACCCCATTGATAAAATCATTACTCCCCTCCCACACTCTCACTTTGACGTAGTTTTTTTAACATTTTGTAAACAAAGGTTTCATCCCTGAGAAGTGTAAACGTGGCTTTAGTGGTGAGTGTGTTTAGTGCGCATGCGCGAGCCTACGAGATCACAGTCGCCATATTTCCAATCTGTCTAATCTGAAAATTCAGTAAGTAAATATTCGTTTTCGCTCAGATTTCCGTGTTTTTGTGCGAAATCGTCGTTTCCGTCTCAATTCCCTCGAAATTTGGCGTAAGTATCGCAATGTGGGGCCCCCCTAACCCATGTCTCACGCTCTATCAATTTCGTGATTTTCCAACTATTGCATAAAGTAGTGTCGATTTAAGCCCGCCACAGGTGTCCGTGCATTATTGGGGCCCCCTTCGCGCGATCCTGTCCCGAAATCGGGCAAAAACCATTTGACAGATGTTGGCCCCCTTGTCCTTCCACTAATCCATTGTCTGTCTAGGTGATCGCGCAATGTCAGTGTTGAATCAAAGCGGGGAAGAGCAAGTCGAGTGCCCCCTCTGCATGGAGCCCCTCGAGGTCGACGACCTGAACTTCTTTCCGTGTACTTGTGGCTACCAGGTGAGGCCCCCTTAACGGCGATTCGCATAATGCGCGAGTTTGTCTCAGATTTGTCGGTTCTGCTGGCACAGAATCCGGACCGACGAGAACGGGTTGTGTCCGGCGTGCCGTAAGGCCTACTCGGAGGACCCCGCCGACTTCACGCCCCTGTCCCAGGAGCAGGTGGCCAAGCTCAAGGCCGAGAAGAGGCAGAGAGACCAGCAGAGGAAGGCCAAGTTGAGCGAGAGTAGAAAGCATCTAGCTAGTGTGCGAGTCGTTCAGAAAAATCTCGTTTTTGTTGTGGGGCTGCCGATGAGGCTCGCCGATCCTGAAGTACTCAAAAGGCATGAGTATTTTGGGAAGTTCGGCAAGATTCACAAAGTCGTTATTAATCAGTCTACGGCGTATGCGGGCTCGCAAGGGCCCAGTGCAAGTAAGTGAAAGTTTCATAAAATTACAAGGTTGTGATTAAGAAAAACAAATATTGAGAGAGTTTGGAATATAACCAATGACATTTTGATTTCTATTGCGTTAAAATTTGATCATTTTTGATTATGCGAAATGATTTTGTCAAGGAATTCCTTTCACCACTCGTGCAATTCCAACCTCAAACAAAAAATTGTGATTTTTTTGTTTTTGACATTTCTTGTTGATGTATTATTTTGGGTTGCCAACCTACTTTTAGTAACTTTTTTATTTAAATAAATGACCGATTTTTGAGTAAAAATTGTTTCTGTCGTGAAAATTTGCAAATCCAACAAGCTAGACAAAGGTTTACCAACATAATTGAAATCAATTAATTTGTTTTGCACACATTTTTTATATTTTTTGAAAGGTGTCAACGTAATTATTTTAAAATTATGGTCAGAATTGGAACTAAACCTCAAAATTTCGTTATTTTAAGGCAAAAAATTGAGAGAACTTCTTTGTTTTTGACACTTCTTGATGTTTGATTTAAATGTGGTTGTCAACCTACTTTTAGTAATGTTTTTATATAAAAAATGTCCGATTTGTATTTAAAAATTGTTTTTCTGTTGAAAATTTGCAAAATCTAGCAAGCTGGCCAAAGGTTTACCAACATAAGTGAAACTTCGTCATGATTTTAAGTCTTAGTCTACTAAGATTCCTAAGTCTTTACATAGTTACCAACGTAATAATTTTAAAGTTGAGGTCAGTTTTGAGACAACAAAAACAGAAGTAGTGAACATAAATTATTAATTTTGTAAAAATCGTAATATACGTGAAATCAATCATTGGGAATTTTTACGAGGTTGGTATTTGCTATATTTTTTGAACTACACATTATTGGTATTGGAGGAAGAAAATAATAATAATCTTTGGTTGAAAAAGATTTGGTAATGTTTACCAATATTTTATAATGAAACTTACTATTTTATACGAAGCTTTCAAATAAATTTCTGATCGAAGTGTTCTATGACTAACTTGTGTCTTCCTGCATTCAATGTTGCCAAATAAACAACTAAAAATCATAATAATACAAATCCAAATTTATTGATATTTTGGAAGAAATTTAATATTTTATTTTTTTGTATTTTTAAATCGGTTATTTTTCAAAAACTAAATGTAAAAAT